AAATATGTTATATAACAATTGTATGTAATGATCATAGTAGATTTATTTGAATAATCAATACTTATATTTCAATCATCTTTGTATGTTATTTTAGTGTAAAATATGTTTTTATTAAATATGATCATTTGTGAAGTATACTTTAATGCTCATGAATGATGGCACAAAATTGTGAGTAACAATCTGTAAAACTTTACAAATTGTTATTTACAATATAATAAAATTTAATATATTTTAAGCTTTCAGAATTTTAATGAAAAATAATGATTTTGATAAAAATTTTAAGATGATAAATCTAAAATCTTGTTAATCGTGAACTACAATTTTATACAAAAGTGATCATATATGTGCTGTTACTTGAAGAATGAAAATAATCAATTAATCAAAATCAAGGTAACATGAAACTATGATTACTACTCCTGGTGGTGTTGTCATTGTATATTGATGTCTTATTAGCATATGATTAATTCATCATTACATGTATCAAAAGTCATTTAAGTATTATTTAACAAAATTTATGCAAAAAGTAATCAAACCTTCGATTATTATGATATATTTTGTGATTTGGCCTTGAAGGTGTATAATTTAATAATTTTGAAAATTTTAAATAAAAATTATCATAGTTTAGATTTTATGATCAATTTTACCTACATTTCTATACATTTTTATATGTAAATATATATAGATGAAGATAAAGATAGAATTTTTGCTAAAAAAGCAAAACATCAGTTGTAAATTGATCATTTTATCATTCAAAAAGCAAAATACACATGAGATAAAGAGATAAATGTTTGAATAACATGATATATTGAATGTTGAATGATATTGTTTTAAGTTAAATTCTTTATTTTTTATTCTATCTATGAAAAATACATTAATTTATATATAGTTTCATCAAACAAGTTATTACTTCCGTAAATCCATTTTGTTTTATTTTAACAATTTTTCATAAATCGCGAAATACATTTATTTAGATGTTTTAGCCATTCAAAAGAGTCTAATATAGTTGGTTTTCAACACATACATTGCGTAATATCATTTTCAGTTATCTTCTTCAAATTTTAAGTAATTATATTATAATGAAAAAATTTATTGCTATATTAATCAAATAAATATAACTATTTATCAATTATTTATACAATGATTACTTAATATGTTTAAGAGCTTTGACGTTTTTAGACACCATCATGAATCAAAATTGAAAATCTTTATTTCTTACTACTCTTGAAATTTGATTAATGATTGCGTTGGTTCAATTTTGTAGTTATTGTGTAGTTTAAAAAGTTCTGATAGCAATCATTTTGAGATTTTGGGATAGAATTGAAAGCTATAAAGAAAAATTTTGAGTTTGTTCAAAGATTAGATTGCAAGATTTTTTCCTATTGAAGTTTTAAATTGCAAGGATTTAAATTTAAATACTTCAATAGATTAAGTGGTAATTGATAATTTTATAATTGATTTGATTTTATGATATAAAATCAAATCACATAGTTAAAAGTTCATACAGATTACTATGAAATATTTTTACAAACATAGCTCTATAGAACTGATAAGCAAAAATATATATCATGATATTAAGGGCAAATTCAATTCATGATTAAAATGTGTGATGTTTTTAGACTTGAGGGTTGTGTAAATTGCTTTAGCAAAAAGTGTGTAATTACACAATCAATTTGAAAGAGCAGGAACAAAGTAATATTTGAGATGAGTTTATGAACAAAAGCTTGTACTATCAAGTACTTATTAGATTCAATTTATTATTCCTTGCTATTAAGTTGAATGGAGATTCATGAAAAGATTATAAGAAATTGAAAGTTCACAATCCGAATCAACAAACTTCATTTACATCCAAAAGTTTTTAAGCAAAAAATTGATCATGCAAAACGGTGAATCTTCATCGAACTCATTCACAACAGCCAATTCCACGACGATCTAATTTGGGCTGTTATCTAGAAGTGCTCTCATGCCGATTTTGCCGTTACACACTCTCTTGACATGGAAAGTTCATAATGTAACATAGATTATTTTAGAATCGTATAAAAAGGTGCATGATGAATAACATTTAATACGTTCTTTATAGAACTCAGTGTAATGTACCAAATGTATTCCTTTGCAAGAAGTCAAAAAGCACATAGTAGGTGACTGACCTAAAACAAAATTTTATAACAACTCTTGATATCACACGAGAAGAATGAACCTCGTTAGAGCAATTTTAACATGCCATTTTGAATAAGTCCCAATGACTATAAGCGTCACTCAATGTATAAATAATATTATAAAATTATGAATGAAAACATAATGACTCCTCTCCTCCATGCTTTAAGGCTTCCCATGGTACTCTCTTATCGGTTTATGGATATAAAACACTGAAAGATTAAACAACACATTTTCTCAATATTAGTAGTCAAAAGATGAGGCATGAAAACCATGTTAAGACTGACAATCCCAGCCTGCCCCAATATACTACAACTTTGTGTCATAAGTTTCCCGTGACTAAATTAGACTCCTAACACTACTAGTATGTGACCAATTCAGATTCTAAACATGCTACTCATGTAACCAAAACTAATCTTCTGTGCTCTGAAATCTAGTTGTCCGCCTGATATGTCAAGCCCATCTACTTGTGAGCATAGTATTATTGGGACTCGTGTATGACTCAGAAAACATACTCTAACAAATGAAAATATTGAACCATTGCACCTCATACAGGATCAAATGACACCAATCTAAATGTAAACGAAAAGGAAGTCTAGACTAGTTGAAGAAATCCCAGTGGCATGCTAAACATGCCAATACCTCAGCGAAAGAAAACAAAGGGGAGCCGGTCGTCGGTCGAGGAAAACGGGTACAGTGATCCCCTGCGATCTCGCCACGCTGTCTACACTAGACGGTCTCTGCCATCGGCATTTTCATCATCCCAATGCAAAGGGTTGACCCCCTCGTTGCATTGCTTGCAGCAATCTAGGACCCAAGCAAACAATTCAAACAGGGATGTAACCTTGACTTCACTGCAAAATTTAAAAGTGATGACCAGACATCTTTTGTGAATAGAGAAGCATTGACCGAAACATGTAAATGTAGTCAGTATGAGGTTGCCGTACCGATCTGCACCTATCTGCTCACAATAGCTCAAGATCGAAATCGACCGGGATATCTGAGGATATTACACATGGCTCACACAGCACACTCCAAAAAGTTGTGCTGAAATTCACGCCAACCTTAAATTGAAGTTTCATCGTTTCTAATAGTTCTTCACAGTTCTTCGTTCCATCGATGTGCTTTATCGAATGGGAACAAGTGACAAGTATGTTAGAGATGTCACTTTGAGAGAAAAGGAGTAGAGGTTACGGGAACTGTCCAAGGTCAGCCTTTTTCTTCGACCAATTTCGCTAGGAATATGATGTCAGTCTCTTTTAGATTGATAGGAAAGTTGATCGCACTAATGACTTGGTGGGCTCCAGATCGTAGCGCTCCATCACTATACTCCCAGCCTGTGAGGTAGCGGTTGCAATATCGTTCTCTAAGAAAAGTACCTAACGACTTGCAGTAGAATCGGATCTAGGTCCACTGGAGTTCACAGCATGATTGGCATCGGCCAACCTGTGAGTCAGTCAGACCTCACACAGTTAAGAACCGATTAGGCGATCAGACCCTATTGACGTCCAGAATCCCGATCGCATATTTGATTTCGAGCGAGCGGTGTGGCACTCCGGTCCTTACCGTCGAGGACGCCTTTCAACAAGACTGGTGAAAGTGGGGACTTCCTCCTTCATTCCCTTTCCCTCTTGCAATAATTTATTCTTCGTACCTTACGTCCTAAGGCAAGGCCAAAGACCAATGACCATGGCCCATGGTCCCTTCATGATCCCCCATGGTCCATGGGGGATCGGCGTCTCCATTCATGGCTGCTGGTGCTGCAAATGACGAATGAGAGGTTCACGAGAGGAGAAGACAGGTACAGCGTACGTGACGGTGCGGGCTCGCCATTCAGGATTGCATTCGGGTTCATTCGGGTTCGCCTTAGAGCGTAAGCCAGAACCAGGAAGTCTGTCAGGCATGGGCTGTGGGGTCTCCTCCTCCTTCATTCCCCCTCCCTCCCTCCCTCCCTCCCTCCTTCGCTCCTTCCAAGTATTTATTCTCTGCACCTTACGTCCTAAGGCAAAGCCCGCGACCAATAAACATGTGGAATCGGCGACGCCATCCATGTCTGCTGCTGCGAATGACGAAGGAGATTCAGAAGGAGGAGAAGACAGGTACAGTACATAGACATGACGTTGCAGGCTTGCTAATCTGCAGTCTAAGCAGGCATGCAGTCGGGATTGCCTTGTAATGTAAGCCAAAAACAGGAAGCCTGTCAGACATGGACTGTGGAGGGATGCTGGATTTAGGACGACTGCAGAAGGAAAAAACAGGTGGTCGTCTCCAGAAGCTTCCAGGGAGCATCTTCGGGCCTGGACTGTCCTAGTCCACGAACTCCAGGTCCGAACTTGTTGAGGCTTTGACCTGCATTACCGGTGGCGAGAGCAACGCAGACCCCAGACAGCTAACGCGCTGATAAGAACTCTGTGGCTTGACCTGTTGCGGTTTTGTCTCGGAGCTGGCCATTGGTCGACCCTCCGAAGGAGGAGTGCATGGAGAACCAGTTTTGCAGCTCTGTTCGATCCGAGCTCGGCAGGTTCTGACTTTTCGCCCCCACGGGCTCCGTATCACGGCATGACGGGCAAGTACGTGACCAGTAAACATGCGAGGTGCCGTCCGCGATATCTGATATGGCACCGTGAGGCTTGTCTCGCTTCACGGACGTTCCTCTATTGTAGGCTGTCGTGGCCACATTGAGGCCGTTTCGGCGTTCGCTACATCTGAAAAATAGAAGCTTCTAAGTGCGCAACATTAGGCCGCTGGACCCTCTCCAGAGATGTTGGATTGTAGCAGGTCGGCTAGATTGTGGAGTCCTGGACTCCTGGGTAAGGTGACAACATGTTCCTGCAACAGGTGAAGCCAATGGGAAGCCGGATTGTGGGATCATGTCCCTCCTTCCTTCGCGAAGGAAGGAGAGTGTGGTTCTCGTGGGTCACTTCTTTGAAACGTCGCCCTTCGATCCGGGCTGTGAAGTCCCGAAACATTAGGGGCTGGAATGGATGGCTAGTGGGAGGTGCAGATGTCAGACCCCAAACCCAAGTTGCACCCTTTCGTCCTTCTGAGAAGAGACTGCGCCTGTCCTCTCCGATCAAACAAATTTCTTTCTCACAAAGTTGACTGCAGTCACACCGCAGTCAACTTCCTCGTATCCTCAAACAATAAAATGTTACAGAGTCGGATATGCCCACAACTTGCACTAATAAGTTGGGGACTGAAACTCTTGTTCGAAGTGGATGAGGGAGATTATCCATTTGTCATTAAAGTGTAACAGGAAAAGATACATGTCCCTCTGGTTCTGTTTCCTTTTTGTGTCGTAGCTGGAACAGCGATAGAGCGAGAACCGGCTTTTGGTATTGACCTTGTAACATTAATGTTGATAACGCAGGACAGTCTGATTACTGTAGTGTGTGGACGGAAGTATGTAGTACCTTCGAAGCATCTGATCTTAGTGGAACGTGCGAGGGGCTTAACGCAATAGCCGAGCACAACGCCCATCATGATTGCCCAAAAAGCAACTGACAGTTCATGGCATGGCACAATACCAGTTTTCCCTCATGCTTTGCGGGATCTCAAGCGACAAGGGTCGAACAGAGCGACTGTCGTACGACGAAGATAATGTGATGTAGTGTGGGCAACGAATAAACGAGAGTGTGCGGGGAGCAGGTACTGGTCACGTTCTTTTCTAAGGTTTATTGCCGCCTCTGCAAAATCGCTGTCGACTGGAACCCAGAGCCAGATCTATAGATTCAGAGGAAAGGGAAACGTGGAGTTTAGCGAGAGGATGCTGCTCGGATAATATATGATTTTCTTTCGAGGCACTGAGATGCTCATTAACTCTGTCTATTGCAATGGTGCCAAAGAGAATCAGCAAAAAGACGAAAAATCTGGATGAAGTGCAAGGCAAATGTCCGGGATGGTTGGAAAAAACCTGCTGATGTATGTGAAAAGGGAGCAGTTGAGAACCTTCAAGGTCAGCGTGTAGGACTTGGCATTGCGCTAATTGGTGGCAATTCGGCAGTGGACATTAGATGGATCTGGTCTTGGTTATAGGAAAGGACCGAGTCCTGGAATAATACACTTATAGGTCATCAAGTCAGAAGATTGTATCAGCTGTGAGAGTAAAGAAGTTGAGCATATTCCTGATTCGGGTGGTGCCCTCCATTGTCACAGACCTGACAGACTTCTTGATGTCATTATTGGATATTTTTAACATGCCGCCATCTAAATCTAAATGAGTGGGCGAATCTGGATGTTCTGGGAAGCGGCCAGCAGTAGCTGTGGCATGTTAACGCTTCACATTCGAACCCTAAAGTTACAACAATGCCAGACATCTGCGTTTGTAGAACAATGGAAGTTTCTTGTACCTGCTGCAGAAAGGCGTTCGCTTGATTTTAGTGTCTGTTTGCATTACCGTTTAGTCCAACTATTTCTGAGAACTGATGCATTAGCATCGAACACCTCCCCTCAATGCGGAGCGAAAGGTAGGTAGGAGGCCGCGAATGCTCATTCGAAGGTTCGTGTAGTTGTCTAATTTGGATACTTCTTTTTCCTCTATCATTCACATATACTTTGAGACTTTCCAAAATTTGTATTCAATTATATACTTTACTTCTGATTGAACTTTTATCTTCGCAATAATCAACGTGTAATTTTCAACCTCTTTGTCATTGTGCTTTGGTCCTAGTCTATCCTAGTTCTAAATATCCTAGTTAAAAAAATCAAGATGTTCATAAATCTTAAATTTTAATAATTAGTAGTTCTTCATTAGAAGTCGGATGTACGGGTAAGTTTTGGTCATAGAGAAGAAACATAATGGTGATGGATTGTCTTGTGTCGTTAAAAATTACGAAATATTGAGTTTTTCTCAAATGATAGTAAAAAAAAATTCTTTGAATTTTTTAATATACAAATAATATTTAAAATATACAATTTGTGTGCTCAAATAAAAAAATCAAGTACAAAAACTCCAGAAGTTTTGCAAGAACATTTTGACTGATGTTGAAGAGTTCATCCAGTTTGATGCATCTGAATATACTTGATAATTCATGTGACATCAAGTTTATATCAAAGTAATGCACGTACTTATTCAAAAAATTGCTTTTTCTGAACGGAAAGTTCATATGAGATAAGTGTGTTTATCTATAAGTCAACTTTAAAGTACTTTTTCACAAAGACCAGTTCTAAAAAATCGTTATCAATTGGATAAACGTTCATGTTATGGATTCACTGAAACGTTATGAATAAGCTTAAAGTAATGACAAGAATTAGTCACCTCGTGAGTGGATATTAAATAATTCTTTTGAATATCACGTCTCAAGTTCATCTCAAATTTCATTTTATATCTCATTTATTGCCTTCAAACTGGTTTCTCCCACTTCTGTATTTTAGAATATAATGAACTACAATGTTTAAGATCATTGGTTTCATCCTCGTTTCATTCTTTCCTATGAAGGTCCTATATGAAAGCTCACTACTACAAGCGAGGACTTCTCAAGAAGAAGAGGGCGAAGTATATATATCATAGAGAGCACAAGAGTTCTTCCAGTTGAATTTATTTGCTCTTATTAAGAAACCTGCTGTCCATAACTACCGAGAGAAACTGGCACCGTAAGCTAGCTGGATGATGTCTCTTGAGCCCAATCAACACGATGAGCAAGGTAGAGATTTAAAGTTTTGAAGAGAAGATGGGCAACAATATACCTCGTTTAACTTCATGGAAGAAGCTCTCATGGACGTTGCAATGCAAAACTTCATATGAGGCCTGCGTTCATTCTTTCTAAATATTATTCAAAATTTGTTCTATTTTGGTTGGAGGGTTGCTCCATTTGGGTGCTAGCTGTGTAACTATTTGAAGTCCTGCTTATTGTGAGGATGTGAAAAACAAGGTGATATGTCAGGTGTAAGCAATCCATGGCCCAGAATGCGACAGCCCATATCTGATAATGTAAATGAGAACTAGAAGCTGCAATGCAACGACTGTTCATATGTAGATGATCAGGTGGCTTCGAGTGCCGTAGGAGGGCAGGCACTGACCTTAGGACCGGGGTTTTGTTACAACCTACGGAGCTCACATTCCTCTAATTCTCCTGCGCATGTACGTTTGCGGTTCGTGATGTACTGTACTGTACTGTACTGTGACGAATGAGAGCCAAGAGCCCAGATTCTCGGTGGGGAGGCTTGATGTGCGGGATGTCAACAGCTTCGACTGATGCTGTCAGCAGGAGGGGGCGAACAGTTTGCCGTTTTGACTGCACGATGGTCCTCAACCTGCAGCAGGAGTTAGGCATCAGAGCGGTCTGAGCCCCGACTTGCAGACTTTGCGGGGTCGACGGCTTGCTCTGATTTCGTTCTAGAGCGTCTGTGTATTTTTAGCTCATCGGCTTGAGCCGAGGAGAGGAAGTTGCAGACGAAGTCCCCGTCCACATCCATGTCCCGCAAAACCTGCTGGGCACTGTGGCCAGATGTCGTTAGCTGTCACGGAGCGGAGGAGGGCATTATAAACGCAGGTGCTTCCATTGTTGGATTATCAAAGCCGACAAACTCCAGTCGCATCCCGCTCTCCTTCTCCCTCTCCTTCGCTTCCCTCCCCTCCCCTCTCTCTCTCTCTCTCTCTCTCTCTCTCTCTCTCTCTCTGCAATTCACGCAAAATAGTTACAGGTTTTAACCTCAGCACTCCCAAATAGACACGAAACGTAAGCGTGATTTAGATTCCTGAGAGGAGGTCTTTGACTCAAGGCTCAGAGTTACAGAGGCACGCCGAAACTTTTCCCAAAGGCCGGTGCCTTGGACTTGTGACTTGGGCCGAGTCCGCCGGCTCTCAGACCGCAGGAGAAAAGTGCTGCGCGCATGCCGTCCACTGACAGTTCGCAGCGAGGGAGTGCGCTCTGCCTTTGGACTGGGTATATAGCGCCGGTGCTAGTCAGTGGTCATCGAACACTGAGTTCATCGCGGAGCTCGGGGCTCTTGGGTCTCGTTGCCTGCTGAACACCAACACCATCTGCCGTAGTGGTAGTAGTAGTAGCAGTAGTAGTATTAGGACTCTCAGGACCTGGCTGGCCTTCATCTCCAGTCCAATTGAAATCAAATATCGGTCACTTCAGCAGCCACCACCACCACCACCAGCTGCTGCTCCTGCCTTAGCGTTGGGGAAGCTGAGAAGACGAAGGTGCAGGTGAGGGAGTGTGTCGTGCTTGGACCCTCTGTCCACAGTGAAAGGCAGTATTCAATGAGTTCGGTGTGAACTAGAGCAGCTCTCGGTCGCATGCACTTGCTGCTCGTGTCTGCTTCGTGTTTGCTTACAGTCTTTGCCCGTGCACAGGTACCGCAAGCTGCAGGACTTCAGCAGCACTTCGTCTCAAGGCCCAGCCACTAACTGTAAACGAGCTCCACGATGGGTCCGTGAATCCATTATCGTTCCAACGGGGACACTGATGCATATCTAGACTTCCCCGGGAGACGGTGTCTGTGATCTGGGAATCGGACTCAATTATCGGCCGGGAGAAGAAGGAAGGCGCGATGGCGAGTGTGAAACCGTCCTCGTTAGGACATGAGACGGTAGAAATTCAAGGTGGGCACCACATTGGACACAGTAGGCGGAGTAGTTCGAGCTTCGGTAGAAGCCACAGACGTAGTGCGAGTATAGGAGGAAGCGCTCGATGGACGAATTTCGGTCCCGATCAAACTTTTGCGAGGGGCTCAGAGCGGAGAGAGGATGAGATCGACGATGAAGAGGCGCTCAGGTGGGCGGCGTTGGAGAAACTTCCGACTTATGATCGTATCAGAACCACCATTCTCGAAAACATGAAAGGCAGTCGTGCTTACCGCGAGCAGGTGGATCTTCGTCTCATGGGCAAAGGTGGCGACCATTCTCAGAAGCTTATGCAGAACCTCTTCAACGCTAGCAGCACTGAGGAGGACAATGAGAAGTTTTTAAGAAAATTGCGCGCCCGCATGGATAAGTATGTTCTGGCACCGAAGTCGTTTGAGAGAGAGAGAGAGCATTTCATCGTACGGGACATTATTCATTGATACGTCAAGAGCCGGTGACAAGGAGGAGTCCGTTTTAATTTCTATCTATCTGTCTCCACACAAGTTGTCGAAAGTAATGATTAAATTGGATCTCCACTTGCTCGTGCGCCAAAGCAATAACTGAATTCATTGACCATCATGATCATTGTTCAGGGTGGGCGTTGTACTTCCAAATGTAGAGGTTCGCTACAAAAACCTCAGCATAGAAGCTAAAGCCTATGTTGGAGGCCGCTCGCTTCCTACTCTCTACAACAACTTCGTCAACTCTCTCGAGGTACGTCGAGAGTTGATTTGATGCACTCATGCCCATGAATTGTTCTCGTTGGAAAGTTGCATGCACGGCCACTTGGTCTACCTCAATGATCTTACATCAATCCGATCCTTCTGCCGGGCAGTGGGCGAAGCTTTGGTCATCACGTTAACTGTTTTTTTCTGGCAGGCTATGGCAACAAGCCTTCATCTTCCGGTATCGGAGAAAGCCACAATTCCCATTCTGCGTGAAGTCAACGGAATTATAAAACCGGGCAGGTCAGTGACAAAAGCTGTGACGAAATCACGATCTGGTTAGAGTGCATCGATATTGGAATTTGTGGCTTGATATTTTGCCACATGGTGCACTGAGTACTCTCTTGTGGACTGCCAGACTGACGCTGCTGCTCGGGCCTCCTGCCTCTGGGAAGACCTCGTTACTTCTCGCCTTGTCCGGGAAGCTCGATAAGAAGTTGAAAGTAAGTGTCGATTTGCACTTCCAACGACATAACTTAGAAAATCAAACATTTCGATCCGGAAGAGTGAACCGAAATTGCAGACGATGTCGACGACTGAAGAATTATTATTTCAAGTTGATGGTATAAAAGTGAACCTTTGGTTCTCGGAGTAGGCAAATGCTAACGGATCGCTCTCTTCGGTGCCAGGTTTCTGGGGAAGTGACGTACAATGGTCACACCATGAATGAATTCGTACCTCAGAAAACGTCGGCGTATATCAGCCAGCATGATTTGCACGTTGCCGAGATGACAGTGAAAGAGACTTTGGAATATTCAGCCAAGTCGCAGGGCATCGGGACTCGATATGGTACTAAGACATCCGATTTCCAAACATCGCATGTGACAAGTTTCGTCAAATTTGTTCATGCTCTTGATGACCTCTTTTGATCCGCCGCATTCTTATCTTTGCTTTTCACCATTACTAATAGTATTTCGTCCAATTCACGTTCTGCAGATCTTCTTGCCGAGCTCATCAAGAGGGAGAAAGAACTTGGCATCCATCCGGAACCTGACATCGACTTCTACATGAAAGTACGATACCAGCGCGATCCTTCGATCGAAATGCATTGAAATGTTTGTTAATGTGTCGATTTTCTATGCCGTCACGTCCTCAATTATCTCACTGAAACCCAATCCTCTTGATTACGCAGGCAACAGCAATGCAAGAAGTTGCGAGCGGTGTCGTTTCCCAGTATACCTTGAAGGTGAGTGGATCGCAACACCGGTTTGCAATGTCGATGAACATGCGCTGAAGCGTAGCATTTTTCCTTGTGATCGCATGCGTGCGGGAGTCTACGTACTCAGTCCCGGGGAACTAATGGGACGCAATGTGTGCTTGGTGTCATCAGATTCTGGGACTAGACATCTGTGCAGACACTTTGGTCGGTGATGATATGATTCGCGGAATCTCTGGTGGTCAAAAGAAGAGGGTGACTACCGGTGAGCTTGCCTACCCTGAGCTCAATTCCTGTAAACGTCATGGTTTGTACAGCAGAACGTACGCAATTCTGTCTAGTAGTCGTGACATGCAATCACAAGTGAAATGCCTGCACCTTGTCTGCACTCCTGTCACTGCAAGGCGTGGCCTGTTGCTGTCTGACTCTGGCTGCAACTTCAAGTTTCCGGAAGATGGAATCACCTTCTGATCACTTGTCGTCATACAATGTCCTGCCTATGTGACTTTCTGGCTGCCTATGTTTGTCTAACTTACTGTTACCTGTACGTGTGTGCTTCAGGGGAGATGATTGTGGGACCGACTAAGACCCTATTCATGGACGAGATCTCTACAGGCCTCGATAGTTCTACCACATTTCAGATTGTCAAGTGCCTTCGAGATATCTGCCACAACATGGAAAATACCGTTGTCATGTCACTATTGCAGCCTCCACCGGAAACTTTCGCACATTTTGACGACATCATCCTGCTCTCGGAGGGCCAAATTGCTTACCACGGACCGAGAGAGAATGTGCTCGAGTTCTTTGAATTTTGCGGCTTCAAGTGTCCAGAGAGAAAAGGTATCGCCGACTTTTTGCAAGAGGTGAGCACACACAGAACTCACTCATACTTTCACATGTTCGTTGTTCCCGCTATTTTTGTTGTCCCTGAAACCTGTGAATATGAACAGAATTTCACAATTATATTGCATGTTCAGGTGACCTCTCGAAAGGATCAGGAGCAGTACTGGTCCAACAAGAGCAGAGCATATGAGTTCGTGCCAGTTAAGGAGTTCACGGAAATTTTTCAGACCAAATTCCACGTTGGTGTGAAACTGCAAAGGGATCTGGAAACTCCATACGATAAATCGACATCCCACAAAGCATCACTGGTGACAGAGAAGTACACGGTGTCGAAACGAGAGCTACTGAGAATAAACTTCGAGAAGGAGATATTGTTGCTCAAGAGGAATGCTTTCGTGTCTATTTTCAGAGTTGTACAGGTAATGCATCTGCCAGATTTACCTTCTGACTGAACCTAAATGTTTAACGAAGTCTCGGCTTTCAATTTTGTGAGACTCACTTGTGCTGGCTACTTATGATGTCCGTTGTTCCTTGTTGCAGCTGAGTTTTGTTGGTCTCATCACGATGTCCACCTTCTTCCGGACCGAGATGCACAGAGATTCATTTGCCGACGCACAACTCTACGCCTCCGCTATTTTCTTCGGTATCATCATGGTGATGTTTAATGGTTATGTCGAACTTTCCCTGACGATTGCACGGCTGCCAGTATTTTTCAAGCAAAGAGATCTACTGTTTCTTCCACCTTGGGCATTTGCAATCCCGAAGGCTGTTCTCAACATACCGGTGTCAATGTACGAGTCTCTTTTGTGGGTCATCATCACGTACTACACGATTGGATTCGCTCCTTCAGCGCAAAGGTTAGACACTTCATACTTTTAGCCGGAAGTAAATAAGTCTCAAAAATCGCAAACTTTTTACAGATCGCATTCAGGATATGTGGAACTACCGCTCTAGATTGACTGTACGTCTTTACGCTCCTCTGTTCTAGAAAAGTTTTTTTGTGTCACAAACCTGCAAGTGCACGTCTGACATCAGTCTCTGTGGGGTGGTTGATCTTATCAGGTTCTTCAAACAGCTTTTCCTCTTATTTTGGGTTCATTCGATGTCATCCGCACTTTTCCGTATGATCGGTGGATTTTGTCGAACTATGGTCATTTCCAACACGGGAGGAACTTTCTCCCTCCTAATCATCTTCGTTTCCGGAGGATTTTTGATACCGAAGAACCTCATTAAGCCTTGGTGGATTTGGGCATATTGGATTTCACCCCTGTCCTACATTCAAAACGCTCTTAATGTCAACGAGTTCCTTTCACCACAGTGGAGTAAGGTGTGACTCCCGTCATATGGGCAATTTGTAGTTGCCTTTTGCATTCTAAGTATACAACTCCGAGCCTGCAGTTGCATCGATGATTTTGAGATCTGACCTTTTACTTCGGTTTTATGAATATCAGCCTTTTGGAAACAGTTCAGTACCAGCCGGCGTCGCGTTTATTACAAGTGGTGGTCTGTATGCGGAGTCCTACTGGTACTGGATTGCTATCGGGGTGATGGTGGGGTACACTTTCCTCTTCAATATCCTCTTCACGCTCTTCCTCACGTACCTTGATCGTAAGTACACCAACTGAAACGCTTGGTTAAGAAGATGTGGTTTACTCAGTGTTACTTCTGTAGCTGTCTCTATTGCATGAAAACCAGTGAATTACAAGAATCATCATATATCGAGCTATATTGCATCTAACTCAGCAGATGTTCCTTGACATGAGCAGCTATTGGTGAAGCTCAAGCCACCGTTTCAGAAGAAGAACTCGCCGAGAAGCATGCGAATCTCACTGGTGAATCCAGCATGTCACTCCAAAAGTCCAGTATTCCGAGATCTATTCCCCGTTCGTTGTCGTCAAATGTTGGACATGGTAAGACTTCCGTATCCAACATGAATTACTTTTACCTCACATGCAATGCTGAACAATGTTTGGAAGTAGAGGATATGAACGCTTGACTGATTTGTTTCTTATGAAATGCAGCCAAGGCTCGCCGGAGTCTCACAATCTCAGAGACAGAGAGACATCATCATACCGCTGAAGAAGGTGGTGTTCAGATGTCTCACAGAGTATCGATGCCACGAGAATCATTCGAGTCACGTGATAGTCTCAATGGAGTTACTGCCAAGCGAGGAATGATTTTGCCATTCAAGCCTCTAGCCATCAGCTTCAATGACGTCAAATACTTTGTTGACATGCCTGCTGTAAGTGAAAAGTATTTCGGTCACATTTTGTTGTCTGCATTTCATTTCTAGCCTAAGAACAGGCAGACGATTTCTCTAGCTTCTTTCCACCATTGACCGCCTTTTCCGTACAGAGTTTGAGACTAACTGTTGGACAACTTACCAGGAAATGAAACAACAAGGTGCAACGGATAATAGACTTCAGCTCCTCAGAAGCATCACCGGCGCCTTCAGACCAGGAGTACTCACAGCTTTGGTCGGTGTCAGCGGAGCAGGGAAGACAACTCTTATGGACGTGCTTGCTGGAAGAAAGACTGGAGGTTACATTGAGGGTGACGTCCGCATCGCTGGGTTTCCCAAGAAACAAGATACTTTTGCCCGGATTTCAGGATACTGCGAACAGACTGACATCCATTCACCTCAAGTCACAGTTTATGAGTCTCTTATATATAGTGCTTGGCTTCGTTTATCGAAGGATGTGGACAATGAAACCAAATTCGTAAGTTTTAGATTGTTTCGCCTTAATTGTTGCTCCTCTGATATGTAGTGCTTTCTTGACAACGGATATGGGGAAGCTTTCTTGTTTGTAGGTGAAGTTAAAGTTATGGTTTGGAAATTTATGTTCTTGTCTTGGCCACCGCAAGAACTCATGTCGTATATAATATGAACACTGAAGAAGAATGACGGGTTTTATGTTTTTACTTTTGAGTTGATTGGCAAGTGCTAACTGGGAGTATGCTTCCTCTATGCAGCAATTTGTCCAGGAAGTGATGGATCTGGTTGAGCTTACACCCCTCAGAAATGCCCTAGTCGGTCTCCCTGGAGTTACTGGGTTATCGACTGAGCAGAGGAAGCGTTTGACGATAGCTGTAGAGCTGGTAGCAAATCCCTCAATCATCTTCATGGATGAGCCAACATCAGGTCTAGATGCCAGAGCAGCTGCCATTGTCATGAGGACCGTTAGGAATACAGTGGATACTGGTCGAACGGTGGTATGCACAATTCATCAACCCAGCATTGATATTTTCGAAGCTTTTGACGAGGTAAGTGATATTTTGTGTAGTGCTGACAACTTCTCGAGTTCCAGTGCTCTGTTCTTCATCATTTGAGTCAAATTTCTTTGCTTTTCTTCGTACTCCAAAGTAGAAGCTTATTGATTATATGATATTGGAAGACCCATAACAGGATGGTACCTGTAATCGATTTGTCAATGCAGTTACTTCTACTAAAGCGCGGTGGACAAGTCATCTATGCTGGTCCTTTAGGAAGAAGGTCTCATAGACTCGTTGAGTACTTCGAGGTAAGCTGACAACTTTCATTCATGGGATGGAACAGAAGAGCCTACTATAGTCTTGCTCACGTGTTGGAACATGTCTTTACTTCATTGGCGTATGTAACTATGTACGCTGACCAAGTGTATTTTTCACCTGCAGGCAATCCCCGGAGTTCAAAAGATTAAGGAAGGATATAACCCAGCAACCTGGATGCTGGAAGTCTCTTCGGAGTCTGTCGAGATGAAGCTGGGTGTGGATTTTGCGGAGGTTTATCAGAAGTCATCTTTGTACCAGTGCGTGACTCGACTCTTATATCCCGTAGTACATCATTTATTTGAATCTAAGATATGATGTTTGAAACTGCATATAAGTTTCATCTATGTAACGTAGAATATTGCCTGATATACAACAACATCAAGCTGAATTTTACTTCTTTGTGCAGGAGAAATAAGGCCCTGGTTGAAGAATTAAGTCGCCCAGCTGATAATGCGGAGGATCTTTACTTCCCAACTCAGTATGCGCAAGGATTCTTTTCACAAGTCTCGTCTCTCTTATGGAAGCAGCACTTAACATATTGGCGTATGCCCTCTTATAATAACGTGCGATATGTGTACACAGTAGTTTCATCCCTGGCGGTTGGAACCATGTTTTGGCTTATTGGACATAAGAGGTAAGTTTAATGAATTTCTCTGTCATTCACCACCACGTTTCTCAGACGTTATTGTGTCATTCGCAACGTTGTTCTCTGCATGAGATTAAGATTTCGTTCCCATTTTGTGTAACCTAACCAAAAGGACTTTGTTGATTGCAGAAACACACAAGTCGCGCTTTACAGTATTATGGGTGGAATGTACGGAAGTACTATGTTTCAAGGAGTGAACAACTCGTCCACTGTCCAGCCCGTGGTAGCAACTGAGAGAACTGTGTTTTACAGAGAAAGAGCGGCAGGAATGTACTCGGCCGTTCCTTATGCTATATCGCAGGTAACGGGGTTGTTATTCAGATTTTTATGTATTACAGACCATAGAATAACGCGTCAGAATTTGCAATTGGCATAATTTTCGACAATTTATAAACTTTCGACAACTAATGTTTGCGGACCGCCTTCTGACTTGAAAATTGTGGTTTTCAGGTTCTCATTGAGATACCATACTGCATAATTCAAAGCGTCATTTTCTGTCTCATCACGTACAGCATGATGGGCTTGGAATGGACTGCAGTCAAATTCTTTTGGTATCTGTTTTTCATATTCTTCACGTTCCTCTACTTCACTTACTACGGAATGGTGGCAGTTGGTATTACTCCGAATCAACAAATTGCCATGATTGTGTCTACTCTGTTCTACGGTTTCTTCAATCTCTTCGCAGGATTCTTGATTCCCAGAAATGTAAGCACAAGTCACCTTAAACTCTTCTTCATGATGAATAGCATCTTCATTCTTTCCAGATTTATATTTGAAGATGAATTCCCGTTACTAAATCTGCTGCTCGATTGTTGGTTGATAAATGCAGAGAATACCCATTTGGTACAGATGGTATTATTGGGCCAACCCTCTCAGTTACACTCTCTACGGAATCATGGTATCACAGTTTGGGGATGTTACCACACCACTTATAACAACTGATGGGCAAGTGACAGATGTTCGGGGCTTTGTGAAATCCTCGTTCGGGTTCGAGCACAGCCTTCTTTGGCTGCCGGCTCTGATGGTGGTCCTTCTCACAGTTGTCTTCGCGTCGGTATTCATGCTCGCTATATTGAGATTGAATTTCCAAACTCGGTAATTGAAGGTCAGCTGGTCTCGTCTGCGATCTTATCACTTATGAAATCTGATAGTGTGCTCTCGTAGATTTTCACCTGCTCGGATGTAGGCTTTACTGCGGGATGAGTGGTCACACTGATCGCTCTTTAACTTCAAGTGTCACAATGAAGGTTGAAGCTAAGGCTCTCGAGTAGAGCGGGGATGCAAGCAACCCAAGGTCACTAATTACCACAGATGTGGCCGGTGCCGTGTAATTATACTGGAAGTCCACCGACGGGAGGTTCAAGCTATAATGTATGAATTGTGCCGAGGTTCACTATTTACATAATAGTTTGTCGTCTTATTAACGTTACTGTCAGTCAATGTAAAGAGTTCGTATTTTAACCGAGTTGAAGTCCACTTTACTGCGGCCCATCCCAGTAATCATGTAGATTACATAGCCATTCATGTGGACACATTTTAACGTGATTTTTTAAAAAAGTTTTGATCATACTTTTTCGGATTCACTTCACTTTGAATGTATGTTCAAATTTCGGTATGTGATAACATGGAATTTACTATGTATATGTCAGCACTTATAAAATACTGCGGCTCTATTTCACAATTCGTGGTTCATTTCTCGACAGCAAGAAATTTTAAAGTAGGGTAATTCTTGATAGAGAAGGTAAGAATCACATGATCTTAAAAGTACATGACAAGATTTTATTTGTCACAAGATCATACCCTGAACTATTCTTGTTGTGATATACTCCACAATTTGGTTAATGAGGTTGGCTTCAGGAAACATTTTCACAGTTTTCCTTCTCGTAATGTACACAAACTCTTTTATGAAGCATACAAACCCTTTTCTTTTAGCTTGTAATATGCAGAGTACACGACATGTGAATCATTCATAAGATTAATAATGATAGCATACGATATATATTGCACATACTTTTTTAACTAATCACCGATGAAATCATATAAACCTTATGGATGTGGTTCATAGTTGTCGACTCAAATTCTCCTGAAACATCTTAATGTCATAAAACGTCACAGGAATGATCTCTGTGGAATTCTAAAAATTTGAACCATCATATCAAAATAAAAGTCATGGAACGAAAGCTTTCAAATCTAAAAGTAAACCCAGAATACTTCAAAATAGTGAACAGGATATCATATCTAAAATTTAAAAACATGGGACCACGGGTTAACCTTCAGTAAGTTAAGTCCTCTCACATTTGCCACATTTTTATATATGCTCGCAAAAAATATCTTCTCAAAATTAAAAAAATACATATTCAACTCATTTTCCTGGATGAAATTCGCTCTATATGCTCTCATAAAAAAATTCATGCAAACACTATCCAAGTGTTCATTTCATATAGAGACTATTCAATCTCAAACCGAATGGTAAGATGGTTTGCATGGGTTGGGTCTCGAATTAGGACGAACATCTAGATATCTTTAAGTTGTAAAAAAATTGTCAAAAATAATATATTACATGTTAATATGTCCGAGTCAGTCTCGACGCTTATTTTGACAACCGGTTACGATTGGGGTAGTATTATTATTTCTAAAGAAAGATTGTGCACTGCAGGTTCCCAATACAGAGAAAGAGAAAAATCTTCAACTTATCATAAAATCAGTAGAAATCGAAAAGCCCTTACTTGCAGAAAGTCCGCACATGCGCACTCTTATCCAGGAATGGTTGTTGGTCGCCAGCATCACATGACATTGCCCGATGATAGGGACGGGTTAGTCCCCAAATCATTTTTGCTGTCACATGGTCCCCTTTCACAGTGTGAAGATTTTAAGGATATATATATATATTCGAAAACCCATGACGAATGTGCATGTTTGTCCATGTCTTCTCTTCTGGCATTCTTTGGTCATCAGTTTTTCTTAAGGTAGTTTTGATTGGTCATAGCATGGTCAGCAGCTGTTGTGATGCTTTAACAAAGTTTACTCAAATGTGAGATGACTCGAGGTAGGTGTGCACTGAGGAGAATGTACCAGGTACAACCTGGCATGAGGATTCGAAAAGAACTGAAAACGACTACTGCTCGGCACGATTCGTGCAGATTGGAATTGAAAAGTCTTCGCCAAAGGCAGCGAAAGAAAACTTCCGCAGTAAGTCCCTACATGTGCATATGGCTACATCAACTCTAAATGACGTAGTTGTACCCATCTGAGATTTGGAAAATAAAGTGCATACTATTCTTTCTAAAACATTCTTTGCACACAATGGTGCATCAATATGGTAGAATGAGATCTGATACGTGTGATTCTGTGTGACCATTCACAAAGGGACAGACTCTGAATCTTAGCAGCAGTTGTAGCAGTGGCCCTGCTGTAGCCATAGGCAAAGATGAAAAGTATAATACGATCTCTGATAATAAAGCCTCTAGGGTATAATGAATCATCCGACCCACTAGGAGGGAATTACTTGATGGGAACCATCACAATGCAGAAGTCTCAATAGGACTCGATACGTTCTATTTTGCCCCATGAGACCTTTACGACGTCACTTCAATCCACCGTCGCCTATGTTCTACTACAAGTTCTTGTAACTGCTTTGTGTCCGGGTTTAGAAAACCACTGTGGCTCTTTGTCGAAGAACTTCTCCCCTTCTTCACTAGTTATCAACGAGGTACTCAAAGCAGTGACTTCACTGACCAAAATAAGCATCCACGTGACTTAGGCCAAGAGTTTTAGAAATAAAAAGTAGAGAAGTGTAAGTAAATAACGCCCATATTAACGCCCATACTGTAAAATCATTCTCGGCAGTGAGAAATGGGTCTATCGCATGATGAAGATTTATAGTCATGGTAATTCTGACTAACTGAACTTGGGGAAAAATTTCCAATTTCATTGAAGTGGAAACATAGCAGTTAAAGAGAACATAGGTGAAGGTCAATTGAAATGCCCTCTGAGCGTACCATCGGGTAAAATGGAATGTATGCGTCATGCGTTCTCATAGGGTCCCATCAATTAGTTTTTTCACCCACTAGTATCACAATGGTAAACATATAACAATGCACCTAAATTAGTCCACCTTCTTCTTGCTACATTCAATTAATGTAATCACAGATCTCATTTCATGCCCGTGGATTCGTAAAACTTTTCATTGCTTGGTCCCACCACCTCGTGGGCCTTCATGGTACTTTACAGGCACGAACAAAATTTTTAATCACTTCATTTGTATTTTATTGTTGGTGTGATACCACGGTCTCCTAATAAAAACCAATCTCCGTGTTCGAGTTCCCGGCCGGGTAACGACACGGGGAAATCCCTGTACCGGTCGCCGGCAATGCACGGAAAGACCCTAAAACCGGACTTGCCTGTAAGAGCCGGGAATAAGTCCGGGATTCCGTGCCTGATTCGCCGGCGAAACCGAAGATTTTATTTCTAATGGAAAACCCGGATTTCATATTTTTTGTGACCCACTCCTTCTGACACATGGAGCCAAGCGTCTCGAAGCTTGACGAAGATCCACCTCCAGCAACTCCGATGACCATGATATGCTGCACGGAGCACGGCTCGAGTGGATCGATGATTGCCACTGCGCGCTTTTAGCCGTCTATTCGAGCAGAAACGGTGTGGGTTTTTCTGGAGGCTGATTTCCAGGTTTGGTGTACGGGAAATCTCGTCGTCCTTCGCTCGACTCATCGATCGCAGCCGGAAATGGCCGACCGGGTCCGCTGCCTGCTTTTTCTGACAGGGGGATTGGCGTCCTTGGACTGGTCCCAGAAGATAGCGGACATTATTTCTCGGTCGCCGGGTTTAGAAGGCAAGATCCTCGAAATTGTCCAGGTATGCTCTTGACTGTGTATTCTATGCATCGACTCGTCCTTTGGTCAGAGGCTGCTTCTCGCGATCTCTTGAACTCGCTCTTGGTAGCGAAATTCCCGTGACATTGCAAACTGCCGTCGTCATTGGGTTTCAATTCTAATTGAAGCATTTGGCAGGGATTTCTGGTCTCTTCCTTCTGTGATCTCGCTATTGAATCAGCTTCACAAAGCTCCTGGGAACATGTCTTCGATCTTCGATGTGCACGTAACTTAGACTAAGTAGCCTACAAATTGTCATCGACAGAGTATTTATAATTTCTCCAGCGATGGGAAGTCTCGAATCCGAAGAGAGAAGCAAGCAGAGGTACCTGACGTGATGCGCTTCAATCACAACGAAAACTAAAGGAATCGAAGAAAATCGAGGGAAAAGAATAATTTTTTTGGGACCTTGTTTCTCATTCGTGCTTTAATGGTGCTGACAGTAGCACCTGGGGTGATTTTGATTGCAGTTCTATAACAACCGAGTATGGACCGGAAAATTGGTGGAAGCGGGCTACCCTACGAAGGACTACGCAGGTTCATTGAGCTTCTACGGGACTGATTTTGAGTCAATTAAACTGGTGAGCTCGGCTATCAGTAAAGAAATTCAGACACTCAAAGAAGGAAGTGAGGACTCTGTCGCTCTGTGGATGGTGGGAATCGACGAAGTAAAGATCAATAAGGTCCCTACAGGTAACTTAAAACTGCTTTCCCGGGGCTCCATGATTGCAGCTGTAGGCTCCAAAATGGAGGTGTCGCACTTTTTCACAGTTTACAGGTCTAGTGTCTTCGTCTGAGGTTCAATTTCACGATTACTGTCTGAATTGAGTCAATCGTCATTGGAGTTCAACTCCAGATCTGTGAAGCGGAGATGAAAACGCCATTAGTGTCTGAATCTGCCAACTGCTTCATGATCATATTGTGATCTCCGATTTGGTCAGACAACTTGCTGACTTACTCAGTATGAATTTGAGAGGTTGAAGGATCGGTACCGACATTTTAGTTTCGAGTCAGTAAAATTTGCTATATTAGATGAGCTGATCATCAAGCGAATCCACATCTGCTGACGCTTGACGAACTGCAGATCTTTTCAGGCCGATGGCGAAGTTTATGGGCTTAATTATTAGAAATCCAGCCTTGACAGTAGAGCAGTTTCACAAACACTGGTCCGAACCACATGCAGCCCTATTTTGCAGCAAGCCTTTGGTCCAGCAAAAAGTGGTGAACTACAAACAGGTGAGAGACCCCAACCGATTCAGTAGCTCGCTTTGAATTTTTGTCGGGTAATATCAATTCGTGTGTTGAAACTAGTTCCAGTGGATTGTGAGCGTTTACCATTCATGCGGCCTCCTAAGACATCCGAGATGCATAAGTGGATCATCTGAGGCAAATGTTCAAGGCCGGAGACATCAATGAAAGCACATGAGGCGTGTGAAATTATCTGACACGATCATCTGACAACTGACAGTATCATTCCAAACCGGAGTGGAAAGAAGAGTTGGCGAAAGCGGGCCTGAACATGTCCAAAGTGGAGGGAATTGTGGAGATCTACTTCGAGACTCTCGAGGACCTGGAAGCGATTTTCACCAGTATGGAGCACGTCGAGTCCATGATGCCCGATGAAGCGATTTTCGTGCATTTGGAGGAGAGCGGAATCTTAGTCGGCAACGAGATGTCGGAATCGCTGTCCTCGCAGGGGCCAAATGAGCCGCCGGTGGCTCCATTCGCAGGACTCGACTTGGGTTCCCGCTAGGCACACGCTGGACAATCGGCGAATGATTGTCCTCCGGATCCTGTACAGTTCTATCGTTCTTGTAAGGAAAAGCACCCTCCAAACCTTGTACAGTTGTATTGTTCTTGTATGGAAAGCATCCTTCGGACCCTGTGTATGTGTATTGCTCTCGTAGGCTGATTCGCGGTAAGGGTTCGAGCGGAACAGCGCACCATTCTGGGCAATGGCCAGACCGCCGAACAGATCTCCTCAGAAAGCTGACATTGGATTAGAGGAAGGTGAACAACGCTTTGCAAGTTCAGGTATCGATAACATTTCTTTTTGGTCAAATGAGTTCTCGCGATCATGCCCGAAGTATAAATTGTGTTATACCCGATTTCTTCTAATAAAATAAATTATAAAAAATTACTCAAAGTTAGAAAATCGTGCTCCAACCTAACTAAGTGAAACTCTTCATTGCTAATGATGATACGATATTTATCTTTCATTTAATCAATTTTCATTTTTCATTTCTGTAACTTAACGTTATATCATCATGATTTACTCGAATAACGTTGAAGGGAGAGACACATCTTATAAGATTTTGTAATAAACAACTGGAATAAGGTAGGGTGAAAAACGAAAAGGAAATTATAGGATTAATGATTTGTCTTCCAGCTAATTCAGAGAAGAAAAGTAAGATTCTTTTGAACTTTTTGGTCAAAGATGAGTTGTTTGTATGTCTAGTAAAGGCATTACACATTTAAGTAGAACACAACAACATCACATAGCAATATCTATGTAATGCTTGCAAAGAAGCTAATAGTTCAGTTTTTGTAAATTATAATCTTCATTGGTTAGAATCTAACCAATCTCCAAGAGTGGTAAGAAACTTATACTTCACAAGAAAGTCAAGTATTATTTGTACACTTTTCTCAATGTTCATGCAAAATTAACTGCAGAGTAACTGGAACTGGCTGCCTACGAGCTCCTTCAGACTATCCCTAAGATATTTCTAGTAACGATCATGCTTGTTTGCAAGCTTCTTCTTTCTGGACTCAGAAAAATCGTCGGCTCTTTTTCTTGGCTTGCCTCATAATTAGTGATGCTCACATTGCCGCCTTGTGGTATTAATAAGTCACTCTTAAAGTCAGGTTCAAGTGAAAGTGTGGTAATTCTAGCCTTCATAAAATGCATGTGCATCAACGCTTCCCCGTGGCAATATGAGGACGATTGACGCGATGTACTGAAAAAAATGGACGTGTGCGTTTCGAAATTCCCGGCACATTTCGCTCTTATTTCTGATAGAGCAGGACGCGGAGTGTGTGATATCCGGTTACGAGTATCACTGTTAAATCACAATGTTAACATCTATAATAAAGCTTCCCCACACCCTGGTGACCACTACGACTTCAAATGAAATCAGACCCACTTAGCCATCCATTTAGAAAAATTTTGAAATTACAGCAGAGCATGGTCGCCAAAAATGATTCAGGATTCTTAAAGCTCCGTGAGTCCAAATAAATCTGAAGGGGTTGATGACTAGAGATAGGGACGTCATATTGCTGATTCTTTGAGCAATTGCTCAGAGTTTGGCCTCATTGGCAAGCAGACGGCTGAAGGGTAGATATATGTGGATTCCTGGCTGCATGAAATCCTCTGCTGTTCCGATCGAAGAACTTAATCACGCATACATTCTCAAACCTCAAGTATATTGACAGAGATATCAAAGCTTAACTACTGGTGGCGAAGGCCGACTTAAAAAGCCCCACAACTTTCAAAGTGAAGGCAGAATCATCACTCATATGACTCGGAGAAGATTTGTGAGAGGGTTCGGAATACGGAAACTGCGAAAAGAAGTTGGGTGTAGAATTCGGTTGCAGACAGGGTCAATTACATCTCAACGCTCCAAGCTTTGAAGAAGACTCGAACACAAGTGACTCCAAATTTTTCTACTCCTTGTAACTGATAGCTTTTAGCAGATACTGGGTGGCAATATGCCATGTCAAGATTCATAGTGCGACTTGTCGCTTTGAACAATTTCATAAATCTGAAAGGGGCCTAGTGGACAATAATATATCATTGTTCCTTCTGAAAGTCATGGGACTCCTCAAACTATGCTCGGGTATGCTCGGTTATGCTCAGATACAACGATATAAAATTGATTTCATGATCTGCAAACCGTCTGATCTCATTCATTGCATTTTCATCCTAATAAGAATTATGGGATTACCCTCGTGCATCCATCTCAAAAGACACCGGGAGCCGAAGGAATCCACTAGACACCGTTCACCAAAAGAAGGTTCAAAACGAAAAAGCCAACCGTCAGGTTAGCGGCGCCGCTGCCGGGGATCGAACCCGGGTCACCCGCGTGACAGGCGGGAATACTTACCACTATACTACAACGACTTGATGCGGTCTATCAAGGGCATTAAATAATTGTTTCCATTTACATTTTTGAATTTTTTGGGGAAGGGTTTTCCCTGTAATATGTTTTGCCTTACTTCTGTGTCACTCATGAGTGTGTGAAATGGAATCCTATAGAAAGAAGAACTTATGTTCATGTTCGCTGATTTTGAGAGGCATTAGAAGCACCGCATGAAGTCTTAGCAACGAGTTGTCATGTTCAAAGTAAAATCAAAAAATATATTGTTTTGCACTTAGTACTTCCTCCGTTCTGACTACTGCAGAGCCTAAAACTTCGTAAGTAGGTGTCTGTAATTTTGCGATGAATGTTCTTCTTCTTCTAACAGTTTTTCAAATTAAAATGATTATTCTCTATATCGTATATCCATGTACTTATCATCAATATCTGATGATTTCTTTCTTCATTTCGTGTTACTATTAAAACAAAAATTTATGGAGTCATATTAAAAAATCTACTTAAATTGTGAGAAAGTGAAAACAGTTTGCATTTTACATTTTCGAACGTTATTCAATCATTCACATCAGAATCCTGACGAGTATCACTTTGAGCGAAAATCCATGACATGTGGTTTGCATTAGGTGTTTCGCAAAGGGCACAAACAAAGTTTAAAATATTATAGTTTGGACCTCTAACATCGCTTTATGTTCCCATGGCGTGTCTTCCTCAAGTACGAATTTTTACCGACCCGGTCGAAATATAGGGAACACAATGAGAAGTATGGTGTGTAATACCTTCATGTACCAGCATGAACTTGTCCTTCTGGTAAGCCTTATAAAGCTGGCGAAGACCGATGCAATCGAACAAATCTAATCCCCTTCAGTTCTTCGTCATTCTTCCCTCCAATACGTAGACGTCTCAGTCCGCGAACGAGAGCCTAAGATAACGGTGCTGAGTGATACCTGAACACCACAAAATCCACCCATCCCGGCTTTTATCATAATAGATAGATCCACCCCTGGCTATATTTTTCAGCATCTTTTTTTTCTTTTTATCTAAACTACGTTGGAAATTTATGTGGTCAATCTTAAAATGGCTCACTTGTGAAAGTCGGAACTTGGGGTCCTAAAATTGCATAAACCCCCGTAAAGAACAGCGTTTCCCGCCCTATCCGCCATGTAACTTGTCCCAACATTAGTTATATCCCTCATAATTTATCAGCTGTATAGCTGATGAACTTACAGCTGACAGTGATAAAGTTTTACTGATAGAAAGATTAAAAAATGTAAATTCGACGCTGGATGCTACTCTCTTCCACACCTCTTCCTTCGATGCTTCACAGGTCCACTGCATTCTCGGTCTTATTCTCAGTGTAAATGGAGCTCACGGGGCTGCTGTGCGCGTGATCTTTCGATTTTCTCATAATCCGAGGCGATGGGCATGCCTTCCATAAGCTGTTATCAAAGGATTGATTATATAATTACGGTACGCGGAGGATAACGGGAACTGTCCGGGTCTGGCTCTAAACTAAACTCTTCGCTCTGAAGAGGCTTCCGTTTAATACGTGGCTGCACAAGATAACGGCTGTTCGCAATGCCGTAAAGAGTCTTCTGTTAAGACGTGGCTGAACAATCGGAAGGCATTGTCGAAGTCGATCTGTTGAAGTGCCGCCGGCGCCAGATTTTGCTCGATGTATGCATCCAAATAGAGACAAGTCGACATGATCAACTCTTTTCGTGCGAAGGGGTAATCGCTTCCGAACGTGATTTGCGTCGGGCTCAGGAGCGAAAGAATGCTGGGAAGAGCAAAATCATTGGCCGTGAGGGCCACGTCGACGTAAAACCTCCGCAGTTGAGCCAGCGACCATTCCTCATTTCGACTCGCCAGAATATGCAGACCTCCAGCCAAACGCGAAGCAGCAAACGGAAGGAATCCGCCGCCGTGAGAAAGAAGAAACTTCACATTCGGGTAATCCGTCGTCACGTTTTTTAGAACCAGATTGAATGCCGCTCGAGTTGTGTCGAGCAGAAAATCCACAACATACGCCGGGACGTCTGTGTTGCAGGTGTCGACTGTGGCACCAGAGGCAAATGCAACCGATTTCAAACATCAGAACAGTGTGATTAAGTCTTCCATATTCGCCTTCTTGAAGTGAGTTTCTAGGGTTATATTTGCACGACCTTGCGACGATTTAGCGTTGAATACGAAACAATGCTATTGACGCTGGGGAGCACGGCGTGGTAACGAGAGTGAACATAATCTCTAGAAAAATAAGTAAACCTGAGAAGACGAGTACATCTAGTTTGGAATTCCGTTAGAAGACTACGGTGTTACTTGTTGGATGCTAAAGCGACCGGGACTGAGAGCATACGTACTTGTCTCGTCTTGTTGGGGACAAGGACATTGGCTCGGGTGCACGAACACGGTCGCATTTCGCTTGTCGAGCTCAGCATACAGGGGTTTCCAAAGTGGGCTCCCAAGGACTTCACCAGAGCTGCTGGCCAAAAGGACGACGCCCGCAGCCTTTAAGTTGTCGAGCGCGTATATTGCTTCAGCTACGGATCCTTCGACGTCCGGTAGAGTTAAAGTGGCGAGGAATCTGAATCGGTCGGGGTACTCCTTCGAGAGCATGTAACCGAACTCGTTAAGTTGTCGAGCCAACTTTCGACTTTCCTCGACAGGATAACCCTCTCTAAGCACAGCACCTGGTGTCGAAATGGAAAGAGTTGAGAGAGAAATATTCGTCTTATCCATAAATTCCAGATGCTCAGACGCACTCCATTCAGGTACGAGGGCTCCTCCGGGTCGGATGTTGTTGTCCAACAGAATCTTTCTGTAGAACTGTGGAAAAAAATGAGAATGAGTGTCGATTTTGTTGTCAGCCGCTGACAATCTGGTCAGCTGCAGCAAGCACATCAGCACCAGAAGACCCATGTCGCACCCAGATCGACCCAATGCGAGCTCGCCGACTTGCCCACGTTGCGAAAGCGGAAGTACGAGAATCTACACTCCAATTGTACAACGGGTACGGGTTTGAAACGTCGATGCGAAGAGAAGAAAATACCGAAAGGCGGAATCCAACAGACTGAAGGGAGTGTGAGAGAGAGTAGCCCAGCGTGAAACACACGAATGGGAATAAGAGGCTTTTCTATCGCTTAAATCAATGAAGAAATCGTAAGCGAGCACTGCCTACTACGTGGAAGGTAAAACTTATTGTATGTCCACATGCAAGAATCTCGTAGCCATCATAACAAACCTCGGCAAAAGTTGCCAATAGAGAGAATCTACGGTAGACTTCACTCCCATCGAGACAACAGTCTTCGCATTCCTGTCTCACGTCGTGATTCTTAGGACTCGACTAGCAATACTGTATATCACAATCACAACGTGGGGCCTGAAAAGTCATTATTCACTAACCATTTTGTCGGTGGCAAAGATGCATCTTCATCGGCAAAATTGTGGCTCCAAAAGGTAGAAGCCAGAATATCTTACTCCGAAAAATATGCCAGTTTTCTATAAGTATGGTCATCGGATTTATATGAATGAGAATAATATGAATATTATAAATGAGAATCATGTAATAAATCGCGAAGCAATCAAGCAACCAGCAACTGATCAATTAATCGATAATATTCTTCAAGTTATCAACGTAGTTCTCTGTTTTTGTTGTGAAATAATGGTGGCCGAATAAACTAAGACGAACAAAAATTTCAAATGAATGCACTCATACTATCAGCATTACCGACAAATCAATCATTAGAGCATTACATTAATAAATAAGTTTATCAGAGTTTACAAAGACTTATTCCAAGGTCCGCAAAAAAATACATCAACAAAAAATACAATCGGATTTCACAAAATAACGTGGTGTATTTCATCTAGAAAATTATTTTCAATACTAATGGCTGGTGAGAGAAACTTTTGGAAGTAAACTGAAGATTTAATAGAAGATTGCTCAACTGGGCTGCATTTCATGTTCTAGCAGTTTAAATGTACCAAATATATTACTTTTTAGCCAATGTAAAATCCATTATATGCTCACATGGATGAATGTCTGGAAAGCTATACACCTCATCTATTTCTCCTCAGGAGCATAAATATCTTATAAACTTAGAAAAAATTGTATTTTCTGTGTAAACTCTTTGAAAATATTTGTCAACAGTAACATAAATCTTGACATACAAGTTGTAGGAGGATAAGAGTGTATTTATGAAAGTTAGTCATCAAAGCCATGAATGAAAATACCAACAGTACTATCAACGAATGCCACAACATGGGCATGACACTTGAATACTTTGAAAAATATGGTGAATGAACGTTTTGAGAATATCTACACGAGCAAAGATTTTACTGCCGAAGATAACTTAAAAGTGAAAGACTATGTCATGTAATAACATGTAAACAATAAATTCAATAGAGTTTATTATTGATGAACATAGCAATATCTTAGCAAACTGTGTGTTTCTTAGCTGTTGAATGTATTGGTTAGTTAGTGTCTTAGTTAAGAACAACCCGTAAATTTTTCCTTGTGCTTACTACATATATTAGCCATATCATCAATCCATTGGGAATGTAATGGATGATGGATATCTTCTTGTACCTGTTAAAATGATCTATCTAAAAAAGAACGAAAATGTTTTATTGTTTATTTTCTTAAAAGTTGAGTTTAATCATGAATTGACCTTCTTAAGTGCTATATAACACAACTAATAACTCAAACTCAAAAATAAAGAAGAAAGATTGAGTAAAAATGTTGTACTGTTAGTGATACAAATAGTCATGAAGTGAAAATTGCGAAATTCAAATAAATCATCAATTTTGATATTTTAATTTGGGTGATTACAAGAACTTTGTGAAATTTACAATTCATTTATTTTAATCAAAAGTTTTATGCTAGATTTAAGTTTCAAAAAATGTATCTATTTTAAGTAAAATTTGGCTATTTAAAGTTGATACAAGTTTGCAATTTCAAGATTTCATTTCACAATCAATTTTAAAAGTATAAATCAAATGATTAAGCAAGCATTCCGATGGTTATAATTGATGTATTTGAATTCCAAAAAAATTATCATATAAATTTTATGTTGAATTTGATTATAAGATTGATTAAATTGATTTCGAATTGAATCTGACTTCAAAAAGTTAATACTAAGATTTATATATGTATAATGCATTACAATTATAAATATAAATATAAAATGGTGATGACTTTTTGAACAAAAATTTTATTGTAAAAGATGAATTTTGAAAATAAAAAAATATTGACATGATAATCTAATATGGTAAATGGTAAATAGATCAAGCCCGTGGTACCCAAAGTGTCAAAAGGCTGAAAAACTCAGTACAAACAATCCAACTCCAACCTAAAAGAGAATCCTCTAGCTAGTGCCCAAAGCACTAGAACGATAACTAATAACATCACTAACTAATAAATTAAAGTAAATTTGTGTTAGATTTAGTACACAAAAATTGGCATATTGCTCAAGTTTAACAATTTAGTAATTTGTTACAGATTTTGTTTCAAGTTGTTTTAAAAAAAAATTCAAAGTAAAAAATAAAAATCATAGATTCACACAAAAACTAAACAACATGTAGTGACATTGGCAAATTTTTCAACATTTTCAATTTTCTTCTCTACATTTATATCAATTGTTGAGTGAAGAAATTTAAGTTTTTAATTTTTTATATCCTAGTGTGTTATTTTGCAGGGCTGGCACGGAGTGGTGAAATTTGGTGTGATTTATTGTGGTTTAAGTGTTTCACCCGATTATCTCAAGTCTGCATAAATGTGGTTTAATGACGTGGTCGGATTTCATGATTTAGTCGGTGATGTAACAAATTTTCCGGCTATGTACTTCAATTTGCGCGGATCTAGCGCGGTTAGGCTAATTATCTGGCTCGACTCGGCGACATGGAAGTACTCACCATCTAATGTTGGCTGCGATATTGCTCTCCATTCTGTTGAACACAAACGCGCTCGTTGCAAGCCTGCTGCCGAATCTACGCTCTTCCTCTGTTGATCGAAAAAGGTCTTGTTGCGAGCCTACCATCAAATCTACGCTCTTCCTTCTGTTGATCGAAAACGGGCTTGTTGCGAGCCTACCGTCAAATCTACGCTCTTCCTTCTGTTGATCGAAAACGGGCTTGTTGCGAGCCTGCTGCCAAATCTACTGCTACTCTTTTGTTGATCAGAAATCAAAGATGCGCTTGTTGCCAGCCTGAGATCAGATACCCGCTTGTTGCCAAGATGCCGAATTTGCTACAAGTCTCCCTTCTGTCGATCAGGTTAGGTGAGCACGGATTGGATTACGTTTGATTGTCAAATTTGGATGTGCATGTCAGCTTGACTCGCTACCAGACCACAAACTAAGAGTGAATATCTGATTTTTGTTTTTACAGAATCTTTGATTGACGACGACGATGCTATTATGGAACTCATTACTTTAGATTTGGATGAAACAAAGGAGTGCAAACGCGGTCGCCCTACGAGCACCGTGTGAATCTTATTTACAAATGATGTCAATCCGCAGAACGCGAAGAGTGTTAGATGCCAGCATTGCAGCAACCTTGTGAATCATCACAAGAAAAATGAATGCACCAAGAAGCACCTCAACAAATGTCAGAAGTTCTGCACGTTCATGAATGGACTAGAAGATGCAGATCGTGCTAATTGGTTTGTCTTCAATAAGAATTCGGTCTATGTAGAGCGTGCAGATTTGCCAAATATAAGTTAGGCCACTAGCAATAGCGTTCAAAGATCAATGAAATCGTATGTGCTCCCAAAGTTCTCTTACTCTTAGAAACAAGAGTTTCAGAAGCAGATGGCAATGCACTATTTTTAAACTGGCATCTCTGTCCAGAGGATTAAAGATATCCATTTAGTGCAAGCCGTAAAAATACTTCGCCCCGATGATGGATTGCTGCTAATTCGAAAGTAACTAACGACTAACGGAGGTGATGCCAGATTTCCACACATTGCTCCTTGAGTTCTCGAAGCTGCTCGTAGCCAATATCATCAAAAAGTACGAGCTCGATTATATGATCAAGAAATGCATCTCGGGATTGATGTTTATGTACAGTGACGCACACGGTTTGGCCAACATGCTCGATCCACGGTTCATTGCGGAGGGTATGCAGAGGCAAAATTGTGAAGCATTGGAAGACATACCGTTCCAATTTCATGTTGATGATGAGTTGGAAGACATACTGTTCCGATTTCATGTTGATGATGAGTTGCGTGAGTCTGTGGATGAAGTGCGAGCGCAAATTATCTTCAAAAAGTACAAAGAGTTCGTCATCGATGCGACCAAAGCGAAGCAAGAGTAATCTATGCGGTTCAGAATGTTACTGAAAGGCCAGAAGAGTGTTTTGCAGTACTATTTGGTTGATGGCAAATTTTGGCCTGAGCTGCAAAGTGTTGCCATCAAGCTCTTCAGCATCGCGACTTCGAGTGCCGCTTCGCTTCGGAAAGCAACTGATCCACTATGGAGTTCATTCACTCTAAATTAAGAAATTCACTCACATCCAGACATTTAGACAAATTAACTTACATAAAAATTAATTTGTCTTCGTTTTATACTCAGGAAAACTTATGTGAGTTCGACATAGAGGATGTAACCAATGACTCACGGTGAATAGAGAGTCTCAATGAAAATGACAGAATATGTAACCGATGACTCAGAGTGAATACAGAGAGGCAATGAAAATGACAAGTAGAAGTCTCTATTAGAGACTTCACCGTGTCATTTCATGCTCGATGAAGTTATTGCATGCGAGGTCACGTGTCAATGATCAAACCATCCCAAAATCTGGTTTTAGTACATTAAACCATCAACCAGATGGATTTCACCAGGATTTAATGGTTTTATCCACCCCTGATATTTTGAGACTCTTTGGCTGTTGTTTGTTTTGATTGTTCAGCTGAGACTCTTTGGTCACGGTCGGGCCCATTTCTCTGGTAAGTTACACACTTCTTAGAACTCGCCTTTGGGCCAAGGTCGCCAAACGTATTCGGCTCTATGACTTTCTGGATATTTTGACATGTGAGCACTTGTAAGTAGGTTGACATGCAAATACAATATATAATACTCACAGGTTCATGAATCCATATGAAAAGTGTTCGCTTTGCGGCAACAGTTACATGGTCTAATCGGCACTAGTGTAAATGATTAGATATATAGACAGATGAACTAATTGGCGAACTTTACAATGCAATTGGGCTTTCTGCCACTCATAAAGGTAAAAGATGACGTTATGCGAATTGGTCACACTGTAAAGTAGACTTTCTATTTGTTTCAATCACAAAGTAGTAGATGAAGACAGTAATTAAGAGGAAAAATTTGCCGGAAGTACCTTAATTCTGGCAAACCTGGCATTTGCCAGATTTTACACGGTCTGCATTAGACAGACGGTTCAAACAATACATAGGTCGGCGCTCTCCTCCTTCATCGTGCCTTTGGGTCGGTGTTCGATGAACTTCGCTGGTCTCTCGTGTGTCGGGAATTCATGCTTTCGCGTTTTCGATTCTATGCGTCGCCAGGACTACTACTCTCAGAAAAAGTTCAAGTCTTGTTCAATCACCTTCATCTATTTTTGGTATTCGTGTTCCTTAGAGCTTCTGGAGCATCTCTAGATGCATGTGCTTAGGCCAGTGCGACCTGCGAATCATTGTCAGGCAATGTCAAAGCTCAATCATGTGAAGTCAGCTCACAAACCGATTGGCAGTATACTGGCAAATTGTCTGTTCCGGTAGACTCGTTACCAAACCAGATTAAGTGCTGTTTGTTTTCCCTCTTCTGCAGGAATGTCCATGTCCTTCCAAACTTGAAACGGATCAACTCCTGTAACAATTCCAAAGCTTCTTCTGAAGTTCAGGAGCAAGAAGGCATTATATGAAGTGTGTCACACTCATACGTGTCAATGACAAATTCTATGAGAAATACATTCTTCACTAATTTGTCCTCGTAGTCTACATTTTTACTGGTAAGTAATGATTGACCACGTGATTTATTTTTCATTAGTTTGAGTTTGTATTTCATTAGTCCTAGTATCTCTTAGATTCAAAATTACCATTTGCATTCCGTCGGGGGTAAAATAAAAATTTGCGATTTGACCATTGTCCTCATTCTCTTCAGTGTCTTACTGTATTCTTCCCTTTCGATTACTGAAGTCTTGGAAGGTCCGTGTCCTTTTCATTCCCAGGTTTATGCACTCTTGGATATCTCCCAGGTAAGCCAAGAGTGCATAAACCTGGGAATGAATGAAATGAGTGGTCTTCTGCCTTCTTCTGGGGCGTAGCAATGAGTTGCCGCTCGTTCTCGTCCCGAGTCCCTACCATCTACTTTGTGGCAGACGTCGAATATCGTTCCAACGTGCACCACATATCTTGCGCCCGATGTAGGTGGTCTCTACTTTGCACCCACTCTTTTAATTTGTCAGAGCATTTGTAATATTTTGCTTGCAAAAGGGCCTTTTTTCCATCGTAGGAATACCTGGTCATTTCTAGCAGAGAAAACGACGGCGAGCCAACCCTGACTGCTTAGATAACCAACAAAGTCCATGGATAGGTATGTGTAACGTCTACATCAAGGTAGCCTGAAAACAGAGGAGCGGGAGTCTGCAGATTTTAGTTATTTCGAGGGCATCGGATTATTGAATGCACTGTTCGGGACTTCAGACCTGGTGTGTATTCAGACTTGAAGTTGGCCGTCCACGACACTAAAAACCATGGTCGCAGACCAGCACAGAAGCGCCACTAATCCAGAGTCGATTCGGGGCAACTTCAGTATCCGACGGAGACACACCACAGAACTGTTTCATGGAACTCTTATGTTCTGACAAGAAACGTAGTCCATGTTTGCCACCGCCGAGACTGCTTCAAGTGTTCCAAAGAATGGCAATTGTTGAATAAAAGAATGTGGATGTACAAAAAAGCTCAAATGTGTTTGGAAACGAATTCCCCGCAAATCCTTCTGTATACTTAGCTATCCGCGAGATTTTCTGTAAGTGGGGCGGGGGATCTAGAAGGGTTGTTTCCTTCAGCTGAACTTTGTTGGCTGGGTGCATCCACTTCGTTCATCCGGTTACTATTCCCATTCTCTGATGCAAAAGTTTCTGGAGCAGCTGTAACTACGTTGCTTCCAGCAGTACTCTCTCTGGTGTTGTCTGTGACTGCACTAGTAGTACCTTGCACTGCGTCGACAGCTTTCGCAGCTCCATTATCCTTCGGGAGTTGGTACGAGGTAGTGACAACAAGTCTCCGCAGACCCTCTAGAACGTCCTTCAATTGAATTAAACTTGCTCCCCCGGTGTAGCATCGCCCGAAACAGAGGACACAGTACGGACATGCCACCTGTTCACGTTGAGCAAAAGCACCGCCTTTAGAACCAAGAAGAAAAACCGGCAAAATAAGACTCATTCTGTTCCACCACGTGTCTCGTACAATTCCTCTTATTTCAAAAGGGTAACTATCTCCAAGACTAGCCTCCCTGTTGCAGGAATCACCATATATCTCCTCTGTTTCGAAAGTACATAATGACGCTCACAAATTGCAGAGATATTTGTCTCTAGAAATGCATATGCAACCGAGACACATAATGTTCATCAAACAAGGCACTGCTGAAAACAGAACACAATTACCTCAATAAACGCTCTACACATCGCCAAAAATAGGTTTGACTCGCTCTCCCTCATCATGCGCGTTGCGTTGTATCGTAGAAATGAATCAGCGACACTTTGCAACGCTCGCTGTACTTCCATAGCAAGAGTAGTCTTCAAGTTTATTGGGGCGCAGTGCCTTAGTTCATTCAAAGCAGCTAACACACCTGGAGACCATCGGAGTAAATGGTGAGACTGATGAGGAGAAAATTATGGCCAAGAAATCGACTCCATTCTTCTCCATTCTTCTTGCAAGTACTTAGTAACTAGTTGAGAGACTAAAAAGAAAAAACTTCATGCACAACCATCGGTTTACTTACCATTTACAAACGAGGCCAACGGAGGGTGATCCATCAGTGAATACGGTGGAGATATATCATCTGAACTGGCATCACCTCGCACACCTGCTCCTACTGGTGGAAGAGGAACCCACCGATGGGTATCCAGCACATGCTACAGAAAGATATAGCTCAATTTAAGATGATAATTCGATGACTATTATATGTACAAAATACAAACATGCATACTTTTAAAGATTGCTCAGTCTTCAGTGTGAAACTTTAACTAAAAGAGAAACAACGTTAGCTACAGGGAAATGACACTGGAGTGTAATCCATACCTGGAAGTTCTCCACAGTAATGGACATGTTGCGCACAAACAAATCGTGCACGGAACTGAAAAATTCCACACAGAGCGAGTCATTTCCAAAATTTTAAATAAATTGTGTACAAAGATTATTTTCAAAATAACATTTCATTGCATGCCCGAAGCAGTACTTAAACACGGAAAAGAAAGACACTATACAACCGACCCGCCAAGAATGGATGATGATGATTGAACTAGACGAAAGTGCAAACTTACTTTTCAAAAAGTGGTGGCAGTAGACCTCTGAAATCAAGTCCAACACGACCCAGACTCATTCCACAATACTGCACAAATCAGAGCCCCATCCTGCTGCATGTTACACAATTAAGTGCTTGGTTGATACAGCAACGTTCTACCTTTGTTCCTCGTTCACTATTTCCAGGTATTGAGTTTGTCACTTCTACAAAGATGGACAGCGTTTCACAGGAGTTTGCTCCTCTAAATCATATGATCACGAGCAAACCAATAATTTAACTCTGCTCTGTGGAAATACACGAGTCGAACAAGTAAGCAGACCTTACCATGGACTGTTCAAGTATAATTGCCAAAGATACACCCTCAGTTATCTTCGGAAGTACTTCCTGAAGAACTGTTAGGTGTGTGGTGATTCTATGCATGGCCCAGCTGTACAGGAGGCCCCCATCACTGTTTTCTTCGTGACCAGAAGTGTCATCTGCAAAAATGGCTCGATACTGGGTGACTACATCAAAGAGATGAACCTTATGACAATCAGCCATCCGCTTCAGGTACTCATACGGATTGGATCGGTCCAAGTCATCGATGATGCCCGCAAGCCATGCCTCTCTGCATCTCAGAAACTGTTTCATGAGAACAAAAATCTTTTAGTGCTGATTGAGTTTCAATAAAAGGTCAATCCCAAAGTAAAGAGATTCTGGCCGATGGAGCTAATGTTCAATACTGGATACCCTTCAAACAAATTGAACTTTCCATTATACACATTGAGAGCAAGATTAATATTTCACCTGTAGACGCATCTCATGTTCGCTAAATACGGCAAGACGGCGCAAGTATCCAATGACTCGCAAACATTCAGGTAACTAGACAGAAACAATTTCAGAACTGGTGTCAGGTCACGGTAAGCAGCATCGTATAATAAAGGGAACAGTAGTTCTACAAATGTCAGCTATTCAGAAGTATTGATTCGGAATGTACCATCTAGTTCTTGCGGAATTCTCAAAGAACCGTTATCAAACGACGTCTTCTGAGGTCTGACGAACTCAGAACGTCTTACCTGTATACTTGACCGTAATCTTTGTAGAATTTGAGCGAGTAAAGACTGAGTTGTTTGTTTTACTTCTTCAGCAAGGTATTGGATGACAGGTAATCTACGCACAGCAATTAGCTCGTCAGCAAAACTGGCAAAGCAATTTTACTGGTTGAAACAACCGCTAACACAAATACAATAGCTCCATAAGGTTCTTTCTCACCTCGCGTGCATCGTTGACAGCTTGGTCACAAAAGCTTCAAGGTCCAGAGCTTCGTCGTAGTTGCCATTTCGCACACACCTGCAAGGATGAACACGCAAACAGTTCACTTCGTAGCTCTGTTTCCATGCGAGTTCAGTTGAAGAGGTGCCATGTTTTCAAAACTGAGGCTGAACGGTGTTGTATAAAGGTTGCCGTCACCAGTCAACTGATAATTCCATCCGGAACATTCAACTTTTACTCAGCTTTCCGTTGTTATTCTACCATCTAAGTGTCCAACCCCTCATTCAGCGAGCAAGTTCTATAGTCATCAGGCTATGACAGTATAGTGAAAACAGTCTCTTTCATCTTCTACCTGTCATAGATACTCTTCCAAAAAATCAAAAAAATGCATCGGCTTCTCAGCACTGTGAGGTCGTTCCCTCCAATCTTCTGTGCTTTTTTAGAGATTCATACTCAAATATCAGGCATTTATCAAGTAACCACCCAATTCAAGGAAATATGCTGACTTCGTCCTCATGTTGCTCGTCCTTGTAAGAATTAGGTGTGTTGGTTGGAGCTTAAAAGTCAGCAATAACCGACGAAGGTACTTCGTTCCACATCTATGAAAGAAATCTTCTCGTGACCAAAAGAGAACCCAAAACAATAAGTAGATTTGCAGATATATAGTAATAATATGGAAAAAATGCATCAAGATGAAAAAAAATTCAGTGACGAAATCATTATAGTTTGCAAAGAAAGAACATACGTGTCCATGAGTTGAGGAATTTCCAGAAGATCCAGGAGGGTGCTATGGTTGGCAAGTAACGTTCGATTCAACTTGTGATTCTCAAGCAGTTGTTGTGCTTCCTCCATAAAATCATTACAGCCTTTCGTGAGTTTTGGAATTTCCAAAATCTGCAAAATGGCAAAAAGTGTAAATGCTTGAAACTTTATCAGGCTAGGATAAAAAACAAAGACGAAGTTGCGAGCCGTCCGGCGTGTAATCTCAACATTCAAAGTTTGCTTTCATCTTGTGGCGCTGGTTGTAGGCAAAATGAACAGACATACTGGCGCCAATAATGTGGAAGAGCCTCAACATTCAAAGATGCAAAGTACAAGCAAAAATAGCAATCCAACTACTATCTTGAAGCACATCAGATACGTCATTTCAGCTAGCACCTTCAATAATGCAGGTATCCTGCAGAAACTTACAAGATTTTCCAAGTGCTCGTCAACAGCAGCAATTTCCTGACTGATAGATTGAACTGCGTCAGCTGCACTTATGAATCCTCTGTAGTGCCCAACAGCAACCTCCTGCATCTGCCGTCTTATCCGCTCCGCATCCACCCGTAAGAGATCCGGCTCCTACTTGTGGCAAGAAAATAACATCAGAAAATTCAGAACGATCGGTAAGAGGCAACATATCTGCGACGTACAAAGGTATGCTTCCCCATTTGTAGTCTTTCGGATGCCATCAAATTCGTGAATTTCGAACTCCATAGATCACAGATAATCTCGAAAAGGATCGGTAAGGCGCAACTTTGGTGGCGCCTCCGTAGTAATATAAGAAAAAATAAAAACAAACGAAACTCCTCGAAAGAATTGGAACCTAATTGCTCAAATCCACTACCAGATCCTGATAGACAGATAATGAGAACGATGCCGTAAACCCACGATAACAACATCCCCAATCAGATCCGATGGATCGATCGTGCCTCTATCACATCGAGAATTGGCCAATCAGCCAAACGTGTACAAACTCAATGCGAGAAGCTCGTAAACCCACAGACGAGCGGAGCGTACCTTGTGGAGCCGGTCCAGGGTGAATGACAGCAATTCTGAAACATAGGCCTGTTGAGTGGGATTTGCCAGAGGCAGCGGCGAAGGAGCCATCACTCCAACGCTGCTCATTTTCGATCAGACCTGCAAAACTCCTGCTCTCTCAATCCAACTCTCGTTTTCTGTCGAGCGAGCACGCACGCACGCTCTCGCTGATCCAGCTCTCGACTCTCGACACTCGACTGTCAACGGAGCGGGGCCGGTCACAAGACCAAGCCAGGCCTCGGTGCAGTCCGCGGAATCCGGTCCTCCGGTACCCAAAGATCCCAGAGCCTTCGAGCGCCACTGCGCCGTTGGAAATACGTCCGGCAACTTGCCAGCAGCAGATACCGAGGGAATCGATTATTACCGTTTCTGTACATCAAGCTTGCGAAGACTACGCCGACAAATTTGTCCGGACTTTTCTGTGTTCACGGCTTTTTGGCCCGGGAATTATATTTAAGCTCCTTTATCTTTAGGCTTGTGATTCACTTTGCGCACCCCTTTATTCCAAATATTTCGAGTTTTGCTTTCGGGAAAGTTCCTTCAAAAAATGAAAAGGAGCTCCATTATTTCTGTGCACTTCCAGCGACGAATTGTATGCGTGCATCAAACCCTAAGCGCACAACCACCTTTCTCTCTACAATGATTACATCAGCCCATTAATATTTCCGAGCGAAGAGTAACCATCTTTCTCTCTACAGTGATTACATCAGCCCATTAATATTTCCGAGCGAAGAATTTCACGTTGCACTTTGTCTCATTCTTGAGAATGGGTTGAAATACTGGTTTTCCAAGGCTGACATACGAACGCCTTAAATCGGCGTGAAACTCTTACAATAATATGGGAGGAAATATATGTTTCCGCTGAGAATATGCAGATTAAATATATTCTATAAATTAATCATTGTTTCGGTCCTATATTTAACAGAATCCATCCCAAACAGCGTAAAGCAACTCCGGTCTCCGGGTTGCGGTGATAATATATGACCAGAACTTGGGTTCGGACATGTCGAAAGGAAAGTCAGAATTTATTGCGTGGGGTGTGACAAATGCGGGACAAATCGCGAAGCCTCGGATATACGAAAGACGAGGACGAGGGTGACCTGTACCTCGTGAGCGCCTTTCTTGCTTAGGTTTTCCTTAGCGAGGGACCTGGTCCTGACGGAATCTACAGACGGAAGGAGGAAGGCTCAGGGCCCGGCGGAGGAATCATCCCCAGGAGTAGGAACGAGAGCTGACAGTTTTAGACCGAGATCGAGCATCGGTGGCACGGACGGGAGATCGATGATCGTGAAGGGTTTTGGGCTTGCAATGCGAAGTCTGCACGGTGGAAAAGGTTTGGTGGAAGAGAAGAGATCGATGATTTGGTAGCGCGCGAGACAATAGAGGTTGGAATTGGCTAGTGAGATTGCTGGAATTGAGTAGGATAGCACCGGAGACAGGTATGGGCTTAGTAAGGTTGAGATTGGCCCGGTTTGGGCGCCGGAATTTGCCGTTCTATCGAATCACTGCAGCCGATTCTCGAGCTCCTCGTGATGGCAAGCACTTAGAGGTGGTTGGGCATTATAACCCCATGCCTGGTAAAGATGGGCTCAAGCGCATTGGAATCAACACAGAGAGGATCAAATATTGGCTTTCAGTTGGAGCTCAACCCTCCGATCCTGTAGCGAGATTGCTCCATCTTGTGGGACTCATGCCTAAACCCCCCGCTTCTTTTGTGGTCAGAAAGGGCCTTCCTCCTAAGAAGCAACCAACAGCAGCGGCTGCTGAATAGGGCACATCGATTAGATGCAAGAAATGCACAATTTGGCCTTGCAGTTGATTCTTCAGAGCACATCAGAGATAACTAGGGTCGTTGACAGTCATCTTCAGGGGAGTGAGCTAGCGGAATCGCAGGAGTCTTCTGAATTATGAAGTCAAGGATATTGGATTTCGATGTGAGGCTTTATGTTAATTACAGATTGGGCCTGGTGCGGTTGCACCTGCCCTTGAATTTTTCATTTTCCGGTTTTTATCTGGGGTTTTGATAATCGTACTTCTTTGACGGTCCACATTTTCAAATATTTTCAAATCTCTGTTGGTCACCTTGAGAATTACATTCACAGCTAGCTGCGGCCGAGCATTGTTTACTCTTGTAGATCTCTTCTCTTCCATAGAAACACAAGACAATCCTCAAGTGTGCTCACTTTCTTCGTCGTCTGCAATTCTGTATGGGCCGAAAGGCGCAATGGGTTCCTCTAGTTGAATGATGCGTTGGCAGCTTTGTGGATTTGTGGAACATTAGAGTTGAGGAAAACCTGATTTCATCTCGAGGAAGTACAGGATGCAGTAGTGAAGGAGTAATCACTACGTGTCCACTATGTAGTTGTCCACTAGAAGTTATTCTTTTTTTGCAGCTGTAACGCTGTAATAGTTTCCACATCGATGCTCTATTTGTTCTTACCACCAACTGTATAACAGATTTTTGGATTCAAGCAGTCAGGAGACTTCGTAAAAATCTTTTTGTTGATGTCAGGCTTTAATGTGTTCATGGCATATCCTTTGCAAGTCATCTGCATACTGTCCTTTGAATGTGCTCTGTATTCTGTCATAAAAACCGAAATCTGCAATACACATGTGGAGACCGAAAATACCACCTCCTCAGACATTATCTCTCTGCCATGACATGGATGATGTCTGAGACTTGAATATCGCTGGTGAGAGGAACAAAAGGCAGCTCAATTCTCCTTCCTCTCCTAGTCCTCTGCTTGTGCTGACTGCTGAGGCACGGTGACAAAATGGTGAGAAATTGTCTTTGCAATTGCCAACTCTTGCTGGAGATACTGAGTTTACAAAGACAGATAGAAGCCCAGTGATGTAAAAAGTCTTCCCCTCTGTTGTATATCTTTAATTTGCTTGCTGTCAGATGGCTTAAGCTTGTACCAGCTGCTATTCATTTGTTTCAACTAGTGTTTTTCTGCGCTGGAAACTATATGTATGTACAGCACGTCATAAAACGATCAGCCCGAGAAAATTACAAACTCCGTCAGGCTCTCGGTGAAGGAACTTTGCATTACGTAGCTTCACGGACATCAGGAATCTGGTCCTGACTCGACCACCTCTTTGCCGAACACAATTCTCATATTTGAGAACTAATCTCCTGACTACTCCGACATCTAATGATTTTCTAAAATAATAGGTTACTGAGCTTTGTTACTGAGGTTCGGTTTGCGCGCAGCCTGAAGATTACCGAACAGTTCAGGATTGGTTTTCCTTTAAAGCCTGGAGATTTGGATGAAAACTAACTAAACCAACTATTTAGGGGTGGCATGTTACCTCTCTCACTTGCCCTTTATAGGCCATGTGCTTGTTTCATCGTCTCCATCTCCAATGCTGTTGCTCACCAAGTTGAGTCAGAAGTCTAGATGCCCAAGGGTCATTCGACCTATTAATGGCTCTTAATCGCTGCAATCGATTTGTGCACTCTGACAAGTATCATAATTTGGGTTCTATCTGGTTGTCCTGAGAAGTTACTACAGCATTTTGTAGACATGACAGGAACTGGTGAATTGTACAGTTATAGAAAGTGAGAAGGGCCCTAGTGCCCATAAGAAGAGTATGAGGACCTAGAGAACCCGACGTGACCATAGGTGGAAACATTTCTCATTGATGGATAAAATTACTGTAAATTCCAGGAGTATATCACTTGCATTCAGAGGAAAGGATTTGGACCGACTGATGGAGGCTGTCACAGGAAAGTTTTGTATATTCATCATCCTCTCAAGAACACTGAAATTAATTCGCCGTACTGCACTGTAGACTGCGATGACTGCTCAAGTTCCGAGCGTCCGGAATATGCCCTGACTTCCATGTCTCAAGCCCAAACATGTGATCAGACTTAAGTTTCTCCATACATAGTTGGCTGCTGTAGAAATGGAAGCGGCAACACTGAAAGGCATGATTTCTGGACAATCTCGGATGGATGCCTGTCTTCTGCCTCCCAAACCTTTGACTTCACGCCGCTCACTTTCCTCGAAACCGGTTTATCCTCCGAGCAAAGTTCTCTTTGTGCAGGTCGATTGATGCTGACGAAAATGTTGAACAGATCGTGCGTCACAATCTTCCAGAACTTTAGCCTGTTGGTTCACGGTGAATTTTCATCTCGAGCAAGTGAATTTTCATCTCTTGCTTGGCGCACACGTCTGCCCGGTGTGGGAAATGCGGTTAGGACTCCAGCGTCCGAATGCCCGAGCCGGACATTCCCTGCCATGGATGGTGACATCAATGTGCTCGCATTGGCAACACCCCCGAAAAACAGAGTCCACTCTTTCCGCTGCCTTGCGTGTGTCGCCCGCGCATTGTGTCTCTCTCTCCAACAGCTTGGAATCCTCGCGGTACAATCATTTCTCCGAGCCCTGCTGATTAAAGCTTACGAGCTGAAGATGCTTCTTGAAAGTGACCCACAGGCCATGACTCATGACTCTTCAAGAATCCTTTTCTAATGCGCAGAATACCAATTTCGTCTCACGTCAGAAGAAGCGCATTGCAGAGCATCCGCGCCAATCGTAACGTGAAGTGATCAAGATCCTGATACGAGGCCAAGAAACCCTCACTTTGTTACGACGCTTCCGACTCTTCTGCTCGGAGTTTCTTGGATTTTTATATCTGTCTAACGAAGCACTAGCGAATATGAGACGCCACAAATCGTTCGGGCTCTGCCGAACCACATCGGCCCTTGCTGTTGGAGTTTGGAAGTGACAGAACGGAATTAATATTGAGAATTGTGAGAAAGAAAGACTGACTGATCTGCGCGTATGAACTTCGCTAAAAAACTATGCTTTGGCTCGGGCACAGTCAAAAACAAATTAACACGCCAAAATAAATAAATTGGAGACTATCATTTGTTTCTCCTCCGCGCAGAATCCGAAGGACACTTCTTTGCCTTTATGAAAGAAGCGCCGACGATGAACCGAGGCTGCAAAAAATAATAGCTTACAAAGTACGCTGGAAGTAATGAAAGCTCTGATACGCATGCAAAAAATAATAGCTTACAAAGTACGCTGGAAGTAATGAAAGCTCTGATACGCATGAATGGGCTGGACTTGTTCGAGAAATCAACTACTGTGATAATAGCATAAGATATGTCATCAAATAGTAAGAAGTTCGTTGCATTAGGGCAAAGTTTGAATATGGTTGGGAAAAAGGGTTTACGCTTCCGCAAGAAGACTCTTTGTGGTGTCATATGGCAAGAAACTATCCCCAAAAATGATTACTAACAAAACATTAACCAAAATCTTACAAAATTTTAATATGAAATCTAGACTGTGGGATTTTATATTCTTATCTGATGATATACTTGAGCGTATTATGGCATTTATTTTGATGATATCAGCAATACACTCAAATATTGCATAATGTAGTTTGCAGAGAACAATCATTGACAACATGTATAATCAAATCACAAAATATATGGTATGTTCTTTAAACCTTGATAATACCGACAAATTTCCTTTTGTGAAAACAACTTTTTACATGTTTTTAAGACTATACAAACTAATAACTGGATATTGTGCAGCACACAACTCACATCAACCACGTCATTCTATATTCTGTGGTTTGCCACAGTCCGGTAAATGATTCTTTTATCTTTTTTAATTTAGTATCTACATTGACAATAATTCTGCATTCATTTTCTATCCTCTCATCAACGCATGACTGATTTCAGCTTTAAAAACTCATATTCTAGCCAGTTAAAACTAAAACTTCTAAATTGACATGATATTGAGAAATTTGACGTGGATATGTATACATGCAACTTCAACATCTCATAATAAAAATACGTAACCATTCATTTTCATTTGAATTTTGTAATATAACATAAAATACTGTCAATTTATGTAAACAACTTATTGATTGACGTTGTACTCTAACTTAAGAAAAAATTACTGCACAACTGAATTTTTAAACGTGGGAATATAAAACTACATGATTTTGAATTTTTTATATTAAATATATAAGATATTACTGTGATAACACATATATTCATGTAAAATTTTACATGTACATTTCTTTACATGACAGTTTCATTTTCAAAAACGTATCAGTTGGAAAAAATATTGTCTTTAAGTTATGAAAATGATAAATAAGAACTTATTATTAAGTTTAAAATATATAATATTATGAAAATGATACTATATAACATGTTTCACATACATATAAATTCATATTATTTTCATAACAGGGTAAAATTCGAATTTTCAAATTAAATATATCACTTTTTTATCCTTAACTTTTCACAAAAAGTAGTATATGTTTCATGTATAATATTATATTCAAAATATCAAAGAATTAAAAAAAATTAATTTCAAAATTCAGATGATGTTGTAACATGTAACATAAGCAATTTATAATAAAAAATGTTGTCGAATCTGATTGTATAATATTATATAACATGTGTTGCTTGAATTGGTGTTTGATAATTTCAAAAAAAAAACTCATAAGAAAAATAATATCAATCATATATCAATATTTTGATATATAAATATACGATGTTTACGTAAAATTAATTGATAGAAGTCCAATAAGTTTTAAAGTCACAAGTTAGTGATTAAGCAAGATCAATTATATATTCATTTGAATCATAATTACAATAGAATAAAAAAAATTGAAAAATATTTTCAACAAGATTTATGGTATTGAGAGAGCTATAAATAATTAATACTTTATCTGGATATAAAAAGTAGCCTCGTAATTAGTTTTAATTTAAATTAATTTTTTATTATATAAAATATGATTAATATCATATTACAAATAAAAGTCGTATTTAAGAAGTAATCCTATATGAAATATTATAAATTTTTTATATTTAAATTTTTTTATAGATATACACTCATTCAAACAAATGATAATAATAAGTCACATATCAACAACAAATTATCACATATGCATTTGTAATTTCACAAATAACTTGGAAATACCTTCAAATTTATTTTAATAATATATCAGATTTAGATTATGTTGATTGTGAAATTATCATTAAAAAAATCAAGTACAGTTTTACTTAATGACGTAAGTTCTTTATTTTTTTGCAAGTTTTGAGAAATTATTGTCACTTATTGTGAATAAAATGAAGAATATTTTATATACATTGTATAATATACATTGTTGACAGCTTGATGATTGTTCACATTACATCAATGAGACTTACAAAATAAATATATGTCTTTATAGAATGTGAATAAAGAGAAACTTAATTCACTTTTAGGTGTCACAAAATATTTATGTTGAACATAATTAATTCTGATAGATTAAATTAATGATTTATATTATTGCCATTCATTAGACTATAAAGATTGGAAATTTGGTATAAACTAAGAAGTTCCTAATAGGTCAATATAATTTATTTGTTTAACTTTATAACTGATTTAGAGATGATAGGAAAGATTCGTTCATTGTCAACTTTTATCATAAAATATGAATTCATTATGATTGATTCAATACTATATCTTTATCATTATTATTGCTGTGAATTATACTATAGTGTTGTGAAGTATACTATCAAAATAAAATATATATTTGATCATCAATTTTTTCTCTTAGTCTTGACAATGGGCATGTCGCAAACCACATATTGGCATCATGATTTTTCATATAGTGTTGGAAATTTATAACTTTTGATTCAAAATTATATCAATTTTGATGCATGATTTAACTATTTTGTTTATAATATAATTTATGATTAAATTTATGCAATTATTTTAAAAGATGTGAACGGTAAAACTCAAGAATTACACAAACACATAAATAACGTGGTTCATCCTTAGCTAGAGGGCTACGTCCACCCAGAACTCTCAGCACTTTACTTCAGGTCTTGTCAGAAAGACACAATGTACACGACAAACTCAGAGGTATTTACCCATAAGCGACCATATTAGCTATAAATAGCTAGGAACCGAGGTGACTCCTTATCTGGAGTCAAACTAAACAAATAAAAATCAAAAGATGCATGGAAATTTACATTTTTTATTATTTAAAATAAAAAATATGAAACTTTATAATATTTTTGTTGTGAATGTTGTATAGTACATTTTATATGATGTGTAATTCACAATATTGATACATTTTTCATATTAGCAATTCAAACTTTTGTATAAATATTCAATCATATAAACTCACATAATGTGGATAAATATAATATGGATATATTACAAATAATATTTATCCATAATTACATAAATTTTTTTTTTTCATGTTTGACATGATTTAAATTTTGATTCATTACTTACTTGATACATTGATTCAATAATGATTCATTGTGGGAGCGGCTAGTTGTCACTCACTTGGGACTAATTAGACTTCGGTCTATTACAATCTTTATATGATTGGTAGATGCAGTAGGTTTATCGGATGAGTAACAATCAGGGTAGGGTGTAATATCTTTAACCAATCAAAGAATCGCTTATACTAGAATGAGGACTGATTAGCCCTAAGTGAGGGAGAACTAGCACTTCCCTTCGTTATTTGAAATCAATGTAAAGTAATCTAAAATATTATTTTATGGATTTTTTTATTATGATCAAATAACATAACTCGTTTTTAATAATCACATTATTAATATTTTCAATGTGGAATTTTATATTTCAAAAGAGTACATTTCAAATGATTGGTTCAATTCAATTGGAAGTTTAGATTATTAATCCCAACACCATGTTCATATTTTTTGTTTATATTTCAAAATTTGTTTCCATCTGTACATTCAATCATTCAAAATTCTTTAAGAATTGTGCTTCAAAGACCCTATTTATTTGTTTATAACAGTAATTTGGACGAACAATATTTGCAAGTAAGATTGCTAAATGGTAAATTAGAAATATTTACCATTTCAAAAACATTTTTCTCTTAAATCAGAGAAGAATCAAACTTCATCTTCATATAAATCAACAAACATGTAAGTATTTTGATCATATGAGATAGTTGAATATGTTAAATTAAACGTAAAATTCATAACTTACCTCTACATATAATTATTATAAAAAATGGTAAAAATAATAATCTGGATTTTGCTTACAAATTAATAAGACATCAGTTCTCTTGACAATCACAACCTGTAAATCAATGACCGTTCACTAAGAGAAATATATAATTTTTTTTAGAGACATAATTCATACGATCTTATAATTTCAATCACCTCTTTTATAAATATGATTATATTTATCAAAATTCCATGAACTATGTTTGCCATACTAAAGAAACCATAGTGTGGTATCCAAAAAGCCTATAATTATTCTAATAGCTGTCATAACCTACAGTGCTATCCAAATGGCAAAATAATTTTCTTAAATAATTTACATGTAAAGTCATCATCTTGTAGTAGATGTGCCACACCACCAAAACAATAAAGTACAAAATTTATATTTTTCTGAAGGGACAAAATGTAGATCTAATAAGTGACGTAGTTTTCGCAATGCAAATAAAAGTTCACCTTTTTGTAAGACGCTACGTATGTTTGTCACATACCATAATAGTGTAATTTTCAATGTCCATCATTCTATTCCTGGTCACTTGCCCAAATCAGTAACATACTGGACGGTAGTTATTGAATTCGATACCTACCCAGCGTAGTTTTCAGTATATTGGAGTTGTTAAGACCCTTCAGCCACATACTCTTATTACCGAGAGGCCACTCGAATGAGTGGGATTTTACTCGCTTAAAATGATTCGTGCTTGGAGGAGACGACATCAACACATCGTAACCATCCGCTCGTCAATTACGATTTCGCACCTCTGTACATAGTCCTTCTATTCTAGCACAACCACTCCTATATCTGGGGAATATCTCGCCCTCAGCTTTCATGTGAAACAAATTGGTCTGAGCTGTGAGTTCTTCTTTACAGGTTGTAAAAAAGTGTTATAAGAACTGTAAGCCTTTCTGCAGTGCTACTATTAGAACCGAAGAGTATTGTACTTTTGCAGGCGTACATGAAAAGTATATCGTAAATTAGGGGTCCAAAGTGGTATCCTTTGGCTTGTCTCACAGACCTTACGTCACAAGTTAACCAGAAAAACTACATGAGGAAGAAGTTTTCAAACCTTGTGCGTGGTCTAGGTCTTATGTGACAAAGGTCAACTGAAAAGTTCATTCGGCTTGCAGATACGCTGGATGTAATATTGAGGAGGGTGTACAGCGCCACTTTCTTGACTTCTGAAATGGCTTTGGAACTGGAATTCACACCACTGTTTCGAATCAGGCAACCTTTATTTTTTCACAGAAAGGTCAAAGAAATTCCATCCACGCTCCAGGCGCACATATGATAAACGCTTCGGGGGACCAAAAAACACAATCTAGCTTGGCCATGAAGAAATAGCATATCTGCATGGGTGAGAAGTCAACAATAATAGTCAGTGCCCCGCAAATTTCCCTTCATGAAGAGCACTACGGCGGAGGAATAGATCACATATTAAAGAGCTCCAGCACGATTCGTATTTCGGAAGGGGTCCAACACGTTAGCTCTCGGTCAAGCGCCGACGAAAAAAAGAAGTGGCGACTGTGCTCGGGGCTGTCGAATTAGCGCGAAGATCCGCGAATTCTCTCGTTCGCGGATCGGACGAACCGACCGACCGACCTTTCCTCCGAGCAACGCCTGCGGCTTTAGCTTTGGCTTTCCATCATGGAAAGCCAAGGATGGAAGCGATCGCAAATGGCAAGGGCGAAGAGAGAAAGTGGAGGAGCTCATCGGCCCGTGGGAACATGATGAAGCAGAAGAGGCAAGGCGGGCGGTGTCCGCTAACCATTCGAGAAACCAGCCGAGAGCGGGGAGCTAACCGTGGCGACGTGGTGGGTGAAATAGGGCAGCCCTGTTCACGCCGAATTGGCGGCACGACAGTTTATCATGCCAGAGTGTGGGGTCGCAGCCTATCTCCGCCCATGACCATGCAAGGCATGGGCCCCCTTTACCGCCAGCTTGCAAATCCCATGATCGGATGGCTCGGATGTCTTGCCGGGAAGCCCCTGCCAGGACTCCCGTCGGGACCAACCGCCGATGTGGCCTCGCGGGAGTCGCTGCGTCGAACTCGCGTGGACGTGCCCCGGCGCTCCCTCGAGTTCGGCCTGCTGAACACTGCAATGGAAGACCTTCACGGATGTTGGTTCTTCGTTACTGCAGGGCCGAATAGTGCCCACCCTTCGTGCAGATCTCGGAACCTTCTTTCGGAAGATGGCTGATTTTGGCGCCGAATAATCAACGACGCTAACCCCTTACGGCAAGGCTGACTCTCACGACGCAGATGATTAAAGTCCGTGGCCTTGGGGCTGCAAGGGGTGTCGATTATGTCTCCGCGCGAAGTAACCATTAGAGGGGCGGGACTGTAGGAAGGTTGTCTTGGGCGGGGGGGCGGTCCCAGGGGTCCGAGGCCTGCGCTGTCTGGTGCAGTAAATACAGGTTTTATTTCACGGCCGCAGTAGATGCTGCATTACAGATCGGAGCTCGGTGGGCTCTGGACATAGTGAGACCCAGTCACAGTCGCAACAGTGGAATCTCCGAGTGAGAGTACAGCGACGCTGACGTGGAAGGGGAAAGGCCCATTTCACTGCGAGGCGACCCGATGTCAAAGGGACGTTGGGGATTCAAAACGAGGGGTTACCGTTGCCGGTTCGAACTCAGAGAGCTACTAGAGACGTTACCGACCAGGTCGGCGTAGTGCTCCCTGGTTCAGCGCCGGGGAGTGAGTGGCCTGGGCGAAGCCGGCAGGCAGGCAGGAGGGCAGGAGAGCGGGCGGGCGGGCGGGCATGCGAGCGAGGAATGAAGGGAGTAGGAAGGCGATGTACGGCATGCATGTTGGGGATGGGCATGGGCATGGGCATGCGATGTGGTGCGGTGGAGCGAATAAGCATGGCGCGGGGGTGGCCTGGAGATGCAGGAGCACAGCATAGCATAGCATAGCATAACATAGCATAGCAGCATCCTGATGGAGGGAGGATGGCGAGCCAACGGGAGCGGGAACAGAGCGTTTTCAAACATGTCCTAAAGTGACATACACTCTGTGTGCCCTCTTGCCCACGTTAACGGGTACTCGCCCGTTCTGTGTGTGTTTCCTCCGAGTCTAGACCTCTGCTCCGCTCCCCAGAGCTCGACGTGAGCGCGATCTCTCCGCCTAGCCCCTCCCTCCATCCTTCTCCCTCCTCTGGCGTCCCTCTCGAGGGAATTCCTCGATCAGGCGAGCGAAGCAAAGAAGCAGCAGAGCAGAGGAGGACGATACGCAGGCTGTGAAGTGGATTCATGGTCTGATCGAAGAACAAGGATTTGTATTCAAGAAAGACAAGGAAGCGACGACTGTGCGAACGAGAGCGTAAAGAAGGAATTACGTTGGATGGTTGATTGCCAGCAGCATCAGCAGCATCAGCAGCAGCCGCAGCAAGCACGGAGAAGGAAAGAGGAGGTTGTAAAGTGTGTGTGCAATAGTAGGAACCAAACTCACCCTTCAGAAATGGTAACGCGTCTTTAAGTACGCAATTGTATCAGTAGCCGTTGGTGCATTTGAGTTGTGAACCGAATCACAGTTGACAGTCTTCGAAGATGGGAAGCCGTCACGATAAGGACAAGGACAAAGGCGTCAATGTCCAAGTTCTTCTTCGATGCAGGTTTGTGGCACGCGCATTGCTCCCGCATTCGTCTCCTGGTGAAGATCTGCGTTGTGATCGATGTCGTTACAGCCGAGATACGCGATTCTTGTTCTGGGTGCATCATTCCGGACGTATGCATTTGGATTCGAATTGAACGCCCCTCTTTCTGCTCTGTTTACAGGCCTTTCAGCGAAGATGAGCTGAAGAGTAATGCACCACAAGTAATATCCTGCTATGAACATCGTCGGGAGGTGACGGTGTGTCAAAATATAGCTACCAAGCAGATAGATCGAACATTCACGTTTGATAAGGTGAGGAAACTTTTTCTTCTATGACGATTTACGTTCCACGTGCATCGCTCTTGAATGCAGCACCCCGAGGAGTACCCGCCGTTTACGATACTTCGCCTTGTTATCGTCTTGCATTTACTCCATTCCAGTCTCCGATGGGTTCGAGATATATCGGTGAAAGCTAGTTTTGTCCTCTCTGATTCGGGATCTTGTTGTGTACCAGGTCTTCGGTCCTACGTCTCAGCAAAAGGATCTTTATGACCAGGCAGTTATTCCCATCGTGCACGAAGTGCTTGATGGGTTCAATTGTACCATATTTGCATATGGTCAGACTGGGACAGGAAAGACTTACACAATGGAAGGTTCAGGGAGGAAGGCGAAGGTCGGTCTTTCTATCCTTTCTCACTCTGACACAGACGCTTATTTGCAATTGCCCTGAAGTCATTTATTGTGAAAGAATCAGATCTCAAGCCGACGGAAGGGGATCAATCGTCAGATCTCCGGTTTGGCTATCAACTATCTTCCTGGATTGTTGTGTCTGTACCACTTGCGAAAATGATTCCTGACGATGGCCAGATTATTGCTTGTCCAGAATGGAGAGCTGCCTCCGGATGCTGGTGTCATTCCTAGAGCCGTCCAGCAGATTTTCGACACTCTGGAAAGTCAACACGCTGAGTACAGTGTGAAAGTCACATTTCTGGAGCTATACAACGAGGAAATAACTGACTTGCTAGCCCCGGAAGAGTTCTCGAAGGTCATGGACGACAAACAACGTAAGCCATTAGCACTCATGGAAGACGGGAAGGGTGGTGTGCTGGTTCGTGGACTGGAGGAGGAAATTGTGACTAGTGCAAACGAAATCTACAGTTTGTTGGACCGAGGATCCGCGAAAAGGCGTACTGCCGAGACGCTCTTAAACAAACAATCCAGGTACATAATCAAGTAGAGAACGGTGCCAGTGGATGTTTCATCCAAATTCCGTCACCTTTTCGTCGTGGAGATCTGTGCTAATTGAAGAATGTGGTTGAACATTGGAATGCAGTCGATCACACTCTATCTTCTCCATTACTATCCATATCAAAGAGGCCACTCCAGAGGGTGAGGAGCTTATCAAGTGCGGGAAGTTGAACTTGGTCGATCTTGCTGGTTCCGAAAACATTTCTCGGTCCGGTGCCAGGGATGTAAGTAGCTCGATATTTTTTCTCGTCTATGATTCAATTTCAGCGTTGCCGAAACACGGTAATGTGTCTCCTCGGCCTTTTGTATCTAGCTGTTCTGCGCTAGAGTAAATGTCAAGCCTTCTGACTTAGACATCATATCAGAGCCGAGCGAGAGAAGCTGGGGAAATCAATAAGAGTCTGTTGACTCTCGGGCGTGTAATCACAGCCCTCGTGGAGCACTTGGCGCACATCCCGTACAGGTATCTTCATTACTTTCTTTTACAAAATGCTATCGCTCACTACGATTCAGCCTCAATCCGTTGAGGCTGCACTGTTGTGTAGATGACCGTTTCGCCTGTTGAGACGCATGACCGATCCACCACTGTGAAAGAGAGGCACTTACCGACTTCGTGCGCTTTTCTTAACAGGGACAGTAAGCTCACCAGATTACTAAGGGATTCCCTCGGTGGTAAAACAAAAACCTGCATTATTGCAACTGTATCTCCGTCTGTACATTGCTTAGAAGAAACCCTCAGTACGCTGGACTACGCCCACCGTGCAAAGAACATCAAGAACAAGCCAGAAGTAAGCAATCAAGGCATTGTCTCAATCCTGGTTCGATGCTGAACAGATCTATGTCAGATCTTTATACTTCGCAAATTGTATTTCTAAGAGACCTTTCTGTCGTACAGGTGAACCAGAAAATGATGAAGTCTGCCTTGATCAAAGATCTCTATGGGGAAATTGAGAGGTTGAAAGCAGGTACGTTCTGTTTCTTATTTCCAATCGTCCATCGCCTTGTTAATGTCCCAGTAAACTGTCATATCACACGTCTGCATCGTTCAGGAAATTTCTAATCACACATTCCCGCCTCGATTGTATAGAGGTCAATGCCGCTCGGGATAAAAATGGAATTTACCTTCCTCGCGAACGCTTTTACCAAGACGAAGTCGAGAAGAAGGTAACGTTGAAAGTACTCACCTTACTTACTTGGGAAAACTTTGTCTGTTACTTTAACCTTTACTTGAATTCAAATCTCGAACCTCATGTGCCGACGACTTGAAAATTCGCGCTCTATGCAGGCCAAGGATGACAAAATCGAGGTCATGGAGTACGAACTTGAGGCCAAAGACAAGGTACCAAATTTTTACTCTCTGCCGACGAATTCTGTTCATTCTTGCTATGCTCACTACTTTGTGGGGTCCAAGACAAATCAAAGTATTGAAATTTGTTCATTTCTCTCAGCAAATTGAGGACGTGCAAGAAAATCTCGAAATCCATCAAAAGCAGTACGCTGAGCTGGCAGCGAAGATGGAAGCTACCCAGGTAAGCGAAGTTTCAATTATTAGCACCGTGTGCATTTCAGTGATTGCTGAGTGTATCCTTGATGAAGTTGAATCAGTGCATAAATTTGAGACTGAAATCCCGTTATCGCAGAAAGCGCTCGAACAATGTCAAGAAGCCCTCGTGGAAGCGAACATCAACATGAAGCACGCCCAATACACGATCAGTCAACATGAATACGTCATTGAAGCACAGCAACAAGCAGGTTTGCGATCTGTACCTGATATTTCCCCTTAGACTACACTAACTACTTGTGATGAAGCATAGTCGCATCTGGGATGCTACTGACTTTTATTGACGCTTGCAGAAACTAGCCTCGCAACACAGGCTGCACAACTTCGATCTGAATTGGAGAATGCAGTCACCGATGTTTCTGGACTATTCGCGAAGCTGGGTATGTATGATGTCTGCATGAGGTGTTTGTCAAATTATATTGAATCTTGCACCTGTAATTACTGTCAAAATTGACCGAATATCTTCACCAGTTTAGCAAGTCCACGTCTGATATTGGTAATATTCTGTATTGTAGAGCGTAAAAACAACCTGGAAGCTGGAAATCGTCAGTTGGTCGAGAAGTTTCAAACCATGCTCTCTGAGCAGATGCACGTGGTACACAACACCATGGCGGGTTCTGTCACCGCCCAGCAGAAACTGCTTCACAAGATGGAGCTGCAGCTCCAGGGATTCATGACAGCCAAAGATCAAGTGAGTGTAACATACGGCTCTTTTATCTTCAAGAGTTTCACGATTGGAAGATGAAGCTCACAGACCCTGGAAACGGGACACAGGAAAATTGGCGAATGTAAAAAGTCAACCCGGTATCAAGGATCTTCTTAAAGACTTGTGACTTCGGAAGCACCCTAAAGCGTAATATCAATTAAGCCCTCAATTACTCGTCTTTCAAGCTAAATGGCTGACGATTGTGTTATCTGTCTTTCTCCAGTCGGTGGAGCAGTTGAAGATGAAGCTTGATGGCCTCCGCAGCACCTATCTCCAACAGATACGCAGCCTGCATGAAGTAGTTAGCACTCATGAGACCGGCTCCTCGGATGTCCTTCAAAGGCTGAACACCTCTGTTTCAACTCATTCTTCAGAACTGGATCAAGTGAGTCCACTTCTCGAACCGACGTTCCTCGAACGGAAACGTATTATGACTAAATTTGACGGAGGATGCCAACCAACTCGCGCGCGGAACTAACAGTAAGCAACATGTCTTGCTTTGCAGTTGTTTGCCCGTCACGTAGTTGAGGCTGAATTGGTTCTCAAGGAACTTCTGGAGTCACTTAGGGAGCAACAACGTGAAATTACAGGGCTTGCCACTCAACAACGGGAGGCAGCGCGACTGAATCTGGATTCAACCAGATCCATCTCCAGAGTCGTCCTGGACACTCTTCAAACGCTTTACTCTGGTGCTCTTGACTTCGCCGAGAATGTCGAATCAAGTAGCAGTGCCCATGATCAGAGTCTTGCTCAGCTTGCGGAGGCATACGAGGTTTTAAGCCTTCAGAAAACCTGCTCAAGATTCGCCATTTTCCTTGTGAAAAGCTTATGTATCTGTATAGCTTTCAGTTGCGGCCATTCTCAACTTTCGTACTCAGTACTTTGCCTACCTCTGATTTATGACAGGAGCAAGCGAAGCAAGAGAAGGCACTATTGATGGAGGGTATAGCCGAAATGTTGAGCCAATCCATGACTCGAAAGGTTGATCTGGTAAGGAGAACCAGTCTCTCTTCTCGCTTTGTGAACGATTTCTGAACTATATCCTCCATGAACAGAGACGTGTGGACTAAGTAAAACCAAACATCTCAAAACAAGTGGCTTGATTCGAATGCAAATTGCTGCTGCACAGGTCACATCCAGAGTCAGCAAGTTAAGAGAGACGACAGTCTCCGAAGCTGCGGAGAGAAAGGCAAAGATTGTCACCTTCCAGGAAGTCACCTCCTCTGCTAAAGAGAAGGTGGAGGTCTTCGTGAAATCTAGCGAGGAGGCTGCAACTGAAAGCGCATCTCTTCTAACTCTTAAACACGAACGCATGGACGAGCTTCTAGAAATCTGGTGAGTTTTTTCTCATGCTTGACCAAACATCCTTCACTTTATGCAGAAACTTGGGAATATATTGAAGGAAGTTTTCCCTATGTACGCTGAATTGTTCCTGGATATGCAGCGTAAAGGACACCAACAAAGCAGAACAACAATGGAAGGCTGCATCAGAATCAGTTCAGCAATTCGAAAGGAATTACATTCCAGTCACAACCTCGCTCATCAAGTAAGTTGCAAGGGAATCAACGTCAAGTTTTCCTTTGCGGTTTTGACATCTCTGTGAAGTAGTAAATTCTGCTAAAGCTTCGACAGAACGGACCTAATGTTCTACCTTTCGGTTTTACAGTGAAGGATTAGAGGCAAATCAGTTCCTAGTTGCCCGATCAGCAGCACTCAATACGGCGGTAGAGGCCGACATTGAGGACGGAACTGTGGCAGCGTTTGCTCTCATTGAGGGTAAGTAATCCAGCGTGGTCTCCAGATGAGATTCTCTTGTCATCTCGAATTGTGCCCAGTCGATTGAGTCGTCCACGTTTACCGAGGGAGGCTAAGTTATCATGGTCTTCATTGTATACAGACACAAGGCAATACGAGCATGAGGCAGCAGCCGGATTACAGTCTATTGTGGAGGCACAGTCGCATGCGGCGGCCCAGCTTGAAAGCTCCCACAATTCCAACGTAGACGAACTGAAGCGAATCACCGAGCAAAGTCTTGGCGTTGATTATCAGGTGAGTTACTGTTCTTTGCAGAACTGCTCCTTGCTGCGCTTGCCAGCCAGTTCTTTCGAGTTGTAACGCTATGAAGAGTCGGGTGTCCGGGGGTGGTCACTGATTCCTTGGCATTTACCTCGTGTCCCGTGCAGGATGACCAACCGACTGGTTCAACTCCCTCTAAGAGAACAATCGAAGTACCTAGCTTAGCTGCAATCAACTCGTTGCGTACACCTGCAATGGAAAGTTTAGTGCAGGAATTTCGATCAAAGCACAGCCCACCTGAAATGGAGGGTCGATTGAAGCTAGCGAACGGAAAAGTCATAACGCAGGCAGACGTCCGAGATTTCCGAATTCCCCTGACGACACTCAACTAGAAAGATGTACTATTTTCCAGCGTGTCTCGCGCTTGGGTCAGCTGAACCCACCAACTGTCCAGTTTACGTCTGTCTAGTCATCCCTTGGGTGGAGATGAAGGATGGACAGATGTTTGTCAAAATCCGCTCGTGTGTCGACTTGACAACCAGCCGAAGCTTTGTCCTAACCATCTAGAGCTGTAATTTATAAGAACGTTGCTGTAGATACCACCATGTTCTCACACCGGTTAATGATTGCTGGAGAACTTTGTTTCTTGCTGAAGTATATCTGGCCTGTCTAGGCAGCAGAGTAGATTTCCACATTCTCCGTGGAGGGTTAGGGGTCAGTGAACACACTCTTGAAGGACTGAGTTGGATGGAGGTAGTTGAATCCAGATCAGTGGCCTGACTAGCACGCGCAACGCACCACGCGAGCGGGTTGAGGCCATTGTCGAGGAATGTATGTCTGCATTATTTGAGCTGCGTCGAGTCGACTCACTCAACTCAGGCATTATGGATGGTGAGATTGATTCATTTACGGTTGTGTTGGTTCTCTGGGAGACGACAGCCACAGCAGCGGAGAAAGTATTAACTCCTCACTAATTAGGGTTTCTAGGACAATTTGTTGTATGACTCTTAATGAAGGTCAGAACCAAGCTCGACTCACCAAATTGGTTGGTGAGCACAAGTATTTGAAAGAGGGATTTCACTGCACAGTGGATTTCGATGGGCTGATTATTTAATATCCGCCCAGTCAAACCCTTCAGTAGCTGGTTGTCAACTTCATCCTCGTATGTACATAGACATATTCATTATCTGAACTTAGAGAGGGAATTTCTTCAGCTAGATACGGCACCACTCAAGTAAGTCGTCCTGGCACTCAAGCACTCATGAAGTCTTGACATTGGATATGTTCTCTTGTAAAAATCACTCTACTAGTGAATTTCAATGAGAGGACTGAAGAGAAATCTGCTGCTGCGTTTTTGATCCTGACTTGCAAATAAAGTACTCTGCAATGGAACGTTTCGTTAAAGTCTCTGTAATTGTGTATGGGCTTATTGAGGTATTGATTGCTCATTGATGATGCGTGTTTTTGTAGTTCAGTCTTGCTGAGGGCTCCGGGGTCCGTCTTGCGCCTCTGTCCCTCATCTTGATAGTGTGTTGCATGAGTCACTGGATCTTGCAGAGAAAGTTCACACGGTTGGAAACGTTTAAGCACATAGTCAACAGATCTTTGTCTGTTTTTGCATCGTTTATCAGCACGTAGCAATCATCAGCACCAAACCTACTTTACTCTCTGGCTACAGAGAATAAACCATGATTGTCGATGAACCTTAAGATTCGAACTGACGAAGTTTGATAGAACAAGGCATGATTGAAAAGTTTTAATGGCCAGGAATGACGACATTCACTTCTCACACCCATTAACAGACCAACATTTTGTAATTAGAAACTTTGAAATTTGGAAACGCCATGCGTAAATTACACAACAAAATTTGCGTAAAAGCGAGTTGTACAAGCCATTTTAACTTGAAGTCGATGAAAGTTTGTCGAAAGTACGCCTCTACGCTATTTTAGAAATCGTTCAAATGAAGGAAACTAAAAGTCAAATATGTATTACAGAGTGGCTACAAACAACTATTCCAAGGTACGGAGGAAGAGCCTCCTCGAGTCCTTCCCTCGCTACACGTTAGAACACTCTTGAAAACACCTTCGTCTTCTCCGTACCGTATGCATCTATGTGGATCACACACTAGTTAAGGCAATTACACACAATTCCGGGACTCGTCGATATATCGGAATCCAAGTTGATTGGCGTTCCATCACATGGTTGGATTTTAATGTGTGGTCTGGCTTTGAGTTCAAAGTAACCTATACCAGTTGCATAAATCATCCAAATGCATCAGTGATAGAATGCACAAAATGTCTAATGTTTCTATAGAGTGAAATACTTAATTTGTTTATTGAAGTTAAGTATCAAAATAAAATCTACATTTGACTAAGATTAACGTTCTGGTATAAGGATAAAGAATTTTGATACGTAAAGTGGTATAAATATCTCATGTTATTAAAATTTTCAATATATTGTATAAATTAGTTGACTGTAATTTAAGTTTTCGTTCTTGTCATTGATGGGTATACTAAATACTTTATATTAATTTTCTTTATAATATTTATTTTCTCTCGAACATTGATATTTATTGTGATGGAATTGAAATATAATCAAAATATAATTAATTTTTTTGGATTGTAAAAGATTGTGTTGAATTTTTATATGAGTTTAAGATTATGACGAGTGTTTATACGTATGTTGTGTTATTTGATATGCAGTGGTGAATTATAGTTTGGCGAGTTACAACCAAAGAAGTTTTTATTACTTTGTGTTTTTATAATATTTATTTATTTAAATTAGATGTTAAGAATATTATCAATTATTTTGAAAATAGGAAATTTAAACTTGTTGAATCTTGAATAAATCGTGAATAATATATTCATTTTTACTGTGCCAAATATAGTTATCTCATGATCTCATGTCATCCAAATTTTAAATTTTTCTATCATCTAATCTGGAACCTCGTTGTCATAGACTTCCCGGGGAAATCCCAAAGTTGTTGCCGTTTTTAGTTAGGAAAGCTAATCTGGGCGAAAGAGGAGCATCCAAAATCCAAAATGGAGCATTTTGGATTTTAAGCGTTTATTAAGAACGAACTTTCGTGCACTCGTGTTCGTAGGAGCGGACGTCAGACCATGCAACTACCGCCAGAAATGCTGTCAAGAACCTATGATCTGAAACGGACCTCCCGCCGCACCCGTTCCAAGAAGAGCAGCAGATAAGGCGGGAACGCACGTGGGCTAACCCCGGATGGGCATCATCCCATGCCCTACCGGGAACTCGAACATCATCGACTCGAAGTGTGGGCCCCAGGGGTAAGTACGGTAGCACATACGGACGTGTTCCCGAAGCCGACCGTGGTTACCTGTGACCTGCTTCCATCGGACATGATGAGATCGAGTTGAGTTCGTTCTACTGTAGTGGCAGTTACGAATTACCCTACCGCACCCAAACCAATCCTGTAGGTTCAGCCCGGCGTCGCGCTTCGCGGGACGTCTCGCGACTCCGATGTGACTCCGGTCACAGACCTTCGCCTCTGTTGAGAACATGGGAAGATCCATAAACTCTAACTCGAACGACTGGGCATTAAACGCGCGCTCGTGTGGAGTTCCGACCAGGTATTGGGGGCTGACCCACCGACCCGCGCACCAACCCAACCCACCAACGCAGCCACCCACCGGATGAAGGAGGTTTGTCTTCGGAGCCGGACGGAAGTACAACAGGTTCCTGCGGAACTGGAGCGTGGCAATCTGGTAGAGGAACGTCTCGGACGCCAATTCCATGCATGCCCTCGATGCGCAGCTGGTGCGTCAGCGCGGAATTCGAAACTCCTGCGGACGGTGGAGCGTTTCTTGAACTCGTTTGGACGACGAGGAGTCGGATCGCGGGTTCTTGATGGTGCGATCGAGAAGCTTGAGATTCTTTCCAGGAGCGGAGCGGAAGTTCATTGCGTGCCCGCTCGCACTCGTGGTCTCGAGCTTGAGATCGGGCCCTCCGCATGCATCGGCGAGGTGATGCTGGGCGTGAATTGGAGGGCTTAGTTTGACGGAGAGGGCTTTGAGAAAGGATGCCGAAGAATAAGGGAAAGGGAGGAAAGAATCGGAAGAGAGGGAAGAATGAGGCCGAGGACGAGAAGCGAGAGCTTGTATTTAAAGAAGATGGGCAGGAGTACGCGCAGGTTCTTCGCATGCTCGGGAACGGCCGATGCGAGGCTCTGTGCATAGACGGTACTAAGCGATTGTGTCACATTCGCGGCAAAATGCACAAGAAAGTGTGGATCGCGTCCGGGGATATCATTCTTGTTGGTCTGCGAGATTATCAGGATGACAAGGCCGATGTCATTCTCAAATACCAGCCGGATGAGGCTAGGTTGCTGAAGGCTTATGGAGAGCTTCCTGAAAACGTTCGTCTGAATGAGGGTATTGCCGGGGACATGGACGATGATGAGGATGGCGAAGGGGATGACTATATCGAGTTCGAAGATGAGGATATTGACAGGATATGATGCTGCTTCAAGCCCACTTTCTTAGTTAGTTGCGGTAATGTCCAGGTAATGCTCTGGAGGTCGGCTGTCCTAAGATTATCCGCGCTTTCCGAGATTAAGGGCATCAATTTGGTAGTTTGATAGCGCTGAGTGGCATTGTGCTCAATGTCCACGTGATATTCTGTCAATCAACCCACAATTATTTGTCTTGTGGAAACATTTTGAGGATACGATATTACTATCAAGGCAAATCGCGCGGTATCGAAATCAAACTCGAAGTCTCGCAACTTGGATTTCAAGACAGGTTTCGACTACCAATTTACTTGGAGAAATAAGGCTTCAAGATTAATTGTTGTACATTCTTCGTTTTCGGCCAATTTGATATTTACAAAACATCGATATCGCTCCCTTGACGTTCGTTTCTCGAGCTGAGGTTCCAACATGAGTGCGTTTTTCTAGGAGAGAAAGGGTCATCACTGTTACAAAGAGCGAACCATTAAGTTTTTCCGGATGTTTGAAGGGCGTAGTATCGAGGAAAGGGGATCAGTTTGGGAATAACATACTGCAGTGGAGTATCCAACGCATTTATAATCTAGCATATCCAATGTACCCCAGGAGCTATGACAATTCATCCGAAGAATAAGATGCATATCTGGACACGGGTCAGGCACAGATGACAAATGAAAACGCTGCAAACCCACGGACTGTATCTTTGTAGTATTATTCGGATCCTTAGGCATAAAGCTACTCAGGTAACCGTGAAGCTACTCATCTCAGAACGAAGTGTATGAACTGCATGAGAACGTCGCACTACGGGGATAAAGCTATTCGCAATCGTTTCTAACTTTCTATCGACTTCAAAGCTTAGACTGCCCCAAAAGCGAGAAAAGAGAGAGAGAGAGAGAGAGAGAAGACTACTGCTCGCAACTAGAGTCCAAGGTTGCCTCAGTGACACTGGGCAAGTATATCAAACCCTCATGGCAGAATAATTGTTTGGGTCTTCAGAACTGCGTTTTTTCAAGAGTAGACATGGTATACTTCAAGGCAAACATAGGAGCAGGCATCAGCGCAAATTGTATTCTTGTTCCTGCATGAACTAATGCTATTAGCAAATCTGAATCGAGGCAAGGCGTTGCATATTTTTGCAGAGTTAATCAGCAAGGGGTGTTATAAAATTTCACGGACCTCTTACGCAAGCACCGGGAGTTACTACAGGTGTCACCTTTGGAGGGGAGGATGCTTTTTTGCCTTAGTGATATCCATGACTCACACCGTTGTTCTCAATTAGTTGTTATTCCAGTCTCCCAACTACTGAAGGTCTTTGAGAGCAGTGAACGGCCTCAGCCGAGTCAAACAGGCAAGGCACTTTGGAGAGCAAGAAGAGGCAATAACCTTTGGAGCGAAGGGAACAGAACGATGGGAAGAACTGCTGAAAATTGTCATTGATTTAAAGGCATGCAGCTTGACGCTAACCTTCAAGAACAAGTCAACGTAGCTGACTGAATTGACGTGGCCCGAAGACTTCTGGAAAAAAGGGACTTCAATGCGAACGTCGCCGCAGAGAGGGAGCTCAAACATTATGATATCCCGCAATGCCCATCGGTGTTAGTCCAGGTTACTCTCGACATTTTTTGGGTAAATTTGAGAAGTGTTGGAAGCAATTAGAAGCAGATGCTGCCAAATTAAGCCACTCTAGTGATCACAGTTCTAGATTGGTGAACGAAAACAGTAATCTTCAGAATGTCCTTCAAGCAGCAGCATGTGAATGAATGTTCACTAAGTCATACTCCTGCAGTCAGAGAACAACGTAGCTGCGGGTACAATCTCGTTGATTGCCGTCAGGAAACTTCTAAAATAAACTTTTGTCCTCAATTCCTCTTCGACTGGGCAGCTTACGAGAACAATGTCAGGACATCCAGCGTCATACAGAGAAATGGTCAATTTCACATCCTTACTGTTACTCCGGTTTTTTACTCTCCCCTTAAATACACCTATGCGCTAAGATCGTTGCCTCGAGCCTGTACTGCACGGGACAGTTTCTCGTACTCCATATACCTTACATGAAGTTGGAGTACAGTTCCATAATCCCAAATTGAGCAGCGCTTTCCCTTGTACATTTCCCTTGATTTGCAAATGAGTATGGTCTTCTATGCAAGCTGTTGCTTTTTGAATCTTTGCTGAGATTCCTCATGAGGCTAGCTTTTTAGTCTTCAAGGCAGCTGATGGACCAAAACACAACCACTATTGTTCCACAATTTTCTCTTTAATTCTTACGAAACTCTATCTGTGCTCTATGGGAAGACAAAGTATATGTCGAGATGAGAGTCTGATGTTTGAAATGTAAGAATTGATCCCAAAGAGTCCGTGGACAATCTTACGCGGACATTGTCATGCTACAGACATGAGTCTCTCACACCCACCATGTCCATGAAGTACAGGAAGGAAGAAATGTGTTCGAGGTATTCAGTTCTTGTATCTGACATACTAGTGCTGAAAATCTCGATCGCGTGATTACCAGACTTTCATTTAGTCTTCCAGTCCAGGATCATCAGGTACACTTTTGAACTGTGGCAGTTGAGACCTTTGGTTTGGAGGTTCTAGACTCATCATTGATTTATTGCGGTACTGAACCTAGTTACTAGTTACTAAAAAGCTGGAGGCGCAACTTTGACCTCATATGTACATGCATGTTATTGTCGACAACGCAGGACTGGTATTCGGATATTTGATCCCGTCTGTAATCAAAGTTTGTAAAAGATTGTTGTTACCTTGATTTTTGACGTTAGAACAACTCCGATAATTTGTTTTCATTTTTCTTCCCCTCAAGTCTTGGAGATTATTTAAGGCTCTTCTTATACACAATCAAAATGCTGTGCTAGTGCTTATTGATTGTGGACACTGAAATCCGTGAAAGCTTCTTGCTGTGTTATATAAATAGTTTAACTTTGGCGTGATAAGCATGCCGCCGACGAACGTTCCAAAATATCAGAAGTGTGCTAGTGCTGCCTTGTAGTATCCACATCAATGATCAGAAACTGGAACCCCTCCTGGGGAAAACCCTCTCTGTTGGAAGGAGTTGGCGAGTTGAAGATCTTCTACTCTCCAACTGAACTCTGGAATTTGTGCTGTGTTGCAGCTGGATTATGGTTCGTGGTACACTAGTACTACTATGTTCGTCCCATGAGTTGTGGGGCATCCACCTCTTTGAAAGCGGTTCCTCGTGTTTATTCTCATCTGGAAACATCACTTCGGTCGACGTAGGTGGCTTAAGCTTCATGAACGGCTCGTTCTCAGGCAAGGAAAGGCAAGGCGACAGACTTTCGTTGTGCAGAATGTCGTCTTTGTAAATTGGAAAATTAGGTGGAATAATCCTCGAATGACAGCACATAACTTCTATTTGATGTTTTCACCATCCACCTAGCTCCGGCAGAAGGGTACTTGGACCAGCACTGGAAGTCACCGGCCATGTGCAACAACCTTCGACAGCCTCGAACACGACTGTAAGTCGCGCCCATTCCAAAAGAATTGCTACTTTCACTCAGAACTTCATAATCTTCGGGCTGCAACCATTTTTCTCCCATCAGCGACGTAGCGGCCTTGAAGCAACTTCTTACGCAACTAAATCTAAGCAAGCGGCGCCATGAGGATTTTGGGTGAGTGAATGAGCACGGATCCTGAAACCGTCTCACCAGATGCAACGTCGAGTTGTAAGCTATTGCGGGCACTATCACGCTTTCCCAATCTTCCTCCGAGTAGCCATGAGCGATCAGCAGAGTCTCCAGAGTCTGGTTGTGCAAGATCATCTGAGCCAGGACTTCAGCGCTCGGAAGATCAGCGGAGGTCAGTATCGTCGATCCCAATGGGTCCCTGCCCACATTCTGATCCAGATGTAGCACCTTCAGCTGAAGCTTGGATGGATTCGGTGGACTAGGAGTCAATGCCTTGATCAGTTTCACCAGACCCGCTTGGCCCCAGCTCAGGATATTCTGAATATGGAGCTCCTCCAGGCTCGGGTTGTCTTCGAGGGCCTTGATCAGTATTTCAGGGGCTCCCTCTCCAAGGTACACCGAGATGCTCAAACTTTTGAGGGTGCTGTTGTGACGCAGCATGTCTGCAAGACTTGAACATGCTTGCTCAGCTTCCGATTCCATATGCCTCCTTTGTTCTAGCTCCATCCAGTCTTTCAGCTCCATCTGCTGGTCGCCGGTGATGTTGTAGTCGTTGCTGCGTGGCTTAGGCGGATCTGGGTACGACGATGTCGTGCGGTGTTCTGCCTCATCATCCTGACGAAAGTTGTGGCGCACACAGAAGTGCTTGACGGAGGTGTTGACTGATAGCATTCGGGCTAGTCGCTGAAATATGGGGCCGTTGATATAGGAGTCTGTTTCGCCGATGCTCAGGCTCTCAAGCGTTGCGCTTGGGATTTCCAAGGCCCTGCAGAGGGCATCCACACAACCTGGAGTTGGTTTTATTGATGTCAGATCTAGAGTTTTGAGTCTAGGATTTCCTGTCAGCAAGTGTGCCATGAGCTGGCCTCCTGTGTCTGTGCCGAACGCGATCACTTGGAAAATGCAGAGCGTTTGCAATCTTTGGTTGGAGGCCAGTAAGTGGCACAAATCCTCAATATTTTCATCCGTCTGTCCATTCCAGCGGAGCTTCACGGTCTTGCTAGCTGAAGCCTCTAAAAGCCTCGAATTGATTTCATCAGATTTTCCGCCTCCTCCTGCTTCTACTCCTTTTCTACAGAGACTCACGATCTTCTCCACCACTGATTCCATTCTCGCCAGGCCGACCCACCACAGCTCTCCAGACGACCGGGCTTTGAGGTCGAAATGAGTCTTCAGAACGCGAACTCCCCACAACAACCAACACCATTATTCTAGTGAGGCAACTGTCACACATGTACAATACCTGAAACTACATGTTGATGGTGAATCTACAAACACTTCAAACAAGCTCACACAACTCCATGGTCACTACCCAGCAATCATGAATCTGCAAGCATTTGCTTGCAGATCCAATGATGAAATCGATCACAGTATCAGTTCCATACAAGGTTTGTATATGTACAAGTCCGAGAGCGGAAGCAACCGATCAAATTCAGAGGACAACATCAGGTACTGACTCCGTGAGAACTACGCTCCCAAGCTTCTCATAAAGCCTGCTTGGGTACGTAGCTTCGGAGCAAAACTAGAGTCGAGAACTCTGAAAATACTTCTAGTGTTGTAGTCCCACTGGTCTAATGTAACAGTAGGACATGTATGGGATCGGTAGCACATACACGGACTCTCCTCCTTCTGACTAGACCATAAACTTTCTGAATTATAATTCTTTGTGATGTCATCTCTTCTACTACAGTGTTAGCTACAATCCGGGCACCCCAGCTGTAGGCATCGTGGTGAGCCTGCTTTGACTCCCGGGGCAAACTATCTGCCAAGGACCACAACACGTTACCCCGGCTGATCCTACGCTGAATTGTGGCCTATGCTACCAAAACCTTCGCTTGTGTGGTGGGCCAAATTGCCATTACTGGAAGGCTGGGACTTCTTTCAAAGGTGGTCAGCGCTACGCGCCTCCACAGCCTTGGCCACAGTCTCCGCCTTCGCTCTGTGACAGGAATCTTTCTAGTCTTGGAGTTGCAGTAGACTTCACAGATGCAAGTCTTCCGCGATCCCATCAACTTGTCGTTTGTGTGTTCCTGGTGCTTTGGCGGTGGAGGTGTGTGTCTCGTGATTGAGCTCTATGTGCGGGGGTCAAGGGGAAAGTGTATAATAAACTCGTCGCCCGAACGTCTGCCGCCATTGCTGAAGCTCGGTATAACCTTGAACTAGAATATCTGACAATCTTGGTGCAGATTACATGTTCATTCGTCTTAGTTCATTCGTCATCATCTGCTCCTTCTACGTCCTAAGATGGACATCTTCATCTTGCTGTATTTGATACGGAGTCAGTCACAAATTAACGCGATCTACCTGGGACTTAGAGAGGTCCTCCACCTTTGTTATTGACAATCAGGTGGCGCTGGTTACCATTGAAAGGGAACGAAGCAGGAGTTTCCTGATTTCATGCGCGAGGACGCCGATCGCAACAGGCATTCGTGAGTCCCATAGACCTTGCTTGAAAATCCGAGCTTCATGGACTTTTGGGGCCACAGACTTACTATACAGAGAGTTAATAATGTCGTCAATCATAAGTTTATACATTGCCAGAATCTTCGGTCACTGCTCAGCATATGGAGATCAGTGCTGAAGGTATATTGTATCTTCACACATTGTTCGATGACTTGATATACTCCACATCGAGTCATCAGATATAAGCAGTCATAATGTGGAAGTCTTCAACCATTTTTGCTTACATGCAGGTCAGTGCTAAGGCGTCTTTGCAACCATATTCTGATTTCAATAATCTTACGCCACAAAGTTCAAGCTGACGCCGTTCCCGACCTTAAAAACATCGGGCCATATAGAGGAGATTGACAAGCTATTGTCTATGCCATCAGTGCAAAGCAAAGATGTTTTATCGGAGTTTAGCCTCTACGTTTTTTTCGGGTCAGGAAGGATAGGGAGAGGGAGCCCTGTGTTTTAGATGATGAAATTTCGATTATATTGAAGAATAGCAGAACCTGAAAATATGCAGGGTAAAGGTTGGAATTAGGTTCGATATATTTGGAAAGCTTCAATTTAGTTAGTAAACTGTAAGAGCGTATTCTTACGTTAGTCTGAGTACCGTGAATTCCTTTCGCAAGAGCAGGTAGACATGTACTCCAGAAGTTATTAATTTTCTTGGAGATGGTGTTGGAATGCTTCAATTGTATGGAACTCTAATGACATCAAGATTGATTTTTGGTTGGACTGCTTATGTGGTTTGAACCTAATATTAGAAAAAGCCAAAGACTTAAACAACCGTCTACATTGCATTGTCTCCTGATTGGATGCATGTTTGTGGGCCGAGTTGGTGTAGTGTGGTGAGTTGGCGTTGCGCTTAGGTTACCTTCCTTTGTAGGTGCTGCAATGTTTTCCTCTATTGAAGTTGGAAGTGGTGAATTACATAGTCTGGATATTGTGGTGCCAGATGCAGGTCGATTCAATTGGGTTTTTGATACTTTCCATGGAGGACTTTCTTTGTGGATATAGCGATAATTTAAATGAAGCTATTTGACCTTCTCTATACAAATGTTCGCAACTTTTTAGACAAAACCAATAGATTCATGACAACTTGGGTAACTTAACGTGAACTTGTTTTTTTTCTGGAACCACTTAGTTGATACTGTTAATTTCACAGAAATCCTGGTTGATCGAAAATCTGGAAAAGAGGTTTCAGCAATTTCGGCAAATGAGTGGCTTTCGAAGTAGAAGGCGGATATATAGAAAAAAGCTTGTCGACTTACGAAGATCCTATGAAAACATCAGGACCTTTGGATATGATATTTTGTGAGGTATCATCGATCGAAGATATTCCCCAAAAACTAGGGCCAGGGCGAGGCTCTAAGACTAAAAACACATGGCTCACTAATATTTTTGGGATGGAGACATTTACCAGCTTAAAATCACAAAGAGAGGTTGGAGATTTTTTTTGGGTTTGAGAGGTGAGGAAAATACATTCAACTGGTTGTGGGGATTTTGGATCAGTTCAAGTGTAGAATATCGTTTAATGCTTCAAATACTATTCTCAATAAGTGGAGTTGAGCACTGTATCTACGAGTGTTATGATATTGGCATATAAGCTTGTGGACACACCACAAAAATTAGCAAATCCCAATTAGTTAGCACAAGCATATAGCACAAAAAATTTACGTCCATAGGCGTATGCCATCAAACAGCACTGAACATATTATGAAGCAATGCATGACTTTTCGTGATCTTTTTCAACAATAAGTGATTTATTGGAGGAAAGTTAAAGTTGTCTTGAATATACGTGATCTTTTTCAACAATAAGTGATCTATTGGAGGAAATTAAAGTTTGTCTTGAATATACGTGATCTTTTTCAACAATAAGTGATCTATTGGAGGAAATTAAAGTTTGTCTTGAATATACCTGATCTTTTTCAATAATAAGTGATATATTTCAGAAAAGAAAAAATTGTCTTGGATATACATGAGAATTATTGAAAACATACTTTGGCAAACCGTGTATGAGTTGTGAGATTAATCATCCGAGCATGCTACTTCTTAAAATAAATATATAATGAATTTCAATAAATGATTCATAAATCAAATTATGATTTATAACGTATGAGGGAAAATTGAAATTTAGTATAAATAAAATTTGAATATATATGATTTCACTCATTATTTTTTTAATGATGACCAAATAAATGGAATTAAATCATATCTGTTAGAATATATTTTTATGACTGTAGTTGAAACTATTATTTTTATTTACATTTTTTGATCAAATGGATAGTCCGTGCGATAAGAGATCGTAAAGATAAGTCTTGATCTGAACAAGAAAGACAGAAATTTACAAGATTCTATAAAAAATACATGAATAATTAATTTGTTTCATATAAATAAAATTTCCAAGAATATTAGTTAGTGTACTATCAAAAGAATGAAATTGCCCTCTGCATTTCAAAAAAAATATAACTTACTATTATATTTTTAACTTTTTTGAATGAAATAGAAATTAAAAAATATATTCATGAATACTATTTGTTGAACGTGGTTCTGCAATAGAAGAAACGGTACTATAGTAGAAAAATTTTCTAATGTTGTGAATCTTTGAGATTCTTCATGCAAAATAGTGGTAAGTAAGTTAGAAATATATATTCGGTTGAATGAAAGTTGAACAAAACTTGGAAATTACACATCACGCGCGTAGGACAGAGCGCAACACCAACCAAGTTGCTAAGGTGATCATGGAAGGGATCGCACGGAGCAGCGAAACAAAAGATCTTGTCCAATGGCAGGCCGAGAATGAACCACTCCGAGATCCGGGTCACGGTGAACGAATCTCGCAGGCGGAGCTTCCCAAGTCCAAGTAGGACAAGGGTGAGAATGAATCGAAGGATCGCGCGCTACAAAACAAGAAGTGTATGATGGCCAGGACTCCATCCAACGAGAGGCTGGAATCTGATCCCCCGAAGCTGACTCACTAGGGCCCCGAGCCTGGCAGCGTGGCAGGGGGGCAGATCCATGCGCCACGAGCCTACGAAGCTCGGGCACGCCCGAGCCTCGCCCCGCCCCGCGCTGCTGCTGCTGCTGCTGCTGGGCTGCTTAGCTGGGCTGCGCTGGGTGGAGGAGGCCGCGGCAGTGCGGGAATGCGCACGTTAGAGAACGAAGAAACAGCGGCAGCGCTCCGTCCGGCTCGCCGATGGCCTGCCGGGAAGTCCCGTACGTACGTGCTCTCGTGGTCTGCTGGACCTCGACGCAGTGGGCGCTGGCTGTCTGGCTGGCTGGCTGCCTCTGTGCCATAGGACCTCGTCGTCGTCCCTCGGTGCGTCTTGGTGTCGAGGAGGAGGAGCCTGAAGTCCCAGGGGCTGCTGCACATTGCGTTGGACATTGCGTCCCGAGTACTCTTTCTCGCTCGGCTGCGAATTCTTTCACGAGCCGGTTGACCTCTGCGGAGATTTTGGTTAGGTTAGTCCCCGGCGTGTGTGTGTGATCGAGCCTTGAGGCGTCGGAAAGGGTTTTTTTGTCGACATGAATTGACTCCGCGAGGGCCACGAATTCGAGTTACGGAAGAAGCCGAGAAGGCCTTTTCGCGGGGACAGATTTCTGGATCTCTGTGTAACTACATGTCGGAGGGTATCCTCGTAGCGCCTTCGTGATTTTTCTACCGTGTAGAGTAGAGGTGGACGGGAGGGAGAGAGGTGTGTGAAGGTTGTGTTTGTGCCGTGCCTGGCCTGGCCTTGCCTTGCCCTCGGTAGTGGGAGGCAGGGGGGCACGATGTTGCGCGTAGGGCTCCTGACCCTGGGTCTGGTAGCGGCTACGCTCGTGGTTGTTTCAGCGCTCACGAATGGCAAGGGCGAGCCCGATGCCAATGTCTCGTATTCTTTCGAATCCGTCGTGGGTGGTAGTTTAGACAGGAAGCCAGCCAGGGGAGGTGCGGAGTACGCGCAGGTTTTCGTCAAGCATACGTCGTGGATCAATTCGATAGTCTTGTATCCCTTCCTGCCGTCTAGTCTTAGAGCTACAATTCCCCACAACGTACAGTCATGGCTTCGCAACTACATCGCGGGCATTTTCATCTACTTCCTGTCCGGAGGTCTTTGGTGCCTCTGGGTTTACCAACTGAGGAAGGACTATTATTTTCCGAAAGGTGAGATTTTACACTGCTGCTCGGCTCACGCGGAGTGCTGCCCTTCTATTCGTGGCATCTCATTCTTTAGCATTCTGCGCTGGAAGCCACGATTTTGGATTCACTTGGAATGGAATTGCACGCGATGCCGCAACTGATTTCTGTCAATGTCCGCGATTCTGCCTTGAATATATTTTCTTGCAGTGTTGACTTAGCTCATGAAAAGGCGGGGCTCTGTCGCATCTTGCCTTATTCCCAGCGATGCCATGTGCAGGTAACATCCCTACCAAGGAACCAATCAAGATGCAAATCGTGGTATCTATGAAAGCAATGCCCTTGTACACCCTGCTTCCATCACTATCGGAGTACGCCATAGAGAGGGGATGGACGAGATGCTACTCGGAGATCGAGGAAGTTGGATGGCCGAATTACATCGTCTACAACATTCTGTACATGGCATTTATAGAATTTTTCATCTATTGGATGCACCGCGGACTGCATGATGTCAAACCTCTCTACAAACTCTTGCACGCTACTCATCATATCTACAACAAAGAGAACACAATGTCTCCATTTGCAGGTATGAGAACAACCGTGTGTTTTCTTCCCCTCTATTATGTGCGAGATATAGGGAGCAGGACTCATTGTACATTGTACTGTACTCATGGTCTCGAAAACCTCCGTGCTTGAAGAGATTGTCACCCGCGATCCGATATTAGTCCTGGACCTCTTTGACGCTTCAGTCTATGCTTCATACCAAATGTCAGCTCTGCTGCGCCTACATCGCAGAAATTTTTTGTGGATAGCTTACCAAGTTAACTCCAGGTTCTTCGATTTCAAGGTTTTCACGAGATCGATAATAGTGTGGGAGCAGATTAGGTGAAATCGTTCATACCTGTACAGTTGGCACTACGTCAGTCTGGGTCTAGGCTTGGAAATTCGGCGCTTTGGGCGAGGATTGCTTCGATTACAGATCTTGCCGTCACGCCTTCTTATACAACAGTCAGGTTAATGAGTACTTTTCTGCTCGCCTCCTCATCCTCCGTGGGTTCCGTCACATCGATGTGTGCAAGCCTTATCGTCGGGCAGCTGTATGCGTCACAGTCACAGATGAACGGGAGGAACTGCAGCTTGTACGTTTATGCGAGCAGTGGTTCACATTGGCAGCTACTGGATTTCGGTCGGAGTCTGATATGTATATCGTCGGGGAACCGAGTTTTTAAACTTTTGAATCGTAATGTGTAAATTTAGTTGAAGAGACGGTCCTTCGCTTTAGGGAATTCCGAAGTAACTCAAATTTATTTGACAGTACATCGTTATCGGGCCTCGCCTTGCCAACGTATGAAGAATACAGTCTTGCAATAGGATCTGGTTTTATGGACCTCGGTTTAGGACGACTGCTCAATTCGCCCAAAGACAACAATGCATCGGTTCTCCATTGTGACCTAATGTGAAGAGAAGTTGGTCTGATTATGGTCTTTTCCTGCTGTTTGGAAGTGTTGTTACGGTTTTCCCCAGTACAGGTCTGATTGATTCATCATCTTTACAATCTTATGTAGGAACTGAATGATCTTTCCATAAAGACAATTTTCCTCAATTCAATAGATACAGTCGCATTCTCTAAACTTTTGACGGAATCATTGTGACGAGATACCTATGAACTAGGTCATCCTCTTGTGTACTCCCCTTAATTCATTTTTACCACGGTACGATTTTCTGTAGTCATGTTGGGATTTGCCGTCATCCGTTGATGTCATCTCAAAGAACCATTCAGCGCATAATCAATTCTGGCGATCGCTTCTTGTTCGAGAGAGATTGGAAGAACTTCTTGAGAAGCGTACTTACAGAGGAGCAACTCTGGACATGTAGTAATTGAAGACCGTTCATTCAGGTGCTCGTTACTAACAAAGCTGTATCATGGTGTGACAGGTTTGGCATTCAATCCTTTCGACGGAATACTTCAGGCTTGTCCGCACGTCTTCGCGTTGTTCGTGATACCCATGCACTTCTTCACACACGAGTTTTTATTCTTTTGTGAAGCCATCTGGACTACAAATATTCATGACTGTATTGACGGCAACGTCTTTGCCATCATGGGAGCTGCTTACCATACGATTCATCATACTACGTACCGACACAACTATGGGCACTACACTGTTTTCATGGACTGGCTGTTTGGCACTCTTCGAGATCCAGAGGAGAGGAAATTACAAGATTCGAAATCGTCTTAAGTGTGCCGTGATCATTGACAAGTTGTTTACATGTACCCTATTATTTTGTTCTGCCCCCATCGGATCTTGCCCGAATTTGGAATATCAGCTGTGTAATTCTCTAATCTCTGCTGCTCTTGCTTTACGAGGTGTCAATTCCTTCACTAATGAACGCTGGTGACGGCTCCCCTACGCCCGAGGCTCTCATCTCATGCACCTGTAGCATATATTTCATTAGAAAAATAAAGGGCGTTCGGAATTCGCAGTGTCTCTCCCCTTTGAGGAAGTCTTACTGTTTATAATGTGTTCGACAAGAACCTTTCTGGCGATTTTGCTGACAATCCTAATCTGCACCAGATGCAAATTAGTGCTCTATTTCTTCTTTCGAAGCACGTACCGCAGGAGGATTCAGGCGGTATTTCTCCCCTTTGCTTTTAGAGACTCTCAATGATCTCTCCGGAAAAAACATCATTTTACCACCATTGTAGCGAACGTATTAGGTTACCTATATTCGAATTTTCGGAAATAGTTTCCAGTATTATTGCTCCAAAACTTCCTTCTTTAGTCAATCAGGTGCTGTTTCTGTAAGTTTCACGGGGTTGTGACGATCACTGACGAATTTCACTAGGTCTCCATTTTTATGTGTAAACACATAAAGATCGAGCTCATTTCAAGTGAAGCCTTGTCCTTCCTGCATGTGATCCAGTTTGTGGATACATAATTTTTTAAGTCTCTTGCCAAGGTGCAACTCAATATAAATATTTTCACCCACTCATCTCAGGAGATTCTGTATCTTTGATTGATAATCTACGGTGGACATTCGCTTATCTCTGCTGTTGTCGGAGGCAACGAAGGTTGCTGCAGTATCCGCGCTGTTTTCTCATGTAGTATTGCTTTCTCTGCCGAACACCCCCAGTAAAAAGTTCTTTCTCTTGTACTCGGATAGACTAAGATACTAGTAATATCAGGGATCTTTTCCTTGCGCCGTTGTTGCGTGTAATTGTGGGGATGACCTCCTTGTATGTCACTGAGGTCATATAGTTGGTAGTGGGACTATTTTCATATCGTAGGGATCTTGAACCTTTTGTCCGCGGATAACGCAGAGCTGGGATCGTGAGTGCCTGTCCCGTAGTGTTGGGATCTTGAACCCCTTCTCCACTGTATTACTTAATACTGGGATTGTGAGTGGTTGCCCCACAGTAATTCCTTAACTACGTGCTACCTTGAACTCACGAGCTGGGGCAGCTCTTCCATGTCCTAATTCGACATACTCTCTTTGTATATTCTGGTGATGTACACCCAAGCAGTGTGAATGTTGAGTTAACAGATGAAGCCTCATCAGCTATATCACTGAAGAGTGTTCAATGTCCGGCGGGTCGTGACTATGACATAAGCTTAGTTTAACAAAGTAAGAACGAAGCTATCAATCTTCTATTTTTGGCATCAGTGGATGCAATTGTCCTGACGTGTAAGCCCGTCAAATTTGTCGTAATTACGAGGAAATCGAAAACATCAACCTACATAATCAACAGCCGCCTGGAAAATTTCAATCTGATAAATTGTTCACTGTAAAGTAATGGTGGTTTGTGCAGAGACAATAGAGGAAGGAAGGTGTGACATCCAGTAATGAAGGCAAGTATTGTGCGACGAGAAATTGACATGGCTGACGCCTGTGGAGCCCAAACATTGTTTTGAGGTTCGCTCAGTAGTCCCAACGAAGGGATTGGGCTGGTGTATCCGCGAATATTTGTGTTGTATGTGTACATCATTCAGGTGACATAGATTCGCATCATTTCTGAAGGTTACGTTGGGCTCCATGGTCATCAAACAGGAATCACTTCTTTGCTGGTTTCCTTCTATTCCTATCTTCCATTATCCCTTCCCTTCTCAAGTTTCTCCGCAGTGGATTTCGAATCCTTAATTCCATCCAATGAGTATCATCACTTGTTCGTTCAGATCTAACTCTCTCTTTCCTGGTCTTCTCTACCCCGTTAGTATCAATTTCGTTTATAACACTTGATTTGTACATCTCGTAACTAATTAAGAATGAGACCTCACTCATTCAATGAGGGTGAGCACGTTTCATATGGATTATCACTTTGAAAGATAGACATAGTCAACTTTTCATTATATGCAAATCACGTAACAATCAACACATGTTCAAAACGTGTCTTTCCTCTAATCGGCTAAAACTGAAGCTAATTTATCAAGCTAGAAGATACATCAACAAAGTTGTCGCTAACACCAACATAAGTCTCAGCTTAACAAGTCGTCTGAAAACCTTTCTGTAAACTGTCGACAATTCTCGACCCTCCCATCGATGTGAGTGATCGACACTAACAATCTTCATAGAAGCTACCTTCAACTGGTCCATATCTTGACAAATACATCTCAAAGTCCAGGTATTATCATGAATCTTCGAGTAAACCTTAATATACGAAGCGATTTCTTGCTCCTAGCGTTGTGGGAATTGCTTAAGTCATGAAAGTTGATAATCAACCAATCAATTCATTGCTTCTCACAAACTGGGAAGTTGAAGGAGTCATTCAACTTGCTGTTTCAGTTTTTAATTTCTCTCTCTCCTTCTTTGCTCTCCCTCTCTCCCTTGCGAGCTTAATGGCAAATTTGTGCACATAATGATCAGACTAGCTTTGAGAAATTTGAAGAGGCCAGTGTATAGCAGTACAGTTCATTGTTCACTTATGAGGTTTGAAGCGGGGAGTTTATGAGAAAGTAAGTTCTGGCACGTTGATGATGCTCAACGAGACCATCTCCCACAGAACACTTTTCTCGATAAGTAGTGACCATGCACTGATAAAATTTATTTGTTTAAGCACGTTCGACTCACGCCGTGTAATGCGAGAATGTGGGTCCTATTGATTCGCATTGTTGCTTTCGTGTTCCTTTAGTTTGTGGCCTTTCTGAGCCAGTAAAGTTGCATTTACACTTTGGCCTTTTCTAAAGACTCCGGATTCTGCTATTCTTACATTAACTCCCGATTCTCCCTTCATGTACATCTAGCTGCTTATCTCTTGCGCTTGCTAAGAGAGAAAAGGAACCCACTTACAGGCTCCTTTGTAATGTGCAGGTTCAGGTGAGATCCTCGTGCACCATTGCAAATTTCGAAATTTTTTCTTAGATCTGTTTATCGAATTCAGTAGAGCTCAAGAAGCTTGAAGAAAAAAATATTCATCTACATATGCTCTCATTTATGGTTGGAATTTCATGATCAGATGCTTGATTATACTGTACGTGGGTTCTTTGTCGCTTATGCTTGGGGTTGTGGGTAGCTCCCCCCTTCCTTCCTCCCCTCCCCTTTCTTTTGGCTCTTGTTATTGGTGGGAAGGTGGGGATGGGAGGGGGAGATCTCCAGACGGATCAAGTCACGTGGGTTCGACTCCCATGGGAGATTGGGATTGCCTTGTCCCCTTGTGCATTAAAATACTGTTTTCATCCATACACTTTGCTGTTGTACGTAAGCTCATGTGACAGCACACTAAGAAAAATGTTTCTCCATTCTTGCAATTGCATGGGGTCTAGGGTCCACAGAAGCTCATAGCTACACAGGAGCAAGTGAACCTCTTTTTAAAATTGGAGTTTGGAGGTGTTGGTGCTTAAAACAGTGCAACGAAGGAGAACCTGCCACCTACGATTTTCATTCGCATGTAGCTGTACTGCAAGTAAAGTTAACTCCGACCTATTTTTACCAGGGGCAGTTCTCGCCGTGGCACTGACAATCTGGTATGTACTCTGTGGTCTTCTATTCTTAAACTCCGAATTTTTTAATCCACAGAGAAGTCACATATTATGCAGAGGCCAAATATATATGTTAAAAAATTCTCTCTCCTTGCATCAGCGGAAGTCGAGGACGGAGATATTCTCATGGTTGATTGTGTAGAACAATTCTACTTTTTTTACAAATATCGGTCCAATTATCTGCATTAGTAGCTATCAAAACGTGTGTAGGAAAATTTGCATCTATTCACATCATGGCTAAAAGCTACACAAATTTTATTGAGAGAACAGATGTATAATTTCACATTTGTCACCATTTTCAAATCTGTGATCATAAATAGAAAAGATGAACATGAACCTACTGGTCTAGAACTTAACCTCAATTTCCATATATAAAAATAGAAAATTATAGGACCTAGTAAATGGTACATTTAAAGGTTAAAGGTAGACATAGCATGTATTTTAATAAAATGTTGAGTTTTTTTAAATTATTATTTTACTCTCATTACTCACTTAGCTTCTACCGATTTGATCACGTGGAAGATGTGGTACCTATGAATATGTTTCATATGATTTTGAGAGCCTTCATATGAAACTAAATGTTTTTCGAATCGCATTCTAAGTTACTGATTTTAGATTACATTTAGATTTCATTTCAAAGTTTTTCATAATCAATAACATTGAAGTTTTTAAAGTCCAAGTTATCGCATGACAATTTATAATGATAACATTATACCTGGTTTAAATCAATCATTCAGATTGTCTAAATTAGAATGTAATTATACTGCATTACGAAGATTTTTTTGATTATTATCTTGCTGATTCTTCATTTAACAGTTTTCACAATACGTCTTCACTCTGATGCCGTGCCCACCATTATTGATTTGTTAAGCTATGCTAGTTTAGTTAGAATCAATCATTTTCTTTCATTCTTACTTCCAAAGCCTGGATTTTTTACATAACAGTAAGTTCAATCAAAGATTTGGATGTACTTTGTGTAAATTTTATTTAAAATATTTAATACTCATGTTAACTACATATTTTCGGAATTTATAAATTACCTTCCAAGAAATGTCTATCACTTTCAAGAATTAGTAACGTAATTTGGAAAGTCAAAATTACTTATCAATTTTTTAATGATTTATTGTTAAGAGTAATTATATAAGATAGATCTTAAATTATCTTAACGAATGAGAATTTGATACAAAACACTGATGTAATATGATATATTCTGCATCACTGCTGTTTATCTAATAATTTACTTCAGATTTAGAAGAAAAATATCAAGTTTAATACATTAATTTTTTATAAACAGAAACTTCAATTTTTTATTTTTTTTGATATTATTGTAAGTTCATCATATTCAGTAAAATCTTGAGTTCTACTTTGAATGACTAATCATTCAAAGTATCATGTGAAATTAAAGATTGCTTAAGGTTTTATTTTCAAATCATGTTCATATATGATCAAATTTATAAATTTAGTCTCATTAATATCTTATGTACTAAAATGTATATTTTTGCATTGATCAAGTTATAAAAATAATCTTTTACGTTGAGAAATAAGACAAATGTGTGGCATAAAAAATTCTATTAAGTAAATTATTGATTGCATAAAATTTTTATTTGTTTTACATCTTTATACTTATGATTTATTTTAATATCCCAATAAATAGAATAATGAAATTTTACATGTTTAATCATGCATGACTTCAATAACATGTGATTGAAGTTAAAGACAAGACTAGTGATGAGTATATATCAACTAGAGTATTATAGAGATTGCATAATATAGGGCTTAAAATAATTGCATTATATTTTATAAAAACTCATATTTAAGTCAAAGAAGTCAAACTTGTTTATGTGAGATCTGGTTTAAGAGTAACTTCATGTTCTAGCTATTTAAAACTAGGTTGTCCGCCGGTGTTGGGTGTAACAACGTTACATGTTGTGTCTTTTGTCTACTTGTGCTTGTGACTTTTGGGTCACAAAATTCTCTATTCTCATCTCTAGCAATCTCCTCCAATTCAACCTCATATTGCTTGATTAGTTCTAGTGATTCCGCCTCTAGCTCTTGAGTCTTATCAACCACAATTGTGATTGATGAAAGTCTTTTGAGGAAAGTTTACTTCTCCTCATCTTTATGAATTACTCATTTGGTCAAAGAACCGCAACATTAAAGCATATTGCAGTTTGAGCTTTGACTTTGAAGCTCACCAACTTGACTCAAGTTTTGATATCCGTACTATGAATGATGATGATGAAAAATGCTCAAATTGCTATGCGTGAGATGAAGTCCGAAGTTCTTAGTCATCACTGCATTTTCAAGTCATTTTTTTGCATTTTAAACGCTTTATAATGCACTTTGGAGCAATGCACAAGTTCAAATATGTTTAATACCATATAATACTATATTAAACTCATAAAACTTGGACGTTATGTATTAAATCCAACACTAGACAAGACATATAATATATGAGTAGATATATTCAAATTAATCAATTGCATGGATTATCTAGATGAATTTGATTAGGCGCATGAAGAATGATAAGTTGAATTTTAATTAGTAGTAAATTATTGATTACCATTTATTAGCTCAAATTGCTCTATGAACAAGAATTGTCTTGGCTAACTCCATGATTTTATCTTAAACAAAGTTTGAAAAACACTTTTTGAACAAATATTTTTTCTAACACATGAAAAAAAAATTGGACTTTACAAAGTTGATTCCAAGAAAATGTGTTGCAATAACATCATAGTATTCTATCATATTAGGAAATCGAGCACCAAATAAAGACCAACTATTTTTGAAGATAGAATGCTGCAAAACAAATCAATGTTATCCTTTAACATTGGTTCACATTTAATAACATGGATTTGTACTTTGTGTTTATCAAAGATGACATCAATTTGAGATAATGAGTGCTAATGCTCTAATCAAAAAACATGTTGTTTAATCTTTTAGATAGAATTGGTGGTGTATAGCTCAACAAATTCATGCAGTAGCATTAGGAAACAAGAACTGAAATTGGATATTGAGTACCTAAACAAATTCATGTGGTAGCATTAGGAAACAAGAACTAAAATTGGCTATTGCGTAGCTCAACAAATTCATGCGGTAGCACTAGGAAATAAGAACTGAAATTGACTATTGTATAGTTTCACAAATTCATATGATAGCACTAGAAAACAAGAACCATAATTAACTATTGCATTGTTGTTTTGATCAGGATAGTCAAAGATTGCATGAATTCAATATCAAAAAATAATGTAAAAGAAGTAAATCTTGTCTTTGAGATATCGCTTTCATTAACTATATTAAATATAATGTCAGTCGATGGAGCCATATCAACAAAAAATTCTTGGACACTCGATATAACAATTGCAAAATGATCATTGATAATATGAATTGATGGATTGATATTTGCAATTGAATTTTCAATGAGTGACAATGAATGAAGTATGCAATATTCAAGTCATTTTATTATTGAAACACAAGAGTAATAAATCTATGGATAGATAGGAAACTAATAGCAATTTGAATGATGAATCCATGGGTAAAATGTAATCCATCAACGTTGAGATGAAACGAAAGCTAACCATTTGGTATCATTATGAAAGAACAACTTTGACCAATGGATATGAAACCAATTGATGATCTGATTTGTAAAAAGCCAACAATTAACTTGACAATGACACATGGTTTGCAACTCTGCGATTAGATTTTACTGCAATGTAATGCCATGATGATTCTTTGATGATATTGATCATTATGTCATAAATAACAAAATCTAGTTGATGCATTCCATGCCAAATTTGAATTAGACAATAGTAGTTATGCATTGTGTCGTTAAGGAGTAGACAATGCAATGATACGTCCAATCATATTACGGATCTTGATACATGTCAAACCAAAAAAATGAATTGTCCAATCAATATAGAACATTGTCAAAAATGTGTTCATTATCGTGAACATGATATTTTTGTATGATGATTAATACTTTAAAGTGTGCATCCATGCAAGTTAACAATTAAATGGTATTTGAGGATGATTAATACTTAAAAGTGTGCATCCATGCAAGTTAACAATTAAATGGTATTTGAGAATGAAAAAAAACAAACATAAATGATGAATAAAATTTCAATGAATGGCAATGTCAAATGTTAATAAAAAGCTCAAATTGACACATAAATACAATAATTTGCTATCTATTGATAGTACAATGAATAGCAAATAGAACAAATAATCCAAATAAAGTCATTGATATTATAACAAGAACATACATGTTAATCGATATTGTCTAACACATTGTATGTGTAGCTATGAGTTCAAAAGTCATAAGAAATGATGTTCCACAAGACACACAACGCACAATCAAGCAAAATAGTATGAATTTCTTCTTGGTAATATTCATTGATTAAAAATAAATAGCAGTGTATTGTTTTGATTTAACGGATTAAAAAAATAATAACAGTGCTTGCTCTTTTGACTTTGCTGCTATTTGACAAAATCAAAGAAGCAGAACATTAATCTCAAGCGCACTCTTGAACGTAAACTTCTCATTCGCATTATGATCTGCATATATGTCGTCTTGATGATTAGAATTTAACATCATGTTGTCCACATTAACATACTCAATATACTTCTCGTTCAACACTTAGACAAAAATACGTTTTCGTGAAGTTTTTAAATGCAATAAAAATAGCATCAAAAAATCAAGTGTGCTAAGAAGAGAAATTTAAAACCAAATACATAGTAGATTAACCCGAATGCTGGTTGCAAAGATCACTCTCTATAATATTGTAACGGATGAGTTTACATCATATTTGATCAACAGTTTGAATCTTGCGTACTAATTCAATCTTCTTCTTCCAATCGAATGCAATGCACAAGCAACATTGGAGGTTGATCATTTTCAACCTTCAATGCTGCGTTAAAAACCTAAGTCATTGGATAATTTTCAACTACTTGAGATCACTATTCACAAACTATAATCATTATGTACGTTATTTTTTTAACATACCCACATTTCAGAAAAATATACAAGTGTAATTAAGTGAGATCAATTTTCCAAGTCATACACGCATATTACCTTCCATAACCACACAATTTGTTCATATAGACGCGGCAATAAGAAAACATTTAGATAATCTAAACAATGTAATCTTTGATCATCTTTTTTACGCATTTTTCTATATGATGTGATAAATAGATTTTAAGTTTGTTTAAATTTCAAATTTGCTTATTTTCAAATTTTTACATTTTGTAATATTTTACATTTTTTGGATATTTCATTTTAAAAATATAAACAACATCAAGATTATATTTGAAAATTTATAAGTTTTAATACATATTTGGAGCTTCTACTATGCTTGTTCTAAGAAATATGATTTGATAAGAGCAAAATTGAGATACATTGATTGATGAATTAATCAGATCCTTTTTTATTAATATTTTTGAATATTTTTAATAAGATTAAATATTTCATACTATGTAAAAAACTTGCTTATGTTTTCTAGCCACAGATATGAAATTTTTTATAAAAAAGTCTGTGTGTTACCATGTTTTTGCATAAATGAATACCATACAATTTGTTACTGTGTTGACCCGTTGAGATTGCTTGTTATGGTAAAAATTTATCAATAATAATTATTGATTATTATTAATTATAAAATTATTTACAAATTACATTTGAAAATTTTTAAATCTAGTAAAATTAAAAATATGGAAAAATTGACATTCATTGATTCATATGAAAGATCAAAGCAATTTCATTTTATATTAAATATATTCATTGTCAATGTTTTAAACTCAAAGATGTTGACCATTTTTATTTTCATCATAACAAGATTTTTATTGTGATATAATTTATAAATATAAAACTTTTTGACATAAACAAGAATAAAAAAATTATGTAAACTTAATCTTACATATGAAAAAATTTGTACTAATAATTTTATGGTCAAATTTGTATTAGATTTCAAAAGAAAGTTATTTTGAAATTTGATATTTGCACAAATAATTAAACTTGTCATATTAAGTACTCAATCATAGTACTTAAGAATGATGGTTTTTCATATTTAAATATCTTTGATAAATAGATCATTAAATTATCATTAAATCATACAATTTTGAAATTATGATGAAAAATTTGACATGAAAGTTGAGATCTTTACATATTTGCATTTTTATGCAAATTTGTAAGTTTTTATAGAGAAAGAAGAAAAAACCTTTTTCATTCTTAGTCAATTGAGCAATCATTGAATCTTTACTATGTTTTAAAAAACATTACTGCTTATGATGTTCAAATTGCTCAATATTTTCAAAAAATTGAATAAGGATTTTACAATTTACTTCTAAGGATTAATAAAATTTTCAATCTTCAAACTCAATTTAAGAGAATTTTCACATTTTTATGTGATCTTGCTTTGACGGGGTTACTAACAAGTCCGACTGATTCACTTAGATTTTGGCATATCATGCATAAGTATATTTTTATCTTGCACAATTTACTTTATTTTTATAATGATGGAGGTTTGCCTCAACTTCATTAAACCCTTCAAATGCTCATTTTCGATTTAGCACAAATTTACTTTATTAGATGTTTAATTGAAGTACAAAGATTAGCTACAAATGATGATGATACGAGAGATGTGATGATTTTCACATTGTGCAACTCACCTCGAAAAAATGCTGGCATGTGTTGCAGTGGACAAAATGAGTACAAATTGGTACTTGGTTCGAGAGCAGCAAGTTACAATTGCAAATGTACTCATCACTAATCCTGAAAGTCACAAGATTGTAAGGAAATGAGTTTTTTTTACTAGGATAATAATAATAATAAAGTCTTCGTATATAAAAGTATGCAAAGATATAAGTACTTTGTTTACAAGTCACGAGAAGTATGTTAAGCTAAAGATAAGGATTTTTTTACATAATTGTGAGAGGATGAGAAATACATTATTATAGTATGCTACAAGATGTTTATGTCTAGTCTATGTTGTAAATTATCAAGAAAATGTACGTCCATTGCTCTACAAAGAGCAATGTCCAGTGCTATACTTTGCGTGGCATTACACACTCCTGTTGTTAATTTTGATCTTTTAGTTGATGTAGGACATATTCTTTTTATCACACTTCTATCTAGTCCCATACATGGAACTCTTGTTTGTATTTTATTTTTCGGCTCGGATTGATACGATATTCCCTTACTTATTTTCTACATCTATGTGATTCTTTCGATCTTAAAACACTCGATTTGTTAGAAGATAAACGAGTATCTTTTCATTTTCTTCTGAATGAAAACTGTTCAAATGGTCAGCCGTAGGAAATTATGTACCCTTGGTTGCAGAACATTCTTTACGAATAAATTTGAAAGTGTATCATTCGAATGTGAAGTGACGATTTTTTAGCAGTTACATCCACAAACAGAAATATCATTAAGCTCGGTAAAAATTAAAGTATGTCGAAGCAACCTAGAAAAAAATAATACTACCGAAATATTATTATTATTATTATTATAACTGATTAGCAACTGAAAAAAAATGTCTTGGGAAAATTAGTCAGTAGTGACAGGCACCACTTTCGCACCGGTGCACAGCATGAAGTACCGGGAACATTAAGCTTTTGCCAGGGAAAGCTCTTGTCAGCGACTTCGTACACGCCAAGCCAGGCAAAGAATGCCGAAGAATTAGTACGGAATGAAGGCGAGACCGAAGCAAGAGAAAAGAAAGGCTTGCGCAGAAGCCTCGGGGCCTTTCCCGCTGTATCCAGAGCACGGAGCCCGGAATGCTGCGTACAAGAACCGATCGCCAGAAAAAGGAACCGGCAAGCGGGTTTATCGGACGATCCGCAGAACGGGACAGCGCCCCGGGAGTTAAAAAAAGGCGCAGAAACGATAAAGGAATGTACAGTCGGACCGACCGCGGCTCAGGCAGGCAGGCAGGCAGGCAGGCAGGCGGTCAGTCGGCCAGTGAGTTTCGGCTACAGCGGAAGAAGGGGCAGATCGGGGCCATTGTCCAGCGGCCCCAGGCTCAGACCCGGGCCTCGTCCGTCCCTCGCTCCCTCGGGGGACGAGGAGGTCCCTCGTCATCTGCAGATTGACAGAATTACTCAATAAATAAGCAGCCGATTATGGTGCTGATGTTGCTTCTCCGAGCTCTCCCGCGGCCCTGTCCTCATTCTCCCTCCCTGCTCATTCCCTTGCGCACACGCAATTCAGCCGAGCTTCGCTGGAGTGTCCCGTCCTCCGGCTCTGTTCGAGACCGTGTGGTGTGGTGTGGTTTGGTGTTTTCTGGCGTGGTGTGGTGTGGTGTGGTGTGCTGCGAATGAGATGCGTATGAGCGACATCGAGCAATTGGGATAGAATAGCTTGCGGGACGAGGTGGTGACGAGACCCAGCCGGGCTACGTTTCTAGCAGAGTGTGGGTATGATGTATAGAGGTTTATGACGGTGGTGGTAATTGTGACGAGGGCGGAAGACGATGTCCGACCCGAGGGATGGAGGGTGCGGTGCGGCGAACGAGGAGTCTGAGTGGTTGTATTTTTGACGCACCAATTGGAATTGTTTAAGCGTGTATGGTTGGTTGGTTGGTGTGTGTGGTAAGAAGTGTACCTGTCGCCGAGTGCTTCCCAATCGATTCACGGCGAGAGAGTTTAAGGGGAGGGGATGATGTTGAGTGGAGTGCACGAGTCTTTTTCCGTAGGGAATTCGGATGGCGTTCTTTGGTGACGGTGGAGATGCGGTGTCGTGAGAAGTCGATTTCGAACCGAGCGCTCTCGTGTTCCGGAAGGTAGGACGGGTTGTAGTGTCGACGCTGTTCAAGAGCACTGCTGCTGCAGAGAGAGAGAGAGAGAGAGAGAGAGAGAGAGAGAGAGAGAGAGAGAGAGAGAGAGAGAGAGAGAGAGAGAGAGAGAGAGAGAGAGAGAGAGAGAGAGAGAGGATTTGGAGAATTGATGAGTCCCCGGGGCGGAATACGGCCGGGCGGGCAAACGGCGACGCTCTTCATTTTATGGACAGGCTGCGGAGCAAGAAGCATTGGAAGTTCGAATGGATTGGTCGTAGAAGGCTTGGATACATTGCCCTCCCTGTGCAGTTGATGTTGGGATCTTTAAGCGAGAGGATTTAGTACGACAGCTTGAAGCGAAAATTTGTGCCCCGTGGTCAGAGGCCCTAGGAGTTTTGATCTTCGTAGGCGTGTAAGGCAGGCTGTGAGTTGGTGCTGTTGCCAGGCGAATCTACCACCAATTTTACGATTTCCGGTTCTGCACATGCGCGATTCGAGATTTGGAGCGCTTACACCACAGAATTACTCTTATCCCACTGGCAGAAGTAAGATCATCGTCTTCTGTGTAAATTGCGTTAAGGAAATCGTAATCTGTCATCGTAAGAATGTGGGCTATGTGCATGTGCTTGTGAGGCCGATTCTCACAAGTTATATCTCATACTGGAGAATTCGTTCAGACCTCTTTTCTGACACGTTGCAACGCGTCAGAACTCTGATGCAACTCTCAGTGAACGTATGCATGTTAAATTCAGAGCCGGAATTGTTAGTGCACTCTGAGTCCATTCACTTTGAATCTTGGACATAGAAAGGAAATCACTTTTCAAATCTCACAGACAGCCTGTGCAGGCCGTAATTACGTGTATGCCAAAATTTTCCCAACAATATTTCTTCAAGGTGGTTGCCAAATTCTTGTTTCAGAATCATACCATGCCGTGCCTACTTGGTTCTCAGCATTTAATTTCAATCATCCTAAAGGTTTAGAAGAGTTTGGTCCTCTGTTCCGTGTTACTGACTTTGGCAAACACCTTCTTGACATTCAGGAGCCTAAAATAAATCTGGATTTAGCAATTATGGAAAATTACAACGGCATGGGCCCAGGAGAGAGCTGGCCGCTAAGTTGGACTCCTGTAGAGGTAATTACTCCAATATACTTTCAGCCAACGATTCTTGTAATTGCCCCCCAAGGGTCAAGCTGTAAACGACACAGTACCTTCTAGTGAGGCCCAGCCGTGCCTTCTTCGTTTACTGCTGAATTTTCACGGTGACTTTGCGTCTATGTGCAGAAGAGTCCTGTCAAGCGTAACAAAGATTACTCCTATCTGCTCTTGCCTTCGGAGCTGATGATAGCCGAGGTTAGAAATTTCCCCGTCCATACTTTTGACTCGTGTGAACAAAAAGCTGCTAAATTGGACGAATGCTAGGAAAGAGCTTGCAGATGATCTTGACAATATTTGTTGGTGAGAAGTAGTAGGGTCATAGAGGTCGATGCATGTATTTTGCTCGCCAATTGGAAAGCTCACTGATTCAGCTCAAACTTTGATTAGCAGTGTGTATTTTGTTGCATAATATTCCCGACCGTGTAGAACAGTGATCAATTTTTGTTCTTGCAAATATAGGGCCTTGCAGTGGTATTGGTGAATATGGATATCGCTGGGACGGTCCTTGTCACCAACTATCGACTCATTTTTATCGTGAGTATTCAATGGCGCTGATCACATCTCTCACTGAAATGTTGAGGCTTTCGGCGACCAAGTCAGGCATTTCGAATGGAATAAAGTGTTTCAACCATGTTTTTGCATGCAGAATTACTTGGGTGACCGCAAGTCGGATGAATATTTGAGAGAGAGAACACACTTTCATGTCACTCGCGGTAATGCAATGTATTTCCTTGACAAGGAGATTTTTGGTTTTTTCAGGGAGAAGACGGGAAGGTGGTGCCTTTGGGTACAATACCTTTGGGCACTATTGAAAACGCTCAGCTGTCGACTGTTAAGGGTCCTGTACGATATTCAACTCCTATCTAGTCCAATCACTTTTATGTCAAGTTTCAATAAAGCCGACCATATTTCCGTTGTTTGCCAACCAGTCTCATGTATTCTCACCTGAATGTGTTTTATGGGCTGTGGCATGGACGTAAATTTTTTTTTCCTTTCCCTTGGAAAGATTTGTTCTTGGCTGTAAAAGATGGGCTGAAGGCAGTAGGGTAAGATTATATGACAGTAGCTTCCACTGGACTAGCTTTTGACTGCCCAGGCGAGTCATATGACCTACTGATATGAAGTCTTCTGTGGAGCATATAACCACTTACAGCAACGTCTCTGTATTTGAATGATGGAATCTATGAAACTAAACTACGTCCCTGCTAACTTTACTGTGTCTATTTCAGCAGCAGTCAACTCCACGAAATGCAGCTCGCGTTGGATATCGAGGCCCCATCCGCCATCTCCTTGAAGTTGTTGGTGCGTCTTTTCATGAAAATCTAACCCCTTTCTGGAAGAAGCAAACAAAATTAGATCATTTGTCGTTGTGACGAAATCTATCACACGCCTGACAGAATGGTGAAGTGGAAGTTCAAGCTGATAGTCTAAACGGCCATTGAAGGAAGTACCGGTAACGAAGATTAATGGTTTTACCTTCATTCTTCGTCCTCCGTTATGAATAGTAGTTGGATGAAGCAGGAGCAGATGGTAGTTTTAAAACGTCCTGTATTGGAGAAGCTTTGTCAATAGTTCTTATGTGTTGTTTCTGCTTCTAGGAAAAGACATGAGGAAAATTGCTTATTGTTTTCGACCCAATTCGGAACAGGTATATCCTCCTTGTCCTTCTCATGTATATGATATTGCTTTCTCTTATGAAGAAACATTTACCCGATTCCTCCAGGTGCATATATGCCTATGACGAGTTACTAATGTTGCATTTTCTCTCCCTAAAAGGTTCTTGATACATTTTGAACTGGGATCACAAGTTGTTCGGGCATGATTTTGTCCAAGCCGTACAAGATGCAACAATTGAGGGGAAGGACGTTCATGTCTTCACCGCGTCTAGGAATAAATAATAATTGGATTTTCTGTCTCTATGCAGAGGGAGTCGGTTTTCAAAGCAATGACAAAGTTTCTACTAAGTCCTACACTCTGGGACCTATATGCATTCAGTAGTGGGTTACCACCGGCCTTCCAGAGTGGGGATCCGATGTCACGGTTGCATGCTGAATATACGCGTATACTCACGGGTACAGACAACAAGACGGATGGCCCTACGAATACATCCGGATCGATGAGATCTAGCACACCCGTGAAGCCAGGGAAATCATGGTGGCGCATCAGTGAAGTGAATTTAGGTTACACAATGTGTGCGACCTACCCTTCCCGTCTGATCGTCCCCTGCTCTGTAAGGTATCTTCCTTACACTGCTGCTCTTCCATATCAGCCTTTGTCACAATGAGTGAAGAACAAAATATGTTTGGAAAGTACGTCAGGGATCACCGTCCAGTGCTGGTTAGTGGAGTGACTGCAGCCATTATACAAACGATATTTTAATTAGCAGCACAAAACGCGACATTGGTAACAAGGAGTCTTTTGAAAAGTGCCTGGCCCGAAGGTACCTGACATTTTATTACGTTGAGACTTCGCGTGCAGGTGTCCAGTGTTAAAGCTTTCTGTTATTTATAAGCTGTGTTTCATCATACTGTTGTCTTGACTTCAGGAAGTCTGCACTTATCTTTTTAATTAACTCTACTGAGAAGCGTCGTCCAATGCAGTGATGAAGACATTCAGCAAGTAATGAGTTTCCGCGCTCGCGCTAGAATACCAGCTGTGGTCTGGCGACATGGCGGTAAGTCAATACTCAAGTAGACTTTCGATGCCGAAACTCAAAAATTTCCCTGAAAAAGAGGTGCTGGCACAAACTGTCACGAGGGCTAAGCGTGACATGTCGGGGAAACATAGAGCCACGGACTCAATCAATGCCTGGATATACACTCTCATAATTGTCACTTGTTTTATCTCATAAGTCTCATGTGTTTGTTATTTTCCGTGCTTCTTGCAGGAAATGGAGCGGTCCTAGCGAGATCTGCTCAGCCTTTAGTAGGATTTTTGCATTCCACACGCAGGTAACATTATTAGATAAGTTCAAGAAGCAAAGACACGCCAAATGGCAGTTCTGTATTCTTGGGATCACCTCGTTTTAAACCTAAGTTGATTGTGTTTCAGAATTGGACTCGATACGGAAGCATTCTTGTTTATTTCGCTGTGGTATGGAATTATACCAAATTTGTGTTCTGATTTCTTTGAATGGTATCGGATCCATTGTAAACCCACTTGTTTGCCTCACAGCCCTTGCGACGAGAAACTTCTTGCGGGTCTGTGCCCACCTCTCGGTGGGTCATCTTCACCACCCAGGTATGCACTTCTACTCGTAATGCGCCTTAAACCTCCGCATTTTTCCCTTGTAACCTTTTGATGTATGTGCGCTTCTAAAATTTAGCTTTCAACTAGGAACTTCTTTGTTAGAACGATAGACAGCAGTAAACAAAGGTCCTTCTGGCCGAAACGATCCCTAGTTTTTAGCTATGTCACCGATTCATCGCTCAATCAGTCTTACTGTTCGTGTTTATTTTGGATACAGAAAGCTATATGTCGCAGATGCGCGACCAAGGACGAATGCAATTGCAAATGGGGCCTTAGGCGGAGGCACAGAATCTCCTGCACATTATCCGCACATTGAGGTTCAAGCCTAACCTTGCAGTCGAAGACTCGCAGCTTCTTTAATTCCACATTTTTGGTTTAATCTTAGATGATGCATTCAACGGAAACTATTTTGTAGGCTGTGAACTTTCTCTATCAGGTGAACACTATTTGCCACATGTTTGTACCATAGACACTTTGTTAGTTTGAGAAGCCAAAAGTTGATGTATCTATTTCTTATGTTGTTTTGCTTGAATTTCTCAGGTCGTTTTTCTTGGCATCGAAAACATTCATTTCATGCGAGAAAGTTTTACAAAGCTTCGTGATTATCTGGATACACATGGAAGTGCATCTTCTGATGGTTCATCCTCTCTCCTGGTATGGGAAGACAGTTCAACCCACAGATTCACACCTCATTATCTACCCTTCCGCATTCATCCTTCGGGTGCAAAAATTATATGAAAGTGCAATCGCTTCGTCACCTATGTAGAATCAGGAGATTAATTGTGTATGCTCTAAACGTTGAGATAACGTACATAGCTGGCGCCCTTCGGAAAATACTCTACAGTTTTAACGCGTTATGTCATCCTTCCGTTTCTTGATAATTTTACGTAGAGGGCTGGCGATTGGGCTTGGGGTGGAGCTTCTGCGAGCAGTATGGCATCGGCTGTTACAGCCCTTGGGCAGAGTGGATGGTTGTACTATGTACATACTATATTGTCCAATGCAGCCTGGATTGCGGGACGCGTGGTGATGGAAGGTGCTTCTGTTCTGGTTCATTGCAGGTATACACACAAGCACCGATCACGCATATATAGAAATCAGGACAGCCTGGTCAGCATTGTCAATTTGTTTCTGAGCCTAAATTTCTGACAGGCTTACATCAGACTCGGTCGTTGATACATACGATGTAATAATGTAAATGCTTGTTCGTGAACAAGTTCAAATCACTACAACGAGTGGTTAAGTACTACTACCTATGTATCGACGAAGTTTTGAATGTACGCTCAGCTGTTCAAACGTGCTTCTTGTCTTGCTAAATGAGGAGTACAGAATTCTAGAAACTAGAAAATCACTGACTCCTGAATAATTACTATTTCTACAGCAAAAAAACCAATAGAAGTTGTTGTAGATCTCGAAATTACGCTGGTCGCTGAAAGGTTAAACCTGTACAGTTAATGCTTTGGTTTACTCGGCCTCTCGAAGAGTAGTATGTTCATATGCTCCTCTGCTTTGTAATATATTGACTTGTGTAAGGTGATGAAACTTGTGACAATGTGCAGTGATGGGTGGGACCGTACAACGCAATTGATCTCCCTCGCTCAAATTTTACTGGACCCTTACTATCGGACATTTCGTGGATTCCAGGTACAGGAGCTGCAAGTCTCAAGTTCAGTGGTTTTGACAAGTTTGGAGAGCATCCTTGACACAATTGGGATGTGATTTAGTGTATAACTGATATCGTTATCTCGGCAGGCACTTGTGGAGAAAGACTGGTTAGCTTTTGGACATCCATTTGCAGATCGTCTCGGAGTGCCGACTTTTACTGGTGGCAATTATACAGTGGAAGGTTTAGGCCATACCCCCAGCGAATCTAGTGCACCTGTGCGGAATGGTCCAAGTTCTGCATTTGCATCATCTGCTCCTGGTGCTGTACGCGTCACCAATAACAACGAATCTCCAGTTTTCCTGCAGGTGAATAATCCTTTCTTTAAGAAAAGTGACCTGGTGAGAGTCCAAGAGCAGCTTCACTCACAGTTAGTCGGTACAGTTGTCACAATACGTCTGGTTACACTATGTCAGGTGGGAATTGCCTTCGAAAAGCTTGACACTATATTTGCTCTTGTTGTCGCAGTGGGCTGATTGCGTTGCACAATTGATCCGATTATACCCACGAGCTTTTGAATTTTCATTGGTAATCCCGCAACTTCAATTCTTGGACTAAGAGTTACCTTTATTTGGAATATCAGTTGTGTACATCTTAGTGAGTCTTTATGCATCTTAGTAGATGAAGCATTTTCCCTTCCTTATTTGTGTACTTATTAATACTTCTGATGATATGGTCAGGCTTTCCTCGTCGAATTTTTCGACAGCGTGCTTTCATGTCGTTTCGGGAACTTTCTCTGCAACAGGTGGAACATTTATTTCCCCTATGATCACTCAGATGGAGTTGTTGCATAAGAGCGAGAAGCTTTTGAATAATTTTCGTTGCGAGTTGAAGTTTGAAGTGCATCTTCATCGTTGTAGAATGGTGGCTTAAAAGTTAGCTTGTTTCTATTGTTACAGATGACATTGAAGCATGGGATTATGATAGGTTGGAACTCATTGTTATTGTCAACGTTCAGAAACTGAGAGTTTTGTAGTCATGAGAGTGTGGCGATCAGACCTGGCTATGAATGAGGATGACGTGTTTTTCCTTCATTCCTGGACCAGTTTTGCCAAAGCGGAGATCAATTAATGTCCTGAAAACAGAGTGTGCTGAATGAATTGCAGTGAAAAGGAGCGGGTCCAGGCAAACATTAGTGATTCTACTGCCGATATATGGACGTATCTCGAAAAAGCCCGCAGTGGTGGTAGGGCGCAGCATGAGCACTATAATATGTTGTACGAAGCTGGCAAACATACAGGAGCACTTTTGCCTCCAGCTGCAGCACTTACTCCCTCCCTATGGACCGAATTCTATCTGAGATGGTCCTGCCCATATGGCTTGAATTTCAAAGGTTGCATGCCAACAGGGTGGGGTCAAGGAGGGGATATCGAGAATGAAGCTCGAAAAAGTGCTCGGTCGATGAGTGTTCTCAAAACTGTAAATATCCTACCTTTCGTTTAGCCCACTCACTGAAGTAGTTCCTCCGCAAACAGTCGAAAAGAACAGCTGTAAAAGCTGAATGACATTAGAAGGATGCTGTACTACTCTTTCTCCTTTGAGCATTCTTGGTTTTCTTCTCTTGGTTTTCTTTCTGAGGCGATGCTAATGCAGGAAAGGCTGATGTTTGTTGTAAGAAAAGCCTGGTCTGAAGATGTTTGTCATCTTGACGAAGAATGTGAAGGTTTTACGCAGACATGTTGCTAACCTGAACTCTCGTTTTTTACTATGTCAGGGTAAGGAAAGGGCCGAGATGAAGCTTCTGGAGGCACAAATAACCAAGTTGGCTTTGGAAGAGCAACTGAAGGCGGAAAGGCAACAGAAGCTTGCCGCAATCACTGAAGCAGGACAAGCGCAGCAAGAAACTGCTGCCTTGAGGCGGGTATTACAAGCTATGGGTTGTAAGGTTCGAATTTCCAAGGCTCATTCCGGTGGCAATTACTCCGAAGGTGAAATACTGTACGAAGAGGATATTGAGGATAAGACGGATGGTTCTCCACATGATCAACCTGATGTTGATCTAAACAGGACAGAACCTCTGGCAGTTTCGATTTTGTTGGAGGGAGATAGCACTGCGTTTCACATAAGGAGAGCATGTGGCGTGGACGGTGCTCTCAGTTGCAGTAATGTCCAGACAGGGGACGTATGTAAATGGCCTCAGGGCAGATGTGCCAGGTTGGGAAGCGCTTTTCTCGGCTTAAAAGCCGATTTTCAAGCTCTACAGCAATTGTCAATACTAGATTGTTATTTTGATCCTGAGCACAAAGGCTCCACGAGTTCTGGGATCGCTACTTCCTCACAAACTCCTGTTGTAACCTAAGTGAGCCCTAAGAGTGAGTGTCAAAAGTAGATTCTTGCATAAGCAACAACGACAGCTTCCCCCAGCTGGCAACAGGGTAGCTTCCACAATTATTTACATCTTAGAGGGGTGATTTTTCTTCTCTATCTTTACTGCAAAATTTCAATCATCATTTTTGTAATTCATCCTTGCTCGTACGCCTTTCATGATATGTATGCCGTCCTCATTCTGAATACGAATTTTGAGGTGTTTTGATGTACATCAATTACTGTATTTGGACAGTCATTTTGTTCTGAGTACCTCAAGCATTGGCCTGTTGTACATAATCTGATGGATCTATGTTCATGCTTCCAATTCGGCCTGCTGCAGCCGATAATAAAACCAGTTGTTATAATTTTGTGCATCAATGTTGTAAGACATGGGGATGAAAAATATAGAACTTTAACTTAGGACGGAGTTTTCGTATCTATCTAGTTTTATTATTTCATAATATGAGCTACATCTTCCCATTGAAATGTACTTATTTGAAGTATCACATCGAAATTTAAAATGCTTGATGAGATCCACCGATGACACATCGTTGCGAACTTCTAAAAACTGTTGTTGTGCATTAAATCTCGCATTATATGCTAGTTTTAGCGGGCATGTGTTATAGCAAATCGCATAACGATAAAATTGTCACAAGTGCAAAGAGGTTTTGAGTGGTTGGAATGGAGATTCGACTCCGTGAGCAACAGGGGAGGTGTGTAATTTGTGGAGGAAATTCATAGGGATGGAAGTGGAAGACTCTTGAATTCAGGGTGTAAGGTAACTTCACAAAATTTGGGTCAAAGGGTAAATCTCGGTAAATCTACTTTTGATTTTAAGATGATATTTTAAGATTTTCTTTACAGTAAATTCACATATGGAAGCGAAAGACTTTTGAATTGGAGTGTCAAGTAATTTTACAAATTTTGGTGCAATGGAGTGTCAGGTAATTTTAAAAATTTTGGTGCAATGGATAAATTTCGACAAAGAAGTATCCTGGTTTGATGACATTGAACGAAGATTTGAACGATTCAATGATGTACGACGAGGACAGTGTCGCTGTCACAGTTCCACTGTTTGCATTGTCTGTTGATACTAGAATATGCATGATATGTACCGCAGCTGATGTTCATAATATAAAATGAAACTTAAAATATCCCAGCAAGCAATTTAGCATTGTCTGCATCGACAAAGAAGTATGCTGGTTTGATGACATTGAACGAAGATTTGAACGATTCAATGATGTACGACGAGGATAGTGTCGCTGTCACAGTTCCACTGTTTGCATTGTCTGTTGATACTAGAATATACATGATGTGTACCTCAGGTGATGTCCATAGCGTAGAATCAAACTTAAAGATCACAACAAGCAATTTAGGTTCCGATGGGGGAAGCTCAAATAAATAATTATTCCATTAATGATAACAAATTCTAGAACTATTCTTTCGTAATTTGTAAATCCGTCCACTAATAACAACATGTCAATAGTCACATGATACTATTCAATAGTGACAGTTTCAAGTATAATTTTGGAGCTAAAATTATTATCATGAGAATGCATAAAGAATTATGAAAGAAAGAATTAAAGAGTTATGAAAAAAAATTATGACATGCATATATTTAAATGTCAATTTCAATGGTTAATTATATCTAGGTTGGGCAAGATCTTCAACCATAGCAATTTTACTAACTTCGGATTCATCAATGATTTGGCAAGAAAGTATAAGAAAAACTCTACGAATTTCCTCTTCTATGTTGATGATAGTATACAGCTTGTCTGTTTGTTCGACGAGATCTCTCCCATATTTCTTCAAAGCTTGAAGATTGGTTTCTCCGGTCGCATTGTCTACCTTCTTGTCCTCATCATCTTGCACATTTTTCAACTCCTCCTTAAGCTTGGTTACATGAACTCTGGAATACTTTAGACAATCCGATAGTTGCAAATATCAGATTGTATATGGGAACAAATGAGAATCTATCCTCTGCAAAGATTTAGCCTTATGAATGCACTTTACGGGAGCAGATAATGAGTTGGTGATTGAGAAGTAATCTTCTTTAGCGCTTGATTGAACAACCTCTCGACCAAACTCAAATCTCCATGATATCTCACCTCTCTTATGGCTTGGTTGATTGATTCGTCCAGACCTTGGAGAGTAATGTAATGTGCATGACTTGAGTTCATCGCTATCTCTTGATCCGCCTCAGCTAGAGACTTGTTGATCTTGTGCGTAAAACGTTCTAGATTCATCGTTAGCTTCCTTCCTTTCTACAACAACACTACGGCCCTCTTTGAAGAATGTTCAAACACCATCGTTTATCTCTTCTCATTTTTTCCATGGACAATCAATCATACTCCTACTTTTTTTGAATTGACACTAGTTGAAATCTTCAAATAATTGGATTGTTCATTCTTTCTGGGTTGTAGTAACATATTTTGCTAAAGATTGTATCGTTGATTGTTTAAGTAATACAACTTCATCAAAATTTTGTTGATGGATTAACAAACTACGAGTTACTTGAAGGTTGAAGAGCACATAACTTTGAAGTTTTATCAATAGAGATGACTAAAGAAACAAAAAGTTGATCAAATCAGTGATTGTCCGATTTGTTTGCTTGACGGTGACCAGAGGTGAAATTTCAACAACATCATTGTATACTAAATTGCGGATAGCCTGCAGAAGATTGTTATCTTTGAGTTCAGACGTCACAATACTAACATCATCAACAATATCATCGTCGAAATTGCTTACATTTTGCAGAAGATTGTTATCTTTGAGTTCAGACTTCACATTACTAACATCATCAACAATATCATCGTCCAAATTGCTTACATTTTGCAAAAGATTGTTATCTTTTAGTTCAGATTTAACAATGCTAACATCATCATTGTCCAAATTGCATACATTTTGTATAAAATTGTTATCTTTCAATTGAGATTTAATAATGATAACATCATCAACATCATCATTGTCCAAATTGCATACATTTTGTATAAAATTGTTATCTTTCAATTGAGATTTAATAATGATAACATCATCAACATCATCATTGTCCAAATTGCTTACATTTTGTAGAAGATTATAACTTTTCAGTATAGAATTAATAATGTTAACATTGTTAATGACATTGTGGTTCAAATTGCTTACATTTTGCAGAAGATTGTTATCTTTCAGTACAAACTTCACGATGCTAACATCATCAACAACATCGTCGTCCAAATTTCTTACATTTTGCAAAAGATTGTTATCTTTCGATACAAAATTCATGATGCTAACATCATCAACAACATCATCGTCCAAATTGCTTACATTTTGCAAAAGATTGTTATCTTTCGATACAAAATTCATGATGCTAACATCAACAACATCATCGTCCAAATTGCTTACATTTTGCAAAAGATTTTTATCTTTTAATTTAAATTTAACAATGCTAATATTATCAACATCATTGTCGTCCAAATTGCTTACATTTTGCGGAAGATTTTTATCTTTTAGTTTAGACTTAACAATGCAAACATCATCAATAACATCGTCGTTCAAATTGCTTACATTTTGCAAAAATTTTTTATCTTTCCATTGAGACTTAACAATGTTAACATTATCAACATCATTGTTGTTCAAATTGATTACATTTTGTGGAAGATTATTATACTTTAGTACAGACTTAACAATGCAAACATTATCAATAACATCGTCGTCCAAATTGCTTACATTTTGCAGAAAATTGTTATCTTTCAATTTAGACTTAACATAGCTAACATCATCAACATCATTGTTGTTCAAATTGCTTACATTTTGTAGAAGATTGTATTCTTTTGGTATAGAGTTAACAATGCTAACATCATCAATAATATCGTCGTTCAAATTGCTTACATTTTGTAGAAGATTGTATTCTTTCAGTATAGAGTTAACAATGCTAACATCATCAATAATATCGTCGTTCAAATTGCTTACATTCTGCATGAAGTTGTTATCTTCAAATATATACTTGCCAATATTAACATTATCAAATTTTATCATTGTTTAAATTGCTTTCATTCTGCAGTAGATTGAGACTTTCTAGTATGGATTTGACAGTGCTAACATGATCAACATTATTGTTGTCGCTAGTAGTATCAAAAGAAACTATTTTGTTAAGATTTTTAACAACTTGTTCAATACTTGCATCATCAACAACAATAGTTGTAAAAAAATTATCTAGTCAAATTTTTTTTATAAAATCTTGTCAAAATCATCAACGTCTTGACTAAATTGGGAGTAGACAGATGAATGTTTTGATTAAAAATGATGTTGGAAAGAGAGACAATTTGCTTTGAAAAAGCATCGTTGAATATTATTATCCCAAATAGCATCAAATGCTATTGAGTATAATACCTTACCTAGTCAAAGCGTTGCAAAGGTGTGTAGAATCATTTATCAGAAACTGAAAATCAGACACACGTTAATTTGCTTAACAATTTCATACTTAGATATTACATGGTTCATTTGAGAATCCAAGAGTACATTTTGAAAGATTGAATAATTCTTTGGTCAAGAGGTTGACATTCGTTGGTAGCATTTGGTGGATAAAAAATGATGCAGATACTCATATAAAAAAAATAATATTTTGATGATCTTAATAGATCCACAATTTTGGAAGCACAACATGAGATGAACAATTGTCTCGAAGTATATAAAAAATGAAGTTGCAATTTTTGGCAATTGTGATACTTGTATAGCAGTTGCATATAAGATGATATATCTTGCCAAACTTTAGTTTGATGATACTGATGGCTATATTCATATTCAAATTATTCTTCAAAGCACGTGGACAAATGCTCTTTGCAATAACTTGCATGGTAAATTTTTCACCTGAAGCACTAATTTTGAGCTTTATTGTGATCCATTCTTTAGTTTTTTACATCAAGATCATTAAAATTGATTGTGAAATATGATGTTGATTCATTCTTTGTTTCTTTTGACATTACTATCATTCAAATTAATTGTGCAATATGAACTTGATGATGTTGTGCAATGTTGTAAAGTCAACTTGTTGATGTTGATAATGGATTCGAGTGGTATATTGATCAGCATTCTACAAATTTTATGGAAACATTTCATGAGATTGAGGTCATTATGTTCTCTGTAACTTTTCAAACTAGATGTTGAGATGCGCTTCAAATACTTCTTGAGCCATACATTTGATACAACAAATCTTT